AGGATTGGATGGCCCCAAGCAAGGACCCCCTCACCCCGTAGTCCCGCAGCATCTCCCACAGTCTCTCTCGGGGGACCCGGTCATACGCCTTCTCCAAGTCCACAAAACACATGTACACTGGATGAGCATACTCCCAAGCCCCCTCTATGATCCTGGAAAGAGTGAAGAGCTGGTCCGTTGTTCCACGACCAGGACGAAAACCGCATTGTTCCTCTTCAACCCTTGGTTCGACTATCGGCCGAACCCTCCTTTCCAGCACCTTAGAGTAGACTTTACCCGGGAGGCTGAGTAGTGTGATACCCCTGTAATTGGCACACACTCTCTGGTCCCCCTTTTTGAAGAGGGGTACCACCACCCCGGTCAGGAGTTCCTCAAAGTGTTCCTTCCACCGCCCGATAACCTCCTCAGTCGCACTCAACAGGGTCCCATCCTTAATGTACACAGCTTGGATGGTTCCCCGTTTCCCCCTCCTGAGGTGCCGGATGGTCTTCCAGAAGCACTTTGGTGCCGACTGAAAGTCCTTCTCCATAGTTACCCCGAAGTCCTCCCATACTCGCTGCTTTGCCTCCATCCCAGCAGAGGCTGCTGCCCTTCGAGCCTGTCGGTACACTGCAACTGCCTCCGGAGTCCCACCGGATATCATAACCCGGAATGCCTCCTTCCTTCTTCAGTCGGACGGCTTCCCTGACCACCAGTGTCCACCACGGGGTTCGAGGGTTACCGCCGCTTGATGCACCTAAGACCTTGAGGCCACAACTCACTGCCGCTGCTTCAGCAATGGAGGTTTTGAACATAGACCACTCTGGTTCAATGTCCCCTACCTCCACAGGAATGTGAGAGAAGCTCCGCCGGAGGTGTGAGTTGAAAATCTCCTCCAGACGTTCCCAGTTCACCCTCACTACACGCTTGGGTTTACCGGGTCTGTCCCCAGTCTTCCCCCGTCCTCTGACCCAGCTCACAACCAGATGGTGATCAGTTGACAGCTCTGCCCCTCTCTTTACCCGAGTGTCCAGAACATGCGGCCTCAGATCAGACGATACGATTACAAAATCGATCATTGATCTTTGGCCTAGGGTGCTCTGGTACCACGTACACTTATGAACATCCTTATGCTCGAACATGGTGTTTGTTATGGACAATCCGTGACTGGCACAGAAGTCCAGTAACAAACACCCGCTCGGGTTCAGATCAGGGAGGCCATTCATCCCAATCTCGCCTCTCCAGTTATCTCCATCGTTGTCCACGTGCACATTGAAGTCTCCCAGTAGGACTATGGAGTCCCCTACTGGAGCCCCATGCAGGACTCCATTCAGGGTCTCCAAAAAGGCCAAATACTCTGAGCTGCTGTTTGGCATATGCACAGACAACAGTCAGAGTTTCCCCCCCACCACCCGAAGGCGTAGGGAGGCGACCCTTTTGTCCACTGGGGTAAACTCCAATGTAGCAGCACTCAGCCGGGGACTTTATGAGTATCCCCACACCTGCCTGGCGCCTCACACCAGGGGCCACTCCGGAGTAGAATAGAGTCCACCCCCTATCCAGGAGTGTGGTTCCAGAGCCGAGGCTGTGCGTAGAGGTAAGCCCCAGGAGATCCAACTGATAACGCTCCACCTCCCGCACAAGCTCCGGCTCCTTCCCCCCCAGAGAGGTTACGTTCCACGTCCCCAGAGCCAGCATCTGCCGCCCAGGTCTGTTCCGTCTAGACCCCCCACTGTCACTGCCACCCTTGTAGCAGCGCACCCGACCCCATCGGTTTCCTCCACAGGTGGTGAGCCCATGGGGAGTAGAGTCTTGGGCTGCCGCGTCACTCCTTCGGGCTGTGCCCGGCCGGGCTCCTCGGTAAACCCGTCCACCAGACGCTCGCTGTCGGGCCCGGGTCTCACATACTGTCCCACACAGTCTCTCATACTGTCGCACACAGGGTCTCACACACTGTCTCTCATACTGTCCCACACAGTCTCTCATTCTGTCTCACACACTGTCTCTCACAGGCTCTCTCACACTGTCTCTCATACTGTCCCTCACAGTCTCTCATACTGTCTCACACACTGTCTCTCACATGGTCTCTCATACTGTCTCACACACGGTCTCACACAGGGTTTCACACACTGTCTCTCATACTGTCCCACACAGTCTCTCATTCTGTCTCACACACTGTCTCTCACAGGGTCTCTCACACTGTCTCTCATACTGTCTCTCACAGTCTCTCATACTGTCTCACACACTGTCTCTCACATGGTCTCTCATACTGTCTCACACACGGTCTCACACAGGGTCTCACACACTGTCTCTCATACTGTCTCACACAGGGTCTCTCACACTGTCTCTCATACTGTCCCACACAGTCTCTCATTCTGTCTCTCACAGTGTCTCTCATACTGTCCCTCACAGTCTCTCATACTGTCTCACACACTGTCTCTCACATGGTCTCTCATACTGTCTCACGCACGGTCTCACACAGGGTCTATTTTTCTCCAGAGATCTCATTGGATGATTGCATGAAGCCTACTGCCACCTGGCACATCTAAATGATATATCCTGATTGATTAGTGCCATGTTAACAATGATAGCCGAGTGTGGAAAAAGCAACTGACGCATGACCAAAGCCTTTGTTAATGAAAGCAGATGTCACTCATTCCAGGGAGCAGATAAATCTGCTTAAACTCATTATTTATCTCACCTGGTTGCTAGTAACACCCAGAGGTTATTTTTAAAGTGTTTAACTCACTTATTGATCCTTGTGAAAATGACTGTGCTGTGCCATCCACATTGTTACGTGAAAACTTCCTGAAACATTTCATGGATAGAATTGCTGGCCTGAGCTTTTCAACCCCGGTTTCTTCCGATGGCCCCTCTGTTACTTTTTCATGTCTTTCAGCAGTTTGAGCCAATTTCACTAAACCTTCTTTCTGACATAGTCAAACAGCTTCGTCCGGCTAACTGCCTACTGGATAGTATCCCTGCACGCTTACTTAAAGATGTTTTTAACACTGTTGGGTCCAGTATTTTATCCTTGGTTAACTCATCTCTCAGCTCAGGGTGTGTTCCAGCCGCTTTTAAACATGCTGTTGTGCAACCACTCTTAAAAAAGAAAAATCTGGATCCGTTAGTTTTGTCTAACTTTAGACCTATTTCTAAATGACCATTTTTTATCTAAGGTCTTGGAGAAGGTGGTTTTTAATCAACTTCAATCATTTTTAGATGATTTTAGTATTCATGAAAAGTTTCAGTGGCTTTATGCCCGCCACAGCACTGAAACTGCCCTTCTAAGAGTCTACAACGACCTCCTCTTAGCTGTAGATTCAGGAAATTCTGCTGTTTTAGTGCTCTTAGATTTGACTGCTGCCTTTGACACTGTCAACCACTCTATCCTTTTATCCCGACTCAAGCAAAGTGTTGGCATTACAGGTATAGCCTTAAAATGGTTTGAATCCTATTTGACATATAGGAGTTTTTCTGTCCACATTGGTAACTGCTCTTCATCTGTTGCCCCTCTGTCCTATGGTGTCCCCCAAGGTTCCATTTTGGGACCAATGCTATTTTCTCTGTATTTGCTGCTCTTAGGGTCCATTTTTAAAAAACACAACATCTCTTTCCATTGTTTTGCTGATGATGTACAAATTTACTTGCCTGTAAAAAACAATAAGAAGGACACTTTCAAGCCGCTGATAAACTGCTTGAGTGATCTCAAAGTATGGATGGATCATTTTCTCTGTCTTAATGACAATAAGACCGAGGTTGTTGTGTTTGGACGTGCTGAACATTTCAGTGTCTGTGTAGATACTCTCAGTATTTTAGGCTCCCAAATTCGTCCTTTTACCAGAAATCTGGGAGTGATTTTTGACAGTGCTTTTAAACTTGACAAACAGATTAGTTCTGTTGTCAAAACTAGCTTCTTCCAGCTGAGACTTCTGGCTTAAGTCAAGCCCTACTTGCTACGCAAAGACTTTGAGAGAGTCATACATGCATTCATTACGTCCCGCTTAGACTACTGCAACTCACTGTATGTTGGGTTGGATCAGTCATCCCTTCGTCGCTTGCAGTTAGTCCAGAACGCAGCAGCTCGACTTTTGACCAGGACTAAAAAAGACCTGTTACTGTGGTGTAACAGTGATCCAGCGTGTTCTCCTCTCTGGTGGGCATTTAATAAACTGTATTTAGGAAGTTCATGGCTGAGATTTCCTTTGTTAAAGTCCCTGAGGACAATAACTAAAGAGTCCGGGTTGGTCCGCTCCACACGCCGTATCTGGTCGGCGAGTGTCCGCTGAGCCTCGTGCACGTTAAAACTGAACTGAACTCATTCAACAAAAACAAAGCATCCAGTAGTTAGTAAATTAGTAATGTTACTAGATATGGTAAGTTAGTAATATTACTAGATAATTCACTTTACACAAAAGTGGTGGAAATAGAAAGTATATTGCTCAAATATTATAATATTGCTTGAGTCACATCCATATAACAACTCACATGACTACAGACAATAAGACAGCAGAATCCAGCCTTTTATAACTGAAAACCTTTAAGAGTTGTGGTTCATCGTCCAATGTCTTATACAAGTTAAATTTAGTTAATCAGAAGATCTTGAGAGTTGCATGAACTTATCAAAATGCATCTTTATATCTGACAGTCACAGAAGAGTGTGTGCGCGTGTGTGTATGTGTGCGCGTGTGTGTGTGCGCGTGCAGAGACAAAAGTGAGCCGACACACATGTGTGTAGCAACCTTTATTGTAGGAGCTTTCACAACACTGCTGAGTTTTGGTGTCCTCAGGTAAACTTTCTTTTTTAACAATATTGGCAGAGGCTGATACACGAAGACAAACACTACAGATAATACACAACACCACAGTGACTCAGGGCCACCGATGACAACCGAGCTGAACGTGTGAGACAGTTGGGGGATCATAAATGTTACAAACTGTTTCGCTGTGTGCATGTGAGGGCGTCACAGCACGAATCCTGTCGATTTACCCACTGCTACACAAAAAAAGACCTCTACCGCACACTGCTATGCATTTAATGGATGTACACCTACAGCTGCTCACACACATGCAGACACACAGACGCACACACTCAGCTGGAATGACACATGTTGAGTCCAGCTGTGGTGTCGAGTGTGGATTGGGTTGTTGGAAATGTGAGTGATGTCATTTCTGCTTTTGCCAGACAGTTTGGTGATCTGACGGAGCTTTGGGGGGGATGTCGGGGGGGACTTTTCACCAAGGTAGGACAAAGTAATGGCTCCTCCAACTGACCTTTGCAAACCTAAAATAATGCGGACTAGCCAACCATGCGCCAACCTTCCAGGCTAATAAGGTCAAACGAGAGCGCCAAATTTGCCAAATTTTCTCCTTTTCGTCCACAGTGGGTTTTGGTCTACGTTGTAAAATTGTGACACAACAAATCCGACACCTCTTGAAAAAGTGGTGGGAGCTACAAAGGGAGTCCACATTAAACCCTTAACACAATAGTTGGTGTAAGTAAGCCACAGGATGGGTACAGACAAATACAAATCAGCTCACAGCCTTTAAAAGCTCTACACAATGTCTCTTCGACATGTTACATTTTTATCCCTGAAATTGACCTTCCCGTTGTGTGCTGTTACAACCAGCACCAAAATTGTTTGGTATAGCACCATCATTTGGGTCATAACCCAATGATCTCAGCTCAGAAGGTGGGAATTGTACACAGCCCGATATAATCTGCCCTGGAAGCTCAATTAAGGGAAAAAAAGTCCCATGTTTTTCTACTTTTGACGGTCACAAAATTGTTTGCATTTTTGTGAAAATTACTATCATTTTTGGGATATTTGAAGACAGTGTCTGGTAAATGAGTGAGAATGAATATTCATAATGGGATTAAGGGTCTAAAGCGCGTCGGTCGTGTTGTTCGGGACGCTGCGTTCAGGGGAGGGACACCCGGCGGGAGACTATTTTGTGGAAGACCCCGCGGAGCAGAGAGTTGTAGTCTGGGACACGGAACAGGTGGCGCTGGGCGTAGATGGTGTCGTCCGGCCGTCCCCTGCTCACCAGCGCGAGCAGGTTGGCCTCATTGACCTGGCTGCCAACGGCGATGACAAAGACATCCACCTTGGCGCTCGCCACCTGACGAACGCGGCTCACCAACGAGCTCATGGTGAGCCCCTGAGACCTGCCGTCAGAGAACAGAACCAGCGCCTTCCGGTGCCTTCCGGAGTCCCCGCGTTGAGCCTGCTGACCGAAACCCTTCATGGCAAAATCCATGGCCTCCAACACGTCTGTGCCGTCGTTTTGGAACGCCGCTTGCTGGGTTTGAGAGGACAGCAGGACCAGATCGCTGGTTAGACCCTGTTCCATGCGGGCGCTCTGGCTGTATTGGCCCACACCCATTTGGACGGCGACCCCACTCGCCTTCTCGGCCGTCAGGAAGCGCTCGGCCAAGCGACTGACAAAGGTCTTGGTAATCTCAAAGTTGTTCTTCCCAACACTCGCCGAGCTGTCCATCATCACCATGATATCAGAACTTTGAGAGAAAGAAACTGTAACACACACACACACACACACACACACACACACACACACACCTTTGATCAATAGCGGATTGGTAAATAACAATCGAGGTAACACGGTGAAAGACAACCAGAGAGCATTTATACAGTTTACTTGCACATTGAATGGCTTTCGACTATTGGTTGTTTCACGTTTTATTTTATCCCTCATTTACTCTGCAAAGTCAAACTCAAAAAGACAGCATGTTATAAATGTTACTTAAGATGAAAATGAAAAACTGGGTCAGCAGCAATAAGATAAGGCAGCTATTAAAATCAGCAAATCTTGGTACCAGTGAAGAAAAAAAGACTTACTGGGACATTTGTAGTCCGGGCAATTCTTATCTGAAAAGGAGAACATCAGGGGTTAAAAGGCCAGTTTATTTCGGAGCAGTGGAAAATGTTCCCTGATACAAATTACATATATGTGTGTGTGTGTGTGTGTGTGTGCGTGTGCGTGTGTGTTTACCGAGACAGATTTTAGCTGTGAGGTTCTGCAGGAAAGCGTCTTCTAGCAGCTCAGCAAAGTTTTCCCGCACAAAGTAGAAACCTGGTTTGGGGTCACTCTGACAGATCAGTTCCCCAATCTGCTCTCGGTTGGGTTCCGTGCCTGCGTAGTCCTTCACTCCTACCCCCCCAACCTGGGGGGAAGAAAGGGTTTTCTGTTTAATTTGGCAGGTTCTTCATTATTTATGAATTATTGTTATATTTATATTTTACATAAAGAGTCATTGATCATTTCTAAAAAGATCTTAGTGGGATATATATCTTATTCTTTTTCACCCAATAACATTGATCTATTGCTGCTAAAAAATGGAGGTTTAAATCTAGATCATTTTTCGTATCCACTTTAGTTGCTGGGACTAATCTCACTTCTATATTGTTCCATACTTACTGAAGTTACTATTATACTTTTGCCGTATCATTTTCCTTTGCGATGCTAATCCTGTATGTAGCTGCACGGAGCCACCTGATTGGACTGAACCCAGAGAGGTCCGTCCTGGACGTTTCATTGCAGTAGGAACAGATTGTGCAGGAATAGCATAAAGCATTGGTAGTAGTCCAACACCACCAACCTGAACATTTGAAGTGCCAAACACACAATTACCTGCACTCTAGAGAGTGACGGTGTCCTCATCAAGGTGGGCATTTTGTGTGTATGTCAAGAAGAACACAATATGGAAGCGTTCAACCTGCAGGGTTACGTTAGTCTCTCCAGGTGTCTCGTACTTACCCGGAGACCTTTACCACAGAGCACGTTGAGGGGAACTTTGTCCCTTAAGATATCAGAGCGTCCGTCCGTTAGAACGATAACCACTTTGTTTGCGTGGTCCATTTCGTTGATTGTTCTGGTCAGAGAGAAATCAAGGGCCTCGCCTGTGTATGTGGCCTCAGCCAGCCAGTTCAGTCCTCTCACTCTCCTGTAGAGAGACACACACACACACACACACACACACACACACACACACACACACACACACACACACACACACACACACACGCATTAGTATCTCATTGGGAGTTAATGGGTAAGTGGTTAGACTCTATAAATACATTTGTATCTGTCCAGCTGTTTTAACCTGCACCTGTGTATAATATATAATATATATTCACGTATGATGACATCATTTCATGCTGTTCTTGGACAATAAGCTCTAAGTGCAACTCCCAGAATGTAAAACTATCCTCTTTAACTACAACATTTATTTTCAGATTTATAATCAATAGTAAATTCACAAATGTGCAAATAAGCGTAGCAGAACATGTTGTGGGGCAATTTCTGAACTGGGTGCAAAGACATCGCAGTGTAATCGATCCCTCTCAATAAGACGGGACGCATGTGGACTCACTCTTTGAAGTCAATGAGGCCGGCGGCTGAGATCTTGACGGCTTCTTGTGCTGCCGATCCACTGTACTGGACTACACTCAGTCGGGAGTCATTCGTTGCAAACTGGAAAGAAAATCAGTGAATGCTGACTGTGTTTTGTCTGCAAGCATGTTCCTGTTTTCCTCATTAGGCCGTTCCACCCATCCTGACTAATGTCATCAAACAGGAAGGGATCGGTCAATGGAGACACATGAAACCACAGCAAGTTACAACAAACAAGAGAAATGACCTTTTTCATATTTTGCGGTTTGTTCTGCATTTCATAACATCTTTAAAAATAGTTTTTGGTGTCAATGAATAAACACGTGCCGTTTATCCGACAGGCGATTAAAAGCTGCAGTGAAGTCAAAGGGACGTTACCTTCAGCTGCTGGTCTTTGGTCAGTCGGTCTACGACCGTGATGATGAATTCTTTGGCGAGAGCAAAGTTGGCGGCGCCGATGCTCTCTGAGCTGTCCACAATGAACGTCAGGTCCATCGCCGCACACCTGCACTCTGGGGACGCAAACAATCACCGTGGGAGACAACGGCCCCGGAGAGCCGGAGACACACGTGACCACGTGGAGGATTTTAGACTCACCACAGCAGGCTGCCGGGATCAGGAAACGACGAGGGGAACAAAACAGAGGCACATTTTCAGGTTTTGACGGCACGTCTGGCTAATCGGGCTCAGAGTTGAAAGGTCAAAGGTTTTAGCGCGGACTACAAGTGTCTCCGTCTCTGTTCAACTTACAGCAGAGCTTCATGATGATATCCAGAATTTCACATTCCTGAAGGCAGAAGGGGGAAGTTCCATGTTACAACACGACAATGCACTATTCAATCGCACAACAGAACTTTGTGTGGACGAGACCGTTTCAAGCTCCTCCAAAATAAAACAAAGAAAATGTTTTGGTTTCTTTCAGGAAATTGAATGTGTGGCTTTTGACTAAAGACACAGTGTCGCTTTCAGAATGAAAACCAGAAGAGCCTAATAGGGGAAGTCTGAGGTGCTTAACCGACCCACCATGGGACGGACAGGAGAGGGAGGCTTCACACTAAACGGGACCGACTCAATATTTATACTCACATCAGTTCCTTGTGGTCCGGGAGGCCCAGGAGGTCCCTGAACAGAAGGAGCACAAATGAATAAAGAGACAAGGTGACTGATAGAAGTTAAACATATAAACACACCTAACTTCTCTAAGTTAGTACTTTTTTATTTTATTCAACACTGCAAACCCAAATCCCTCAGATTTGGCTGCGCTGCTCTCTTAATGCAACAAAGTTCTTTGCCACAGCGTTTTCTTTTTCTCACAGCCGCAAGAAACCCATCTGTTTTATTTTAACGGCCGGTTTAAGAGCATTCTTCTGTGTGACACACAGGAAAACACCAGAGAAAGAAACTGTTCATACAGAAATATGCAGCAGAGACACGAGCCAGACGAGAGGAAAGGCAAAGAAAAGGGAGGAGGGGGAGGGATGGGAGGGATGGGGGGGATACACAGAAAGGAGGGGAAGTGTGAAACACTACACACTCAGTATGAGGACCTGATCCACGGTGTTATATTTAGATCTGATCTTTGTTTGTCCGTTCACATGCAGCTCCGCTAGCTGTGCAACGTGCTCCAGGCCGAGTTAAGGGAGCAGCTCTGTGTTTGTGGGCGGGAGGTTTTCTTGTGTAGTGAGGCTGGCTAACGAGCTAGCGCTGTAAATACAGCAAACAAGGGGGAAAATAGCTCCAAACAAATATACAGTTTTCTCCTGTTTAAATGAGGTATGCTAAGTTGTCCTGCTACGTTTAGAAAAATGACATCCTATTTGAAATGGGAGCATATTTTTGTGAAAGAGCAAATGGCCCCTCGGACACACAAAAACACCATTTGTGGGCTTTATATTTCGTCTCTGGTTTGCTTACTGGATTCCCTTCTGGTCCTCGGTGACCTTTTGGCCCGTTGGGTCCTGGAGGTCCTGGTTGGTTGTTCTGTGGAAAGAGAAAATAAGGGGAAATTGAGAGAGGCCCACACCGCCATTGAGCTTTGTTTAAAGAAAGAAAGAAAAAAGATGACAGCACTTGTTACTACAATGTTTTGTACAGCATCTATGTTGATGTGTAACATCTGTCACGGTTTGCGATCCTCTTAATGATGCTTTGTGTCTTCCAGGTGTCTTATGAATTAGCAAAGCACTAATATGTCTGCAGCATGCTCATTTTAGTGTCACCGGTGTCCAATTACAAAAAGTGAAATTTAAATTTTAAACTAATCCAGCAAATAATGTGCTCACTTTTGGCCCAACGAGTCAATTCTCAGAGTTTACGAAGCAGCCACTTGCTTTATGACACAAGGACGTCAGTGACGACTGACTTGACCAAATGTCGCGATTTGTTCTTTATAACATTTCTAGCCGCCGTTCTTGGGGTTAGTTCCGCTTGAATTTGACCAAAAGGGACTTGACAAAGATGGGATCCACTTGAAAATGGAATACACAGTCTGTCAAAAGCCTCTGAATCCAGTTAAAATCTAGCCAGAGGCCGGTCGTGGTCCTGCCTGGTTATCTTCCACCCCAGTGCAGCTGCAGGGCTTATGCTGATCTCTTTCCCTGCAGCTGTTGCACCAACCTGCACTGCTATGAGATCAGACTGTAGAGAATTAAAAGCTTTGACTCTAAATCCATTTCAGAAAATGACACAAGTTGTTTATGCTCCCCGTTGCCACAGACACTCTATTGAATGTTACATTACAGGTCATTTATGTTGGTTCGAGGCGGACTGTGAACAGCTGCAAGAGCCAGATACAATGCAACGGATCAAACAGCTTTCAAAATGTGCAGATTCAAGGCGAAGAACACAAGAAACGGTTTTCTGACACATAGTAAATCTCTTCTTTGCTTTTTCAAATACAGTTTGATTTGTGGTCACATCGTTGCCTGTTTGTCGCTTAACACGCTCCTTGACCTGTCCCTTAACACGCTCCTTGACCTGTCCCTTAACACGCTCCTTGACCTGTCCCTTAACACGCTCCTTGACCTGTCGCTTAACACGCTCCTTGACCTGACGCTTAACACGCTCCTTGACCTGACGCTTAACACGCTCCTCGACCTGTCCCTTAACACGCTCCTTGACCTGTCGCTTAACACGCTCCTTGACCTGACGCTTAACACGCTCCTTGACCTGACGCTTAACACGCTCCTCGACCTGACGCTTAACACGCTCCTCGACCTGTCCCTTAACACGCTCCTTGACCTGTCCCTTAACACGCTCCTTGACCTGTCCCTTAACACGCTCCTTGACCTGTCCCTTAACACGCTCCTTGACCTGTCCCTTAACACGCTCCTCGACCTGTCCCTTAACACGCTCCTTGACCTGACGCTTAACACGCTCCTCGACCTGTCCCTTAACACGCTCCTCGACCTGTCCCTTAACACGCTCCTTGACCTGTCGCTTAACACGCTCCTTGACCTGTCCCTTAACACGCTCCTTGACCTGTCCCTTAACACGCTCCTCGACCTGACGCTTAACACGCTCCTTGACCTGACGCTTAACACGCTCCTTGACCTGTCCCTTAACACGCTCCTTGACCTGTCCCTTAACACGCTCCTTGACCTGTCCCTTAACACGCTCCTTGATCTGACTCAAGCAGATGTGCCCTGTGTCCAAACAACCATCTATCTGAATATGAGAGAAGCACAGAGACGGTGTTGTCAATCGCAAGCACACGCAAGCACGCACGCACACAATTTCTGTACATTCTTAATTATAAACGGATGATGAGAACAGGGGTCACAGGGGTCACAGAGGGCGTCGTGGCGCAGGGGGGTAGACCGGGTGCGCTGGGAACCGCAAGGTTGGTGGTTCAAGTCCCGGCTGCCCCATGTCTCAAGTCGAAGTGTCCCTGAGCAAGACACCTGACCCCTCATTGCTCCTCGGGCAAAATGTGAAAGCCGTGGGTTTAAAGTGTAACGTAAGTCGCTTTGGATAAAAGCGTCTGTTAATGACCTGTAATGTGACGTAATATGATCCGCACACACATCCTGACCCTGCATCCTATTTGAAGGCACCGGACCAGATGTGGCTGTTTGTTGAAGCATGTCAGCTCTCCACCTTTATCTTCTGCCCTCCAGCCACAGAATGTGCATTAAAGCACAAGTCTGCACAGCAGGAACATATTTAGACATTTGACCTTTGCTCGAACATTTCTATGACTTTGACTCTCTGAACATTTTGTAGGTGTTTGATGTCTCAGGATTTTATGGCAAACTAGCATCTGGTTTGTCTGCTGCACGGTTCCAAAAAGTGAACTGGTGTAAACAAACTGTTCAGAGACAAGAACATGACGCTTAAGAGAAAAATAAATGTTGGACGAATGGACTGTGATGAATTTCATTTTTTATTTCTGTGAAAGACAAATTGAAACATAGGGAAGATTTGGGATAATTTGTGAAAATAGAATATGTTGATGTTGTGGTAGACGTATTCATTTTCCTATTAACAGTTAGATGAGAATTTTTAAACCAATCTCTATTTAAGTCAGCTTAGCTTAGCTTGAAGCGGGGGAAGCAGCTAGCCTGCCTGTAGAGGTAGAAGAAAGGAAGAAAGTTAATTATTAGCGTAAAACTACAACTCTTCATACCGTCTGTATTAGTGAGACAGACAGAGATCGGCTGGCTGGTTTTCCTAGTTCCCAGTCTTCAGCTAAGCTATGCTAAGCTATGCTAAGCTGCTGACTGGCTGGATATCTGACAAATGAAGGTGTGTCAATCACCTCAACTAACTCTTGGAATTAAAGTGATTAAACGTATTTCATTAATAAAGTGTAAAACTTGTCCCTTTTGTAAACTGCTGGCACCAAAATGAGATATTTTATCAAAAGCCCAAATGAATAAAATGTAAAACTGGAGGTAATTCGAGGACTATTCATTTTATAGTTCATATTCCTGGAAGCCTTTTCCTGAAGCTTAGCGGTAGTTTGTAGACGGATGGAGGTGTAGTGGTGATCATTTACATTTTCCTGAGAGAAGCAGGTCTACATGGACTCATGCAAACATGCAGAGGTCACTAACTGGTGGACTGCAGTCCGGAATCCGCCGTCCCATCCGGACCAAAAGCTAAGAAGACGCTTGTGATTTAAACGTGATGCCGCACTTTTTGGTTGTCTTTACGTTAGTGGCTTAAAGCACCGATCGCATCCCAGTTAAACCGATCCACGTGGTACCACTCAACCAACCGAGCCTTTGCATTCCAGGCACAATGAGGATATCGTCTCAATAGAAAAAAAGTGGACAGCGAAAGTAGAGCATTGAATCCATAATGGACGGACAGGTTTCTGTTCTTACTTCATACAGAGAACCTGTTTAAACGGCATCATGAGCTCCTCCACGTGAGGAGGAGAACGGCCCTGATGAATTAAGACCGGGTTTAACGTTCTGACAGGAATGTTCACCAAGACAGCCTTAAAACGTATAAGAAGGCTCTTCGTAACGCAAGAGCATCTTATTACTCCTCATTAATAGAGAAAAATAAAAACAACTCCAGGTTTCTCTTCAGCACTGTAGCCCGACTGACAGAGAGTCACAGCTCTGTCGAGCCGTGTATTCCTTTGGACCTCACTAGTAACGACTTCATGAACTTCTTCAATGAGAAGATTCTGACTATCAAAGAGAAAATTGATGGTCTCCTGCCTTCAACCAGTGCCGACCTGTCCTCCGATGTAGGAACCTTGGATGCAGCAGTGGGCCCTGATGCCTGTTTGGATGCCTTCTCTTCCATCAACCTTGATCAACTGACTTCTTTATTTTCAAAGTCAAAATCTTCTACTTGTCTCTTGGATCCGATTCCGACCAAACTGCTTAAGGAAGTTTTTCCTTTAGTTAGCACATCCTTATTAGATACTATGAATCTGTCTTTGTTGACAGGACATGTACCACAGTCCTTCAAGGTAGCTGTAATTAAACCTCTTCTTAAGAAACCTACTCTTGATCCAGAGGTGTTGGCTGACTACAGACCTATCTCTAATCTTCCCTTCCTCTCTAAGATCCTTGAGAAATCCGTCGCAAATCAATTATGTGACTTTCTACAAAACAATGCTTTGTTGAGGATTTCCAGTCAGGATTCCGAGTGCATCACAGTACAGAAACAGCACTGGTGAAAATTACGAATGATCTTCTACTTGCATCGGACCAAGGACTCATCTCTTTTCTTGTCTTGCTGGACCTCAGTGCCGCATTTGATACCATAGACCATTGTATCCTGTTGCAGAGACTAGAACATTTAATTGGTATCAAAGGAACTGCACTCAGCTGGTTTAAATCCTGCCTATCGGACCGATCCCAGTTTGTGCTTGTAAACGGTGAATCCTCAAAGACCACCTATGTTGGTCACGGAGTCCCACAAGGTTCTGTACTTGGACCGATCTTATTTACCCGCTATATGCTTCCTTTGGGTGATCTTATCAGGAAACACCGCATAAACTTCCATTGTTATGCAGACGATACTCAACTGTATCTGTCGATCAAGCCAGAAGAGACGGACCAGCTAGTTAGACTTCAAGAATGTCTTGGAGACATCAAAACTTGGATGACAGACAACTTCCTGATGCTAAACTCAGAAAAAACGGAAGTTATCCTGATAGGCCCAGAGCGCCTTCGAAGCCAGCTGTCACGTGATACAGTTCTTATAGATGGAATTGCTCTGGTACCCAGCAGCACCGTCAGGAATCTGGGAGTTCTCTTCGACCAGGATATGACCTTCAACTCGCATATAAAGAAGACTTCAAGGACTGCCTATTTTCATCTACGTAACATATCAAAAATCAGGAACTTCCCGTCTCAAAGTGATGCAGAAAAATTAGTTCATGCGTTTGTCACTTCAAGACTTGACTACTGTAATTCTTTGTTATCAGGCTGCTCTTGTAAATCTCTTAAGCCTCTCCAGTTGATTCAGAATGCTGCAGCACGTGTATTAACAAGAACTAAGAAAAGGGATCATATCACTCCTGTATTAACTTCTCTGCACCGGCTCCCTGTTAAATCAAGAATAGATTTTAAGGTACTTCTCCTCACCTACAAGGCACTTGCTGGTGAGGCACCGTCGTATCTTAAAGATCCTGTAACACCTTATTGCCCTACAAGGAGCTGCGCTCCATAGATGCTGGTTACTTGTTGTTCATATGGTTTTAAAAAGTAGGCTGGGGGCCAGAGCCTTCAGTTATCAAGCTCCTCTTCTGTGGAACCAGGTTCCACTTTCAGTCCGGGGGGGCAGATTCGGTCAGCTCTGTTAAAGTAAAACTTAAAACGTTCCTCTTTGATTCTGCCTATAGTTAGGGCTGGCTCAGGTTAGCCCGGACCAGCCCTTAGTTAAGCTGCTATAGGCTTAGAATGCCGGGGGAATTCTTAGGACACACCGAGCTCCTCTCTCACGCTCTCGTTCTACCATAATTCAAGTTTTATTAATGCACATGACTATTCAGCTTCTTTCCGGGAGTTTTTTTTGTGCTTTCTCCCCTATCAGGTCTCCGTAGATCGTGGTTCCTTCGGGACCCTGGTCCTGACACCTACCGTGGCCATGCTGACGCCTGCTGCTGCCATCATCATCATCATCATTATTTTAGATATTAATCATATTACTTTACTCATAAACCAACATTACCCTCTCCTAAAATCTCTGTGCTCTCCCTCCCCACAGGCTTCTGTGGATGGTGGTTCTATGTGATGGTGGTTCTATGTGATGGTGGTTGTTCCTGCAGTGGTCCTGCTGTGCGCCTGGCTTACTACTCACAATTACTTGAATCATTTCTGTCATAGGAATTGCATGTATTATGCATTGTTCATTCTGTACACATGGCATCCATTGTAGTCGTCCATCCCGGGAGTGGGATCCCTCCTCTGACGTTCTCACTAAGGTTTCTTCCCTTTTTTCCCTCTTGTAAGGGTTTTTTCATTTTTTGGGGAGTTTTTCCTGTGATGATGGAGGGTTTCGGGGCAGAGGATGTTGTACGTGTACAGACTGTAAAGCCCTCTGAGGCAAATTTGTAATTTGCGATTATGGGCTATACAAAAGTAAAAAGTAAATGACTTAACCTCTTCACATTTGAGTTGAATACGAGACATGAGTGATCACACGCATGTAAGCTGCTGTGAACACACACACACACACACACACACACACACACACACACACACACACACACACACACACACACACACACACACACACACACACACACACACAATGTTCTATGTAAGAGAGTATTTCCAGCTGCAGGACAGGATGAGAGTGTGAAAGCCGAATGGATAAACTAAGAAAAACAAGAGAGTGAGAGAAGCGAATTCAGTAAAACTAAACCAAAGAGAAACAAATAAATAAAAAGAGTTATAATTATAATACGCTTTAAAGAGCCCAGTAGAAAAGAAATATGTATGTGAACCCATGAAACGAAACATGTGACTCACATCCTGTCCGTGCACTCTGCCAAGAAGGGATTGGGGAAAGATAAAATGTGACCGAGGAGCAACTGGAAAAAAGGAGACAAAGAGGCAGACTCACATCGCGGCCTGGTTCTCCGGGGTCTCCGTCATCTCCTTTGGGTCCAGGAGTTCCCGGGCTACCCTGAAGGTCACACAGCAAATGTCAGAGGTCAAGAAGCGTGACAATCCATTTCACACCGTTGGCAGTCAACTTCAAACATGGACGCTTGGGGTTAACGTGTAAATGTGAAGTACTTTGGGTGGCCAATCTAATCCAGTTTGGTGAACAAATTAGATTAAAAAGCTAAAACCAATGTAACCCAGTCAATCTATTCATCCAGATTACATCAGTTGTGGACACATATTTGCCCAACATCCGATTTCTAATAAAAGTCTGAATAAAATAGAAATTGGATAACTTACCGGCTCACCGGGTGGTCCCCGGGACCCAGGATAACCCTAACAAAAGACATAGATGTTGAGAATCAAGCAAGTGGACCACAGTTTGTCATACGGTGCGTGCATCAACCCCCTTTAACCCTCACCTGGAAACCAGGACAACCCGCCGTCCCATTACCTGCCGCGCCATTTTCTCCCTGAAATTCAGAAAGAAATTGACTCCGGGATTCCTGCTCACACACAGGCCTCCTGGCAGCACACGATGGATGGCAAACATCTGTCCCCCACACTCACCCTCGCCCCTATCTGGCCTCGGTCTCCTGGAGCGCCTTTGATTCCTCGCCGCCCTTTGGGTCCCTTGGGGATGAAATGAAAGATTAGAAAGACAGGAAATGGGTTTGTTGAAAACCGATGTTCACGTGTGAATAATTCATAACAATCTTTTACAGGTTATTTCTATTTGAGCCGTAGATTGAGTGATGATGCGTCGAACATACGTGAGTTACAATGACTGCTGATTGCACAGTAAGCTGCACATGTTTACAGACTTGGGAATTGAATTGATGGTACAGATGAAGCGGTGAAGTTGCATTAGGCTGCACAGTTTTATGTAATCAGCAGAATGTATTGGACTCACTTCTGGTCCAGATGGGCCTTCGTCTCCTCTGTAGCCGGGCGCCCCGGGTTTACCAGCCTGGCCCTGGAAAACAACGAGAGCCCGTTAAATCACTGCTAACCACATAAAGCACCGCTTTACGAAACGTACCAGCGAGCCGCGACAATATTTTATAACCAACACGACTTTGACTGCCTCATTTCTACACCGTTGTCATTAACGGCCATTAACTCTCATTTAGAAGCCTGTTTGAAGCTACACGTCAACTTTTTAGGTTTAAACAGTTATTTGGAATCAGATCGGAGGATCAATAGTAAAACCATCACGGAGCTTGAAACAAAGCTGGGCTTGTTCAGCACGAGGACGAGCGGCCCGATTCTCTCAGTTTCTAGTGCATTTGATTTATAGGACAGTAAACAGAACTGAGACTGTTGAAATGTTGCCATCTCCTGACAATAAACAGCTGTGTCCAGCTGTTGCAAGAAACCCCTCAGTCCTTTCGTTGCAGCGAGGTCACACTGTTGAAACAGAACAAGTATCTTGTAGTAAATGAAGTTATTTTTTGGTCAAACACGTGTTTTACAGCAAACGGTTTCCTTTTATTTCAAGTCAGCGGTGACTAAAAATGTCCCCAAATCTACTGTTAATATTAAGACCTGCATACATTTAATACGGCATACTACGACCCATTTAACCAATGAAGATGAAATAGGGCACAACACTGCGTGGGAGGATACAGTGGTTCCTTTAGTGCAGGAGGTGTCACATATTCCATGTTTCCGTTCTTTACCATTCGTTCAGCACAAGAGAGCCATTGAAAGGAGGTTAAACAACGAATGCTTGAAACATATTATTATTATTACACTGCAAACCGTACTGAGGCTTTGGCCGGAGCCGCGGGGAGAAGAACTGAGTCAGAGGGGAAAGACTGAGTGTTGGCGAGTGGGAATCAGAGGAGTGAGCGGCTGCCAGGTTTGCCTGTTTAAGCGTCTGCACCCAACAACGCGAAAATACGAATGCACGCGCACGAGGACTCGCCTGTGCACGGACTGATCGACTGGGAAAAAAAAGGTTGCTACCAGAGAGAAAGGCGGCGGCTCCTATTTGCCTCCGGTGTGAGTCTGTGTGAATATGAGTGAGGGTCTTACTGGTTCACCGTTGGAGCCAGTCAAGCCCTCCCTGCCCTGCTCTCCACGCGGCCCTGGATCCCCCTGGACGAGAACAGGCGTGTTATCAGGCGTGTTAAGGAGACGACAGCAGCAGCAGTTACGTGTAATCAAACAACATTTCCCATGAATGTCTATGGATGCTGAATGCGATGCTGTCATCTCACCGGGTCTCCTCTTGGACCTCGGTTCCCAGAGGAGCCCTGCTCGCCTTTCTCTCCGACTTCTCCCTACGAGGGATTTAAAACATGTTAATAATGTCCCGTTTTGGCAGCTGTGACACACGCACTGGTTTCAAAGCCGATATTGACTCTACTTACGGTTTCGCCGTTACTTCCGTCATCTCCAGGTGGGCCCTGAAAGACACACACAAGGCAGGAGGTTAGACGGGCCGCTAACGAAGTCGATGCTTGTGCCGTTGTCAGGAGACTCGTCGCTTACGTCATCGCCGCGCTCTCCTTTGTCGCCGTTGTTCCCGGGCCGGCCCACCTCCCCCTGTCACAACACAGACATTCGCACATGCGTCAGAATCACGGCTCGGTTCAGGGCACTTTGGACTGATTGTGCTTCTCTGTGCGCGGATCAACCTCGGGTCCCGGCTGGCCGTTGTTCCCGGGCCGTCCTGGTCCGCCGTCTTTTCCAGGATCTCCCTAAAACGAGCGCAACACGTGACATTACACATTACCGAAAGGCTATTTGAAATCGTATATATGTAAATGTGTATATGTTACTTTTCCTCCTTTCAGTCCATAAGGACCAGCGTCTCCCTTTGGTCCAGGATCTCCCTGCAGGCCCTGGAAGCGGAAAAAGAAATCACAGATTGTGTCTCAGGATCAGCAGCAGCTGAAGCCACAACACTAAATCCTGCGCTGGTTTACAGTGCGACTGTACGGCTTCATTAAACAGCCTGACAGGAGGGAATGTAAACGCCGCCAGCAGGACGTGAGCCAAGCGCTCCTAAACACAACGTCTGTAAACTATGCTGCTGAGTGTAGAGATACAGGGAGAGAAACTAACAAGGCCTGGTAACGTCCAGTCATTGGACCCCATCTGGTTGGGAGTTTTCTTTGATGATTTCAATCTTTAAAGTCAAAATGCAATAACGGGATTATTGTGAGCTTGATTTATGCTACTCACGTTCAATCCGGGGGATCCTTTACAACCAGGAAGACCAGCGAAACCATCTTCACCCTAGAACGGGGAACCAGTGAACTCTTCAAACAACGTCATGGAACCAACAAAAGAACATCCAGGGAAGCAGATTCATAGTGTTGGATGTTTTGGGTCTATAACTCACCTTGGATCCATCGATGCCATCATTTCCCCTTTGACCTTTCTCTCCCTAAAATTGAGTCGGGAATAAAGAGGACGGTAGAGATACTAGACAGAAGAAGAATGAAATCATTGAGTGAGAAGTACCAGAGAGCTGCTGGGAGGATCTCACCTTGTAGCCTTTGTGTCCTCGATCCCCCTGCAGATAAAACACACCAGTCAGCCACGTCCATGAATTACACACCACAAAGCAAACCGCAGATCACAAGCTGTGTTGCTCTGAGCGTACCTTTCCTCCTTTGCCACCTCGGTCTCCCTGGAAACAGATAAACACACGTCAGAATCTCGCCACACGCAGCAAAATGTAAGTGAGTCGAGTAAAGTCTCGAAAGCCTAAAATGAACATTATGGAGAAAACGACCTTCATATTCATTCAAGACCACAATATGAAAAATAGGTAACGTGTGTAGATGGAACCCTTAATAAGTGGGTGTCCTTCATTGGGTGCACGTTACCTTCATCCCACCGTAACCACCAGGACCAGGATCTCCAATACTTCCCTGTAACAAAGAGGTACGGATATCAAACAATGGAATGAGACGTCCAATCAACCTGCACGAGGGTTTCGGATATCTGATTGTGGATGGAACCTACCGGGTTGCCATCGTCTCCTTTCTCTCCTGGCATCCCGGGTCTCCCCGTCTCTCCCTGTGCAGAGGAGGACAACAGGTGAGCAAAGTAAAGTTCTGTGCCTTTGTTTATTTTGCTGCTCTTGATATCGTATCTCACCTTAGAGCCGATATCTCCCTTTCGTCCCGGAGACCCATCGGGAGCCTGCAGATGAAACAACAAAATAGAAAAAGGTGAAGCGAGCGCTCAGAGAACAGAGATAAAGAAGAATGAATGTTCGCGACGTGATGGTGATACTTACAGTGCAGTCGTAAGAGCAACACTGAGGGAGAGAGAGGAAAGATTATGATTAACACGTTGAAACGTTCTACGTAGAAGCCTTTGGTGTTAAATCAGAGAAGCAGACGTGGGATGACGCCACGTCTTCTGCTCTGATAGTTTATTCAGGGCTGAGCAATGCGTCCGTTATTTAACACAGAGCTGCAGCAATTTTGTTGGCGATACAAAAGCAACAGATTGTGAATATCGCTGCAATCTGCTTTCAGCTTCCTGTGTCGTCCTGAGTGACCCGCCTCGTTTCCTGAGTATGAGTCCACGTGACGTAAAGCCCAGAAAGAACCAGAGGACGGTAATTAGGTGAAAAGGGACCACAAAAAAAGATCCAACATCTCAACTACATTACATTCATTTATTGCACCTAAAATAAACCTCAAGTAGCAACGAACAAATATCTCCACTTTAATGGAGATTTAATCTGTAAATATTTATTTGCTGTTCAGGCCAAATATGTGACTTTATTTTGTCTTAATCCAAAAACACTTCTGCCGTTGAAACGTATTAAGAAATAAATTAATAAATATTCCCTAATTTCAAACAATTCAGTCAGAATTAAATATTTTATTTCAAACATTTTTTAACTAGTATGTTTTGCCCTAGATTAACAAAACTATTTAGTGAACGCAGCACAGTAACGCATGCAGGAGTCTTCTTCACACGTAGATACAAAAATGTCATTGACTTCCATTTAAAAACCGCTCACCGTATCCTTGGTCTCGTTGGTCTGAAAAGGCAAATAAAACAGAGTTAGTCAAAAGTACGCGAGTTGAATTCTGTTCGTGCTGCAGAGAGGAGAGGAGGACACGTACGATTAGATTAATGATGGTTCGAATGGTTTGGATCTTGGAGGTTCTGGTGTCGTCTGCAGCAGTGAAGTTCTGTCTGTACTTTGGGTTTGTGGCAATGAGGGACAGCCTGGTTTCCTGCAAAGAGATAAAGAGGTAAAACATCATCACATCAACGATGTACTTTCTGATGGAGCCGTGTTTAGTCCTCCTGCTATTACACACACCACTTATTGCTTATAGACCTTGCTGTTGGATTATTGGGTAAAAACTGAATAAATAAAGACTACAAAAGACTTGTTGGATCAATCATCACGCGACTGGATTCATATTTTATATTTAGGTCAACATTAGCACTAAGGGCACGTTTAAAATGGATTCAAATTTCTAGCATAGACGGATAGTTACCAGATCAAGTTGTACATTCAAAGGTAAAAGTCTTTTTTGTTTCTTTAAAAACTACATTTGGAAAACTACACTCGTGTCCTGGTTTTAGGGTTAGAGGCCTACATGTGTACACTGTGTTAGGGATATAATGAAAAATAGTCATTCCAAAGTTGTTTCAATCAAAGAAAGTAAGTAAAGAAAAATGTGCAAAACTATGTAACATGAGAAGATTGTCTACATCGTCAGGACTGTGTGGAAATGTGTGTGTGTGTGTGTGTGTGTTTTGTACCTCCTGGTCGGGTGAGATGGCGACAGAGAAGACTTTGACACCATATTGCTTGGCTTCGTTAACAGCCTCCTGCACGCCGCCACATGGCTCTTTGTAGCCCGTGAGAGGATGACCGTCAGTCACGACCACGATGTACTTGTTCTCGTGGTAGTGCGAGCCCCTGCAAGCCCACACACACACCTTGGGATATGGCCTTCCTCTGCCTCGCACTTGTTTCTGTGTGTATTGTCCTTACCTGATGATCACCTGACCGAGCCCCATCTTGATGGCGCAGTCGGTGTATGTGCCCTTGCCGATGTAGTCGATGCCCCGGATGTCGGCCTTCAGGGCCTCGCGCTCCGTCCGCAGGTCGCTCAGCCCGCGGATGAGTTTGACCTCGTCACTGTAGTGCAGAGCTCCCGAGTTCCACCTCAGGGTGCGGTCGCATCGGTGGCGCCTGGCGTTCAGCACAGTGACAACACAGGACCGGCGTGTAAATAAGTCAATTTGAGCACTAAGTACCGCACTTCACCTGCCGGTTCTTATATTTTACCTTTGAAACCCTTGATGAACAAAGTATTAATTGAATATGTAGCCTCAGTAGACTACTACATTGAAATGGTAACAGTGTTTCACTGCCTCTGGTGGTTAGAGGGTCCAGTCTGTGATGGCCGTGGTCTTTGGGGACGTCCCAGACTGAACCTCGACAGGTTGAACCACGGTTCCTCTTTACGTTACATTTTGGGATTGGGTGTGTGGACGTGTGTGTGCTGGTGACGTACATTTCCTTGAGTTCATCTATGAAGTCGTTGGTGAATCGTTTAATCTGGTCGATATAATAGTTGGGAGGCTTCTGTCTGAGGGCGACGCTCTCAGATGTATCCAGCACGAAGAAAAGGTCAACCGGACAATCTGTTCACAAAAGAAACAAAGATGGCCGTCAGCAAATCTCACTCATTGGACAAGTTCCAACATGGTAACCCTGGATTTAGAAAAGCCTATTGGGTGGTCGAGGTTGTCTTCGGTCAGCTGAAGTCTCAAGAGAATCTTCTACAACCACAAGCCTAACAATGTATTTACGAAGCAGTAGATCCCAAAAGCCTTTACAGCAATCCTTCAGGTGAGGTCATGGTAGGTCCCACTACTGCAGCACCGGAGGCCTGGCCTAATCCAACCTGATGCACTCCATCTCTATACAGGTGCACAGGTGGAGGCCTGTTGGGACCCACCACATGGCCGTCAGGGTGCACACCTGTACAGGTGGTGCAGGGTACCTTGGCAGGGAAACAGGCGTGTGGTGCCGTCACCTGCTTTGGTTCTTGTCCACATTCATCAGTTGGTAGAACGTTGTCTGCTTTACACCCCAACCCTGATCAAACTGAGCCCAGTGAGTCAACCTCGGCCGCTCTCAGCCGGCTCGGCTACGGTTGCCCTCCGCAAATAAAGGCGACTTCAGAAAATGCTTCACCCAAAGTCAACAAACATCTGGGCCATAACGGGCAGCAACCATCACTTCAGCACACAACATGTGACATGCACCATAACGAGATCAGCATGGGAGACCACAGGTGAACAGATCCAGGACTTACCCTCCAACCTCTCCCTTAGGTTCAGCGTCTGCGCTCCAGCCAGCGCGACGCACAGCAGCGCGAGGAGACCTCCAAGAGTCTCCATGGCTAAACCGCAAACAAGTCAGTGAAAGGAAACCAACAGCGAACTCCCACCGACAGGAAAACAACAGCGAACCGCTCCGACACCGAGCCCGGTACCGCTAAACTGATTTGGTAAACTTTTGGTGCTCCAGCGCTCCGCCGCAGTTTGTCCGAAGCGATACGCGGAGGGACCAGAGCGCAGGATGAGGGGAGGAGAGGGGGGAGAGGGAGGAGGGAGGGAGGGAGGGAGGAGACGGATGAAGTTCACGCGCCTTTTCTGGAAACTGGTGTGTGGGAATAGACTTGAACGCGCACGGGCCAAACGGTTTACACGGAGTCCTCCTGCTTCCTTAAAAGGTCCACGGGGACACGCGCAGGAATAAACACCGCAGCGGACCTGCGGGTCAGGCTGTGCGTCTGCTCCGATGCAGGACAGGGGGACAGGGGGATAGGGGGACAGGGGTTAGGGGGGACAGGGGGATATGGGGACAGGGGACAGGGGACAGGGGGTCCCGCACGTGGGAACTGATCTATGAACGTTCTCACAACAGGACGCGTTGGTGCCAGTTGTTTTGTGCCTTGCAGACAAAGAACAGCACACTGACGTCACTTCATCGACCCTAATGAGAAGCAGCTGACGCATCTTGAAACCCTTTCGGTGGGCGGGGGTAGGAAAACATCTGGATCCCCTCGGCTTCCAGACCTGACATCAACCTTAAGCCAAGAGGGGGAGGACGAGGAGGAGGGGGGGGACTGTAAAGCAGGAAGGGACACAGCGCCACCTAGTGCTCCTCAGAGGGGGGGGGGGGTCTAGGAAAGAACCTGGTGGAGCACAGATGTGCTTCGTGGGAGGACGGGTGTACAGCGTCTGGCCACAACTCACATTTTCCACTGAGCTCACTTTTCCAGGGAAGAAGGAGCCGGCTGCCTGGGGAGGGAACTTTATTACTATAAAACCTGAGGAATTCATTAGCAAACACTCGGTTTTCCTTGTTCCAGCAACCTTGTACAGAAGAGACTTGTGATCCGTGACCTCAGCAGAGTCCAGAGGAGCCACAGTCATGAAGATAAGACTTTCTAAAGCAAAGAGCTTCTGCGTAATGTTTTTTTGGGCACAGGCCTGTTGGCAGAGCGGACCGAGCCCAAGTTTCCACCGAACCCCGATGCCGGGGGGAGAAGATTAGCATTTATGAGTCAGAGAAAGAACGTTTAGTGCAGGCCGGTTTTTTTAACGTGGTTTCTAACATCTTGTAACATTTAACACACCACGATAAGTCATCTTTGGGGTTGATCCCTCTGTGAATGGCAAAGATTGTTGTCTGGTTCCATAGAAAACTACTATGCAAAAGTGACCGCAAATGACGTGAGACACACATGAAACAAGGAAACTGGGGGGGAAGAAACAGCCAATATCATCCATCAGAAACATGAAAGTCACAGCGGGACACGTGAAAGAGATCGCGCCCACTGACGGATGTGAAGCGAGGCTCAAACGGGCTTTGCTGGTACGACGAACCCTGATGGACTCTCAGATGCCGCCGGGCGCCACATCAGGAAATGTCAGGCTAATGAGGACTTCTAACCAGCCAAATGGAGTTAATGACCGGAAATGGGCCGACTTCCGCCGCACCGAACGTGTCGTTAGTCTCTAGACGCGTTTTCCGTTGGCTCCAGTGTTGCAGATATACTTTTAGTTCATCACTCATTGGTTTCCCATCGCCGACACCAACGCACAACCAGGCAAGTGAACAGTGTTTGCCGGTCAGCTGCTGCCCCTTAGTGGAACACCGTCACTCGCTCACTTCTGAGAACCATTGCACACGTGTTCCTCCGTGAGTGAATAAAATCATCATGGATAACTCAGGTTAATTTAATTTGAAATGTCTCAAAACAAACAATTCAATATATACAGTTCCAGTCAAAAGTTTGGACACACTTGAATTGAATGCGAAATTGTGTCAAAACTCTTGACTGGTTCTGCATAGATATATTTATATAGAAAAAGGCCTATTGGGAGAAAGACAAGTTGAAATAGATGGTGCCGTCATAATAGCTTTTGAATTTTACAACATTTGTATTTCAGCGTATTTACAGAGAGCTGATTCACCTCCATCACTATCAAGGACCTCTCAAAAATATATATTTTCATTAATATTACAACTTCTGAACATACAGCATCTCACCACAAATATCCAGAATGACATCAAACATGTTCATGCATAAGAAACGGACGCTGGGAAAGAAAGAGTGAGCCGATGTAAAGACTCACTTTCACTTCCCTGCTGAGAAGATCGACACCACTCGTGTTTAATCATCTGCAACCGAGCAAATAACTAAACTACTTTTACTTTAAATATTTTAAAAGTCCCCATATGACTTTACAGCGAAGAGGAACCCGCGTTCCTCCGTGAGCGGCTCGGCTCATTGGTCCCGACTCAGTTCACGTTGGAGTGGCTCTTCAGGTGCCTCCTCAGGTGGTTCAGACAGGTGTAGGTCTTGGGGCAGATCTGGCAGTGATACGGCCGCACCCCCGAGTGGTTCAGCATGTGCTGCTTCAGCACACTCCCGTCGGAGAAGGCCTTCCCGCACTGCGTGCACACGTACGGCCGCTCCCCCGTGTGCACGCGCATGTGGACCGTCACCTTGTGCGCCATGGTGAAGCCCTTGCCGCACACCGTGCACTTGAACGGCCGCTCGCCGGTGTGCGTGAGCCTGTGCGTGCGCATGGCCCCCATCTGGGAGAAGGCCTTGCCGCAGTCGGGGCAGGCGTGCGGCTTCTCGCCCGTGTGCACGCGGGTGTGACTGCGCAGTCCTCCCGCGGTGGAGAAGCACTGGGAGCAGTGGGTGCACTGGTAGGGCCGCTCGCCCGTGTGCGTGCGCATGTGCTGCTTCAGGTCGTAGCGGTTCCTGAAGCCGCGGCCGCAGACCAGGCAGCTCTCGGGCCGCTCGTCGTTGTGCCGCAGCTCGTGGTTGGCCAGGCACTTTTCGGACAGGAAACACTTGCCGCACTCCTGACACTGATAGGGTTTCTCGTGGTCCACCCTCTGGTGGTACTTCAGCTCGCTGATGCCGGGGAAAGTCTCGTCGCAGTATCGGCACCGGAACCGATGGTTGGGGCTGTAGGGGAGCTGGTGCTCGCTCATCTGATGGTTCCTCAGCAGGTGGGCCATCTTGAAGGTCTTCCCGCAGTGGGAACACTCGTATTTGGTCAGCAGCTGGACACACTGGTGTCTCACGCGCTCGTGCAGGGACCTGAACTGGCACCCGCACTTTGTGCAAATGTGGGAAGCATTTTTACACTTGCGCTTCCTGTGCCGGGAGAGGTGGGCCTCCGTGCGGAAGGCTTTGCCGCACTGAGAGCACTTGTAAGGCTTCACCGCCGTGTGGAACCTCTGGTGCTCGAGAAACTCGAAGCGATACTTGAAGCTCCTCCCGCACAGCGGGCAGTTATGTGTGACCCGTCCCCGCGGGTACGCCGCTTTGATCGCCGCTTTCCTGGAGGACAGCGACGCCGAGGACGTCCGATGAGCGGAGCCGCTCTTCCTACGTTTGCCTCGGCTCGTTAGCGCGGCCGCCTCCAGGTCGCCGACCTCCTCGTGCCGTTCTTCGTGCTTGGTCAGACACTTGGAGGAGATGAAGCTCTTGCCGCACCGCTTGCACTGGTAGGGCTTGTCATGATCGACCTGCTGGTGGTACTTCAAGTCCCCGATCCCTGAGAAACCCACGCCGCAATGGCTGCACTTGAAGAGGCGGCTTTGCACGTGAGTGAGCAGGTGCTCTTTCAAGCTGCTGGACTTTTGAAAGCTTTTCCCGCAGTGCCCGCAGTTGTAGTTGCGGCCACGCTTTGGGCAGTGGTGCCTGAATTTGTCCAGCGAGGTTGGAAAACTGTTCCCGCATTTAATGCACAGATAGGCGGCGTTCTTGCATTTGCGCAGCCGGTGGCCGGCCAGCAGCGTGGCGGTTCGGAACGCCCTGCCGCACTCGGAGCAGTTGTAGGGCTGCAGCCCGCTGTGCACCCGCTGGTGCTCCAGCAGGACGGAGTGGTGCTTGAAGCACTTGTCACACTCGGGGCATTTGTGCGTCCCCGACTGCTGCCTCCTGCGAGGGGACGAGGAGATCTCGGCCCTCTTCGGCGATTCGGGAAAGTCCGCCGAGGTGGAAGGGTGAGTGGACAGCTCTTCGTCGAACATGACGATCTGAGGAACGCCGTTGTTGACGTCGTCCTCGTCCTCGTCACAGGCGCCCGGGTGGGACGCGATGGCCACTTCCAGCGATGGAGGCAGAGCCAGAGAGGGAAGGAGAAGATCGTCCGACTGAAACGGAGCTGCGGGGGGAAACGGGAGGTGAATGAACAGTCGTCCCTCCTCTTCCTCGACTAACACACACGAGGACTTTCGTTGGCAGCGATCGTGTACGTACCGACAGCACACTTAGCCAGTTTCCCGTGACACTGTTTGCTTTGCAGAAGAAATTTAAGATCGTCTCCGTTGGAGACACACTGCATGTACTCCTCGAGGACAGCGGGCGCAGCGCTGATCCAAGACGCCGTCTGTGTACGAAAGAGCCAGAAAGCAAAAAGAGTTGAAAGGTCTCCTAATTTATTGACTCCATGTTCTATTACTGCAGAAGTTCTTTATACCTGTTTGAAATCTGGAATAGGCAGCAGCTCCTCCAGTCTGGTGAAGAATTCACAAACCAGAGTCTCCAGTGCGGTGTCGAAGTCCGGCCCGTACTCCACTGGAAACACATTCTGTCAGATCGGGAAAGTGCAATCAGTAATCTTCAGCACATGGGAATATCTTCAAAGATTACAATGGCAGTAGCAACATTTAGTTTAGTAAAACTGTGATCGATAACTGGATGTATAACATGCGAGTTGTGGTGGATCATTTAGCGCACTGTGTGAGTGGAGAGTGGTTTCACCTTGAGGAAGTGTTCTCTGCCGTGGGTGTCTTCAATGAGGCCCTGCACCAGCTTCATGAAGTTTGCCTCTGGGGCCTCAATTACAGGATCATTGGTCTGGGTTTGAAAAAGACAAACAAAAAAAACACATTGAGTCTGTCAAATTCCTTGTTTGTCGAACAGATTTTGCCAATAAATGTTCCCGATTCCTGATCGGTTTGATTAAAATGTCAGAAAATAGTGTTAAATGCAAAGATTTACTCATGACTTTTAGTAGACCGTTTGAGCATTCTGACAAAACCAATCCACTTTCTGTCCGATGGCCTTTTGATCTAAAGACCCTTTTTCCTACGTAACGAACTCCATGAAAGATTCGATTCACTAGAAGTGCCAACCACTGAGGAGACAGAGGACCCGCATGGGCCGACCCCTCCACCAAAAGACACAAATAATGCTTTAAAAAATAAACGTGGTATTATTATTTTAAATACCTTTGGTCCAAATGATGTCTTTACTATAGCATAATTCATATGCAGGAAATGAAGGAGGCCTGACTGAGGGCACCCCTGCAAGTCCACCTCTTTAAAAAAGGTCATATAGTTTCCTGAGAGAAAGCCAGAAAAATTCCCCTTTGGTTCTCCTTCTTCACTTGGAAGACTTTGGTGTGGAAGGAGAGTGAAACGTCTTTGCAACTGCACATGGCAAAGCATCATGTGACATGACGATAAAGGCTGTGGTTAGGAAACCTTTAGACCTTTACAGTGCAAACCAGAAATATTCAGTCAGAATCACTGGGACTTTTAAAACAAAGCGCAATTTTGAGGGACTTGAGCGTTTTGATCTCGTCTGTTAGCTCACCAATGACCAGAAAACTACTGTTGAAGATACGGGTTGACTTTGAGGCCCTGTGTTTTCAAAACGCGTCAAGCACGGAAGTTTCCGTGTGAAAAAAAGAATTCATCACCATTAGACGAGACAAAAAACAGAAAATCCTGATCTTTCTCAGGTTGGAAACAGGTGACGTTTTTGCATTTTTGCTACAACATTTTAAAATGATAAACAACTGTTGTATTAGCAGAATAATTATTTCGGTCCTTAACCAATCGATTATAACACTCACCTCCTCAATGCAAGATGTTCGGATTTGGTTGAGGTGGCTTTCAACAGCCTTGAGATCTTCCGGATGTTCGGAGCGCAGCAGCTCCAGAGTCGTCTAGAGGAAATCAAATTCACAATTTTCACTTTTCCACGATGAACTTCTGTGAAGCTTCTTATTCAATTGTTCTCTCCACACACGCGGTGGACTCACCCGTGCTCTCAGGCCCAGCGAGAGCAGCCGGCCTTCTCTTTTACTCATCAGTTCAGGAACAGCATCTGTCACCATGGATACGAACTCCTCCAGCTTCCCGTAGTGCTTTATGTTGCGCTGGCGAACCACTTCCCACATCACGGAGGACATCAGCCGGAGCGGTGGGACCAGGATTGCCAGCGAGGACAGCGGGACACTGAACTCTTCAAGAAGAAATTTGATTTGGTCAAATAAACGTAGAAATAAATAAACGAGCTGGGTGTGTATGACGTGACACGCGGTCACTTCCCTGTGGAACATGTCTATGGCGTGACTTAGAAGATACTGGAGTACTTGAGTTCATACTAGTTAACTTGGGTCTTTTGGCGCGCTCGTGATGACGGTGGTGCTTCCTGAGCGGGACGCGAGTCCGGTGCTGATCGGACTGAGCGTCCTGCAGCACCCGAGCATCCCGACGCCACCGTCTTCCCGAGAGGGCAGCGGCTCGTGTCTTTAAAGCGCCAACTCACCGCATTTATAAAGCTGACGTCAAGTTCTGTTCGACATTACTGCACTTAGATCAAATAAACCCAGTGTGTACTTTGACACGTGGGAAATGGCCTCACGAGGGGCTTCCGTGGTGTAGGACCCGGTTAATAACGACTGAACGGGCTATTGCTAACTAACGTCAAGCCGAGCAAACAGTTCGGTTGCGTTTCACACGTTTAAAGATCACTTTGAACGTAGAAAAATGCTTCCAACAGGAAAACGTGATTGAACCCAAAGCCCCGAGTTAACGTGAACCATCGCTACCCGAGTAGCGAGGAGGCCGCTGACGTTGCCTGTTAAAACCGGCGTATTATCGGGAAAAACAATTCTGGTTCCAGGGATTAGTCGAGGCCCGATGAACCGGGGCTAATCCTTCGCTTTAGCTATTCAGCTAGCCAAATAAGCGATACAGAGCACGTATTGCAGAGCGTCGCAGGAGAATACATACCCGTGTCGTTCATTTTGAATTCCTTTAATAGGGTTGAAAGGAAAAAACCATTACAACGGACTCTCTCTCATACTTTCGGTTAGCGTGTTAGGTAGCCGCGTACGGGGCTTCAGGCGCCAACTTCTTCCTGAAACACGTTGTTCATTCTGGGGGAGCAGCGGCCCAGTCAGTGTCAGTTTGTATCCGAGACGCTTGTTTTGCTGCACGGGGCCGCCCGCACAGGCAACGCGACTTCACCCGATTTTGCAAAATAACACGCACCGCCTCTGCGGACCAGCAAACGTGTGAATCTTCTTGTTTGTAGTTGTTTGTACTTCATAAACTGTGTATTTTTCATACCTCTCGTGTTTTCAATGTTGTGTACAAACTAAGTTGATTCGTTTTGAATATATATATAGTTATATTCGCTAAATCTATTGAAATAATTGTTTGCACTGTCTTTGGGATATAAAGTAGATTCAAAATCTCAATGGAATTATCCTGCATAAGGTTAAAAATCTATCTAGAACCCATCCGATTAAAAATAATTAATAATAAATAAAAAATAATATAATTTTTTAAGATCAGAAAATGACTGTGGTGAATGACCGCTGCAGGATGTCTAATGATGGATTTAACTAAGAATCTGGCTGTGCTCAGAAGCATAGACATGAAACACCCCATAGCTTAGTGGGAATTTACAGTTTGAGGAACAGAAAAACAGTAATACATTTTAATGTAATTACAGAGGATACAATGAGAATCAGTCACTGAAAACAGGAGATGGTGAGCGCTACAGAAGCTATTCTACAGTGCATGAAATCAACATCGCTACAGTACGGGCTACTTGCACCAATACAAACAGTATTTGAGTTAAATCAAATGTCGATTGGTGGAATCAGACAGTCTGGTTTTGCACCACAGTGTGAGTCTTCAGGTGTCTCTTCAGGTGATTGTGGCACGTGTAGGCCTTCTCACACTGCTGACAAGCGTAGGGCCGCACGCCGGTATGAGTCATGGTATGTTTTTTCAATTCGTGGCCACGTGAAAACCCTCTCCCACACTCAAAACAGATGAAAGGACGCTCTCCGGTGTGAACGCGCATATGAACTGTCAATTTGCTCGCCATGGTGAACCCGTTCCCGCACACGGTGCACTTGTACGGCTTTTCCCCCGTGTGTGTGCGTCTGTGGATCTGCAGCTCGCCGGCTGAAACGAAAGCCTTGCCGCAGTCGGTGCACAGATACGGTTTCTCTCCGGTGTGGATCCTTATGTGGACGTTCAGGTTTCCTCTCGCAGAGAAACGCTTCCCACAGTACGTGCACTGAAAGGGCTTCTCACCCGTGTGACTGCGCATGTGGAGATTGAGCTCATGGCTGTTCCGGAAAGCTTTACCACAACACACACACACCTGGGTTTTCTGTCTCCTGTGCTGCAGCTCGTGAGCTGCCAAACTGGCCACAGAGCGGAAGTACTTCCCACACTGCGTGCACGGAGTGGACAGGTCGGCAGGATGGATCCTCTGGTGGGATCTCAACTCAGTAATGCTGGGGAACGCTTTCCTACACCGTCTGCACGTGAAGACCCGGCGCTGGCTGTGCGTCACCTCATGCTTACTCAGCAAGTGCTTCGTCTTAAAGCTTTTTCCGCATTGAGAACAGTCAAACTTTGGGACACAACACTGGTGTTTGAATCTCTCCTGCATTGATTGAAAACTCCCCCCACACTTAATACAAATATGAGCTGCTTTTGGGCACCGTTTCCGTCTGTGATAGGCCAGATCAGAGCTCCTCCTGTAGGCTTTCCCGCACTGCGAGCACTTGTAAGGGTTTTCTCCGGTGTGCAGCCTGTGATGCTCCAGGAGTTCGTAACGGTATACAAAGCACTTTCCACACTGAGCGCATTTCTGTGCAACTCTCCGCTGTGGAGCATCAATCACGGAGCTGGACGATATCAGACTCTCAGCGGACGTAGCGGGAGCTCCATCGCAGGCGGCCGACGTCCCGTCACAATGCTGCTGATCGCCGCACGTCTCCGCAATAGTTTGTTCTGCATTACTGCTGCACCAAGTGTTTGTTTCCTCCTCAGATGGCCATGTTGTATCGTGTGTCGCCATATTTCCTGCGTCCTGGTGAGGAATTTCATCAGATTCTTTCTGGATTTGAAGTGTTTCTGCATCTCTGGCAGTCCTGTCCGGCAGTGAGGGAGGGCGGCATAACGATGAGAAGAGCTGCTGCTCCGAAGGTGAGAGCACTGTAAAAAAAAAGAAAGAAAAAGAAGAGTGAGGGACTTTTTTCTCTACATTCATTCTGAAGTAAGGGTTTAGCTTTCCAAAGTGTCTGTTATATATCTGCAACCGGCCTGCCAGCAAAAATGTTGTCAGTATCCATTTTTCCGGTATTGTTTCAATTAACGCTACAACAAGGAACTTCCATTTTATGTTGTTTTTTAGCAACCACTGTGGCAGCGTTTGAGCACCAGATTCCCTGGTTTTGTTGTCCCAAACCACCTTTTCCTCCAGTGGGCCCAGCTACACAACAGGGGCCTCCAGCAGGTGGCGCTATTCGCTCCCAGTGAGACAACGGCCTGCTACTGGCCAGAGGAGGGAGGCGCTGCCAGGCAGAGCCCCCCTCCTCCCTCAGGAGCGCCAGCGAAGCCGAATCCGAGTCCGTCTGCGTGGGCTGATGGAGTCTGAGCGGAACTATTTTCTGCTGAACCGGGCGGATTTCCTCTGATCCGGCGCCGAATCAACCCGCTATTTATGAATAGCCAGTCTTGCTAATGGGGTCATTCAGGTCAACTTGTTAAAAGTTCCTGACAGCAACTTTAATTGTTCTCTACAAATGTCAGCAAATAGTGAAATTTGTTGATAACAAGATCTAAAATGGGTTGTTTTTTTCTGACCAACTAGGAACATTTTAATTTTATAAAAAATAAAATCCCCAAACTTCCCCAAAGCAACTATATGGTACTTTTTCCTTTAGATATCACTCTCTGATGAACGGATTGTCAGTTCATTTACAATTGGGCCTGGCTGGTAGACCAGGAACACCGACTCACCGCTGGCATCCATCCCGGCCATTTGACCCCAGTGGGCCTTGCTTCTGAGCAGTACTTTAAGGTCATCCTCTTTGTATACACACGGCATGTATTCTTCTAGCCCGGAGGGTGTGTCACTCATCCACACTGCAGTCTTTATCAAATAAATAAAAGAATCATTTGATGACAAAACTCTTAAAATGCTTCACAAAGAGAACGTCTCTATGGTTTTACCTGCTTAAAGTTTGGTATGAGCAGCAACTCTTCCAATCGGGTGAAGAATTCACAAACCAGTGTCTCCAGAGCTAAATCAAAGTCAGGTCCAAACTCCACAGGAAACACATTCTGTGAGGTGTACAGGAACATTACAACGCAAAACTCATACTGCAAAATATAACAAATGTTTTGGTTTAATCTCCAAACGAACAACGAGGTGAAAGCTGAGACACACCATGAAGAAGTGATCTCTCTCTTTCGCATCCTCCAGGAGTCTTCTAACAAGCCTGACAAAGTTGGCTACAGGAGCCTCGTTTCCTGGATGAACCTGTCAAATAGAATAAGCACAAGTCTAAATATAGATCAGCTGAACACAGACAGAAATGACCACGGCGTAAAGACTCACACACCTGTTTTGAGCTAGATGTCAGGAGGCTCTTCAAGAGATTTTCAACACCTGCAAGATCCTCTGAACGTTCAGAACGTAACATCTGCAACGTGACCTGGAAACGCCATTTAGAGTCGGCGACAATTAAGAACTCCGAAAACATTTAAATACCAAAACAATACAGTCGGACTGCAATCAGATGTACTACCTGCATACTTCATATGACACCGCTGCATCCCCTTTGCTTTAGGTTTGAAAGTCAAGAAAGTTAAAGATTTCCATGATGCTTTTAATTGTCTAATCTGATTAGATGCTTAACTGCATTTACGTGTACTGGAGTTTACGATGTCCAATGACTATACAGTTGAATATGATCAGATATTAGCCCATATATTATGTCTACCTCTCACCTTTGCTCTTAAGCCCAGAGTGAGCAGTCTCATCTGCCTGTCTGTCAAGATGTCGGGGACGGCTTCGGTTACCAAGGAAACAAACTCCTCCACCATCCCATAATGAGGGATTCTCCTCAGACGAACAACCTTCCACATCACAGCCGTCATCACCCTCACAGGTGGAACGAGCAGCCTGAGCGACGACGGGGGCAGGCGGCCCTCTGCAAGGGGGAGCAGAGGCGTTATTTACTCCTGCTTCTGAGCGTTTGCTTTGCATACCAGGAACAAAAAGCAGCGATCACCATGAACATTGTCCCGATTGTTGGCAGAGAGATGTCCAGGAAGAAGAAGAGATGCTCCTTTCAGCAGACAGCTCAAATGAAGTGACCTGATCATCTGCAGACTGAACGCAGAGGTCACATGAAGTGACCTGATCATCTGCAGACTGCACGCAGAGGTCACATGAAGTGACCTGATCATCTGCAGACTGAACGCAGAGGTCACATGAAGTGACCTGATCATCTGCAGACTGAACGCAGAGGTCACATGAACACACGGGCGACCGTTTTACTGGTCTACTCTGTTAATGGGACTTCTACTTGGGTAAAATGACTTAAAGAAGAAACGAAGTTAGTCCTGAAGAAAAAGAAAATCTTTTTTATTTCGGGGTTTTCCATTGTCAGTTCGATAGTAGGTTGAGCTCTGGCAGCCCACTTATGGATCAACTTGGATCAATAATTACAATATACAACAAATAAAAACTGTTCATCAACACATGAAAAACCTTAAACGTTGTCTTGTCTTATTCAATCTTACATTCGTCATAAGCCCTAAATCATAATTTCCCGTTGTATCTGCCTAAAATACGAAGTTAGGACTTTATTGGTTCAATTGAGCAAACGATAGAAAGTTGCTGTTAGCATGAAAGCTAACAACATCAAAACAAACCGATATGACGAGAGGTTAAATTACCCATTTCCTTCCTCCAAGGAGCTGATAGTTGAAATGAGACGCAGGAGTAACGTTAATTTGTAATTAAAATCATTTCTCCTACAGTGATTAACTATGAAAAGGAGCGTTTAGCTGCTGAGGCTCCTCGCCGAGGCTGAACACTTCCTCGCTTCACTTCTTCTTCTCTACATTTAATTGGCGTGTCGCAACCAACTGGAATCGGTGCACATCGCCACCTACTGGACCGGAGTGTGCATTCCAGGGTACCCGTTTGGTCACTGATCGAACTGATAACTCAAAAGAAACAAATAAAAAAAATAAAAACCTAGCTTACTAACGACTAAATCCTGCCCCATACGGCCTCTTTAAGAAACCGCAGCAGTGCTCTTTAGCTTCTTCATCCTCCAAAGTCCACCTCCGTTCCACCGGCCCATGTTTGTTTCAAGTTGAACCTCTCTGAATTAACCCAGTGGATCCAGGATAGTTGTACTTTTATTCCCAGTCTTGGAAGTCTATACATTTTCAGGGATATTTCCAGTACTAAATCCTCTCCTGTAGTTCGTTTTGACATTTGGCCGTTGAAAGCTGCTGCAGAATGTGAACAAATGACCCCTCAGGTCTGACGTTTTCTACCTGCAGTGGCCATTTGTCCTGGTTACAAACCAATCTTTGAATCAAAGGGCCACTGCTGCACCTAGTTTGTGTTTTCGTTCACTCAGTAAGAAAGCGTATTGTCCAGGCGTTCTTTTCTTGTTGTTTCTTATTTATTTCGTAGAATCCACCCAAAACACATACATTAAAGATGTGCTGCCTCACTGGTAAAAAAGTGTCCGTCACCCAGGTGCATGCTGGTCACACCTGACCACGCCCCTAAGTAACCTCCAGGTGCCCACAGCATTACCCAATTAGTGATCCAATTACCCAAACAATTAAGCAAACTATATTTAAGAATAAATAACTAAATAATAGCTCCCGCACTACCCATTGCAGTCCCACGATTATTACAATCAATTCAGCTGCTTATATCTTTTTTTAATCTGCTCTGAATTAATTAATGATCTTCTCTTTATTACACCATACAAGTAACAAAACCAACATATGAAGTAGAAAATAAAAAAACAAAGCTCTCCAGTTAAACGTCAGTATTTCATGCTGTTTGGCCTCTTTCAGTCTTTTGTCCTGCTCCAGATTTATGAGTACAGTGTGTACAGATGTGTGTCTGCAGGGGATTTCTGTAGATGCACAAATCCCCTGGGGATTGGCGGGGAAGGCTTTCTAAAGGAGAGGGCCAAGTAAGTATTCCTCACAAAGAGAGGACACCATGACACCAGGTGTATCCAGCGCATGTTGAATGACAGCAGTGCCTTCGTGCACTTAAAGAGGATTTTACCTCAACTCTTCTCCTTTCAGATTCTCACCTCTTACGGTAAAGACAACCTTGATTGCTACTTGATTGTCACCAACAGCCAAACAGTGTGACATTTTGAATTTTAATTTTAGTAAAAGTAGCCAATGAACATTGTATGGTCACAAGGAGGTACAGATGCAGGTAAATAGTTCAACATTGGCCTCCATAAAAAGTTCCTCCACAAATGACTAAAAACTAGTCAAACATTAATGAAAAACACACAAGTCTTTCTTCACCTTCAAAACATTGCGAACTGATTTTGCGTTAACTGGTATCTTTTCTTTAAGGGTTTTCAGATAATACAAAACATATAATAATCCCATTTAACAGATTTAAAGATACAGAGATTATGTTGAAAAAGAGAATTAAATTCCCATTGACCTACTTGACTGATGATGAGTTCACACACGACCTTCGTTTTTACTAAACATTATTTGAATAAATGGCAAACACGCAATTCGTCAAATGTCTTTGTATTAGCATTTAGCATGTCTACATTATAAAGGATTTGTTATGAATAGCATTGGTATTGCTGCGTTTGACTGTCTGTTGGTGCATTTTGTAATTAGACATAGTGCCTTTTTAATCTTTTTAAAAATGTTTGCTCTCTCTGATGAGGCTTTAATCTCCGCCACATGTCCACACGCTTAAAAATCAGATCAATTACCAAGTCACATTCAGTCAAGTCACATTTTTCTGGCACTTCACGCACAAAGCCAAATTAAATTCAAAGTAAGCATCTGTCTATTATGCGAATGGACAGCAGAAGTACAGATGTGTACATCTGTATGTGTGTGTATAGCATGTATGTCAAAGTTACAGTATGTAAGTGTGCGTGTTTGACAGAGCGAGAGAAAAGAGAGAGTGTGTACATACGTGTGCCCGTGCGTGTGTAATTAAAACAAGTGATTTGTTTTTCTACACACGGATTATCCTCCTCTCCCAGCTGGTCAGAGATGGATTTGACCACCCCGACAACCAGAGAGAGGAAATCTGTTTGGGGCTTAATCCAAATTGGCACCCTTGATGATTTTTTTTTTCCAAACTGAAAATGTGGGAGTGCTTGACTATCAACTTGAAATCAGAACACGACTAAATATTTTTTGAGGTAATACAAGGCCCTGCTGGAAGAGATGGAAAATACGCACAAATGCCAAAATCCAGAATATCTCATACATTTTATAAGGCTGTGCACTATTTATGTTTGTTTTTTTTAGCCTCAATTCTGTAACAAATCCAATCAGCTCAGATCGTTTTGGCCTCGTTGATCCACTGATCGTATGCGGAGGAATTCTAGACTACTTCAAGACTTAACACACAACCAGGGACACACAACCATGGACGCACAACCATGGAGCTGCAGGTTTCTGCACATACGGCCTGTTTTTTGCACTAAACTGTGGTTAGGAAACTGCAACACGAACATGGACATGGACATGTCCATGTTCGTGTTGCAGTTTCCTAACCACGTTTTTGTCTTCTTGGAATTTTTGTAGTTTTGACCATTAAAGTCCTTTTTTGTTTGGAAACTCTGCGTGTGAGTCCTACCTTCCTCTCCCCCCGCACGGACCCTCTGACACATCTTTAGAAATCAAATAAGTTAATGGCAATGTTTTAACCGTTATAAGGCCACGCTAAATTATTTTAAAATAATCCAAAACATTTCATCCAACTTTTTGAACGTTACCGAGAGTTGGGAAACCCACAAATATGGAAAAGAGTTTTATTACCATTTCATAAAACAAGCCATGAAACAATCAACCGAGATGCAATACAGACTATCAGGTCCTCAAGGAAAGTCTTTTATATAAAAAAGAACACAGTTATATAATTTGATCATATGTTGTCATGGCCGTCATCAGTCACTGAAATGGTCTTTCAATATAAATACATTACAAAAAATTGGTAAAAATAATTTGCTTTACATACATTTCACAGCCTCAAAGTACTTTACACAGTTGATTACAAAATGAGCTTTCAGTGCATTCACGCTCTTCCAATCCGCATCCATCGGATCTGATTAAATGGCCTAAAGAGATTTAGTGTGCGGAAGACATCGTCAAAGTCAGGCACATGATTCAGGGACACTTCTGTTATTGATAAAAGTTCAACTTGAAATGTGAAATGTTTGTGAAAATATTTATAACATGTAATTGTTAACATAATTACCATTTCTTCATATTGTTAGTAGCACATAATGAACAATACGATAGAAAGGAAGTAGGAACTTCCTCACAAATACAATTGATACTATTTAACCAGTGACCTTAATTTATCATCGCATGCAGCATGGAGCACCTTCCTTGAATCAAATGAATAATTTCATTCACCACTAATGCCATTAATAAATCAATAAATCCCAAACATTACAAATAATTATCAATTCATAATGCTGACTTACGTATTGTAATGTTTTTCCTTCAATTTTAAAATGTCGTAAAGAGTTATGAGCAGATGTTAGCTTTGGTTAAATCCTATTAGTAACCCTGTGGAAGAGCTTCATAGCAGCTACAGTCATGAATGTCAATCAGAAACACAGCAGTGGCTTCCTGTGAGTGTGCTGCTCAATGTTGTTAATTTCCCGTTCTGTTGGTTTATTTTCGGCGCGACTACAGTTTACTGAAAGTGTTTCAAAACACAAAAAGAGACAAAGAGACATTTCTATTTTTTCATCCATGTTTTTGTTGATGTAATTATAGCTGCTTGATGTTCTTACAAACAATGAAATGCGGTTTTCTGTGAGAAATGTTGTTAATGTTAGTGAGAAAACGTAGTGAACCAGCTGCTTTTGCCTTTCATGCATGTGCCCCCTTTCTGCTGGTTTGGTCAAGCAGGTGAAATAAATGTAATGTGTCATTTCAATGTCCCTCAGCCTTCAGGTGATATTGGCCTCCGAAAACAAAATTCCTTGTACAAGTGCTCAGATAAAACACAGGTCCAAGAAGACAACTTACGCCATTTGTCATATAAAACACACATGGAAGTGTTGGTTGCCCAGTTTGTATCTCTGGAAACAAACAAACATTCTGCCGTAAATACAAATTCCATTTTGCAAACATTTTCCTGTTGAAGTTGATGTTCAGTGTTACCTGCAGATCATTTGGGCTTTTGAGTGAATGTAATTAACACGTGTGAGATTACGTCCATCCATCCATCCATTGTCAAACCGCTTATCCTGCACGCAGGGTCGCGGGGGGGCTGGAGTCCATCCCAGCCAACTTCGGGCGATAGACGGGGTGAGATTACGTGTGATTCATTATAATCATAGTGGAAATTAAAGTAGAGTGCATCTTTTTTCTATGGTCGGTGTAAATTGCCAAATATTTGAGATATTGTGAGGAGAAGATCAGGTTCCTCTCACAGAGGTCCTGACTGTGCAACAAAATGGACTTCTGAGCAGTTGAATTTAAATAGAGGCTTTAAATAGAAGATATGCTTCAAAACTTTGCATATTTCCTCAGCATCTACTGATATATAAAAAAAAGCTTCATCTCATTGACCGTGACCACTCGTCACACATCTGAGTCTAAAGGAAAGTTTCCTCGTAGCTCTCAGCAGGCTCCCCGAGTTCACAGCCTCTGTACACGGACCTGGCGACCTCAGAGAGCTCACTGGTCGCTCTGGTCACGCTGTCATAGGACGGTGGCGAGGACAGTAGCGCGTCCTCCGTTGTCTGTGCAATCTCCAGCCCGACGAGTCCATAGTGATGCATCATGGAGGCTATCAGCCCCTCCGTTTCTGGAGCGTTCTCCACATCCACTGCAGTCTCGTAGTTGATCTGCCTGTAGAGGTAGGACGCCTGCTTCATGTGCCGGCGCACCAGATGCCTCCTGTAACACCTCTGGATGACGGTCGCGGACACCTCTTCCAGTCTGCGCCGCAGCGTCGACGTGATGGGCTCGTGCGAGACCTTGGAGGGGTTGGTCATCATGAACTTCTCCTCCATCTGCTGCTTCAAGGCGTCCATCTCGCCCGACTCCCCCAGGACGCGCTTTGTGAAGGCAAACAGGATGTCCAGGCAGTGGATCCTATCCCCGCTGACCATGGGAAGGTCCATGGAGATCAGCTTGATCCTGTTGGGCTTAGCTATGCGCAGCGGCTCCGACAAGGTGTCGGCGAAGATCGACAGCATGGAAAACTCAATGAACTGCGTGGCCTCAGAATCAAACTTCTCCCACACCTCGTAAAACATTTCAAAGTCATCCTCGCTCAGCGGCTCTGTGCTCTCCTCCGTGGCCACGCTGAAGTTCTCCAGAATGATAGCTATGTACATGTTCACCACGATGAGGAAAGAAATGATGATGTAACTTACAAAGAACGCTATACCCATTGAGGGGCTGCCACAGTTGCCCCGGGTGTTGGTGCCGGTGTTGACATAGCGGAGGTCACACTCCTCTGGGGAGCTGGCCATGATGGGACTCAGGAGGTTGTCCCAACCCGCAGAGGTGCTGATCTGAAAAAGGCAGATCATGCTATTCCCGAAGGTCTCAAAGTTGAACATGTCGTCAAGGCCGTCTGTCTTTTTCACGTAGGCAAAGTTCGCCATGCCGAAGATCGCGTAGATGAACATGACGAGGAACAGCAGGAGGCCGATGTTGAACAGTGCTGGCATGGACATCATTAAGGCAAACAGGAGAGTCCTTATTCCTTTGGCTGCACGTATAAGTCGGAGTACCCGTCCTATCCTTGCCAGTCTGATGACCCGAAACAGGGTCGGAGATACAAAGTACTTCTCAATGATGTCGGCGAGAACAATTCCTGAATTGAGACAGAAAGACAAAGCGAGATTAGGATTATCTCACTGCATCAACTATGTGACGAGAAGCAGAAAACCGTCACCAGACATTGTGAAAATGGTACAGCACAAGATAAGATAAGACACTCCTTCATTAGTCCCACAATGGGAACATTTAGTCTGCTACCCGTCCGTCACCAAATGGCCGACAAACTTAGTTTATAGCTCGTGAGCATGAGGGAGCATTAAAGAGGCCGATATTTTCCTTGGCAGTTGGTGGAGACCAAAATAGAGCTAAAGGTGAATGGTGAGTGAATAGTGGAATTATATTGGACCAAATAGTCAAATACATGTTGATGTTTCTCCGTGCGTAGATGAGCACTAATTTGTTAACTCGATAGCCATAATAATTTCACAGGGTTCTAATGTTTACAACTTGTTTCTCCACCTCCAAGAGGCCAGAACAAATCGGTTAATGCAGCTTCAGGACATTTAAACACATTGTCATTTGTTGAGCAGCGGCCAGAAGTGAATATTTAATGGCATAAATCTTAAATACAAAAAAAGTAAGTAAAAAGCATTTGCCAAGGCTAAATAATGCTCTTCATCTGTTATTTAATTAATAAAGATGTTTAGAGATTTTAATCTGCACCTGGATTTGGATACATCTGCCAGAAATCTTTCATTGAAGGATGTACAGTAGTCCAAGAGAAAATAGCAAACATAAAAAGTAAAATTGTACAACGTTAAAAGTATTCTGCTAACAAACAACAGATAAACCAACGCTACTGAAAAATGCCCGTGGTCAAATAAGTTAATGTTGTGCTTATTTTCGGCGTCTCTACTTACCCACGATAGAGAGGACTATCACCACAAAATCAAAGATGTTCCACGCTACTGTGAAGAAATAACAGCGCAGGGCGAAGATCTTGATCAGGCATTCGGTGGTGAAGATCACGATGAAGACCAGGTTGATCTTGTTGAGGATGGATTCCTTGCGCTCTGACTGCTCGTCGGTTTCCACCATCATGGTCACCATGTTGACGATGATGAGCATCATGATTATGATGTCAAAGGCTTGCTTGGCCACGAGATCGAAGAAGAAGGCCTGGAGAAAATTCTAGGGGAATACAAATGGCTGTTATTGGTACAATTGCATGAAGAATGTTGGCAGGCAGGACGATAATCGGTGGTTATCGACACAGCGTCAAATGAGTAATATATATTGGGTTACCGCAGGCCTTGGTATTGGCTTTTGAGGCTTTTTAGATCCCAACTTCTTCATAGCGTTGTAGTACTTCTTCTGTTCTTCAGTCATGAAGATATCCTGCCCACCTAAGTATTGGCAGAAGCACTTAACGTTAACTTTACATAAAAATGTCAAAAGAATGTTGGATGATGAATAAAAGATGGCAGAGGCAACTGTTTACTTCCAAACTGAGCCAGTTCTCATCAAAATTCATAAAATAAAATAGAATATTAAAAATATTGGAAATCCTTGATATTTGATGTCCATTCTTTCGACTGGGAAATGAAATGGCATCTTGTGAAGGTACAGATTGGTTTGGGCCTGACGCCAGTGTTGCTAATACTCATCTTTCTTTTCTGCTGATTGAAATTGTCAATAATGACGCCAATGAAGAGATTGAGGGTGAAGAAGGAGCCGAATATGATGAAGACGACAAAGTAGAGGTACATGTAGAGGTTTATTTCTCTGATGGGTTGTTCCTCAACCTGAAACCAAACAGTTTAACAAGTCAGCTGGTGAATGGAGCTTAATCCAGGACGTAGGCTCAGGAGGTATAGATATACTTACTCCTCTTGAGTCCACCGCTGCATGCATTATTTCCATCCATCCTTTAAATGTAGCCTAAAATCAAATATCACTGTGCATTACTGTAAAGGTGCTGAATTGCATTGTGAATAACTACCTTATCCATTGAAAAAAAATATTAAAAATGGCCCAAATTAAAGTTATGATCACAAGAAAAACACGATTCCTCAAATAAAGGTTTGACAGATTCAATTAACTTCCAAGCAGCACAGCAAAAAAACAAAAACTACCCGCTCACCACTTGCAGAAGGGAAAGGTAGCCAAGTCCCACGTTGTCAAAGTTGACCTTCACTTTGGTCCAGTAGAACTGGGTGTCATTCATAGAGAGGCACTCCGACTTGTTGTTGACGACGGAGGCACTGTGAATGAAGCCCGTCCTGTTCACGCATTTCCCAAACTTTCCAGCAAACAGGTTGACCCCCATGATGCTGAAGATGAGCCAGAAGATGAGACACACGAGCAGCACATTCATAATGGACGGGATGGCTCCGATGAGGGCGTTCACGACCACCTGGTGAGCAACGGGTCAGAATTCAGTTCAGAGAGGTTCTCCACGAGTCTGTATATCAGCCATGAAAATCCCTCACCTCGCCGTTTTGAAACCAAAATAGGTGACCTACGTGAATCGTGTAGATTCGATGAGGTTTTGTTTTGGGGGGGGGGGTATTCATATTCAGTGAACTCCGAACAGGGTGAGTGATGGTTTTAATATTTTCTGGTCTAAGTTAAGTTACCCAGGAGCTTTGTTGACATAGACTTAGCTAACGTTAGCTACAGCTTGATGAATTGAGTCATTTAACACAGCAGGAGAGAACGCGACGTTAGCCAGCTAGCTAAAGCTCCGGTGGAAAATGATTAGCTAACGGTAGCGTTTTTGAGGAGGTAGATTTTGAGGCAGAAGGTAAAGTGGTCCACCGTTCCATCAATAAGCAGACCTGCCAACCTGATACGCATTCTGACTTCAAAGGACGATGAACGAATCATTGACCTGAAGACACGGTCGGGAGGTGAATTTATCTTACCCCCCGTCAACGAATGACTCGAAGAAATCTCTGGGACAAAACCAGTTGAAAACCCCTAGAGGGTTAATCTCCTTCTCACCTTTTTCACCCTTGACCCGTTTTCATGCCTGGTATATGTTATGGATGGTTATGTATAATTTATTTACATATATATGTAAGCACAATGAACCGCTGATTCACATGGGAATGTCATTGGTAATAATTTCATTTGTAAATGTAAGGCATTTGGTTGAGACACTTCACGGAACATCTTATATCCAAATCTATTGGAGGTGCAAAAGGAAAGGTCAGAGGATCATTAAGGCATTGGAATTAATCCTCTGGGCACCACGAATGTCTGTTCAAAATGTGCTGTTATTTCATAGGTCCTAACTTAATGTAACTCGCACAATGGAAATCTTTTTATAACCAGTAACCCACTTGTTATTTAGACTGCGGATCGACTTCTTGGTCATCCTCCTGAGATTCATCAGCAAGTTACTACTCAATAGAAACTCTGTTAACACATGACTGTGGCGTAGTTTAGAAAACCCATTTCTCACCCGCATGCCTTCGAATCTGGACAGAGCTCTGAGAGGCCTCAAAGCCCGCAGAGTCCTCAGGGACTTGATGGCAGCAAAGTCGGAATATCCCAGTGAATTTGCAACCAGGCTTATCAAGGACACCTACGTAGAGTACACAAACGCAAGTACACTGTGAGAATCATAGAAAGGATTCATCTTTTTCTTTAAATAATACAAGCCGAAGAAAAAACACTTTGTGAAAAGCACAGAATAAAGCATGTTACTTCAGAAACTGCATTTATTTTTATAACTGTTAAATTACTTTTAAACAATACAGTATAATTTATCATAAAAGACCATATAGGTTTAAAATATTAGAAGAGCCATATTTGAGCGTTTTTGTGTATTTTGGGGACATTCCACAGTTAGGAACACAATTATTTATTTTTTGAGGTTGATATTGGGTTTTGTTGGTTAATCTTTTAACAAATTTAGACTTCCACTCTATTCTACATCCAAAACAAACAAAACTAAATGGTATTCCGCTGTTGAATGACCCGTGGATGACAGCTATGAATGAAAGTGACGTGAAGTAAATGAAAGAAATTCATTTCATGATTGATGATGACAAAGCACAGACAAGTATGCACATATGGACAAATAGGGTCCACAAATGCATACTCAGCTATATATGCATATAAATATGTATATATATCAAATAGAGTGAGTTTTATAAAGAATTTAAATCTATTTTTGCCAAATTTGTTTCCCAATTTGCATCCAACAGAAGTCAACTATGTAGGACTTTTAAAGTCCCAATGCTCGGAATTTCTTTATAAAAGTCTATTTACACATGTGTTTGTCCAATATATCTAAAGAAGATTCTCAAAATTTACTCTTGCGACAATAGAAGTCTTTGGCTCAAAGAAAGTACAGACAGAAAAATGCAAAAACACTATAAAACAAAACAAGGTGGTAGTTTTCATAGAGAGAAAAAAAAGTTATTTGATAGTCACAATTATTGAAAGGATTAGTTTTTTCTTCTAAACAGACATAACAAATAACACTCAGCACATGAATTAGACACAACAACAGTTTAGACAAATGCTCCACTGGTGCATTTCTAATTTGAATCAAATATTTTCATATGTTAAATATCTTGTTGTATTATTTTAATATAAAAAGTTAAGTACATCTTCTGTAGATAAACCATAAGAGTAAATGACACTGCATCTGTTATGATAAAAGCCAAGGCCCCAGATGAACTGATTCAAAGAAGGAAGGGCCGGTAACGGCCTCACACCTTCAGCTCACTACACAAGAGGTTTGGACACGAGGCGGTGGCTTTCGATATCACAACAGAAAGCACTTACGAGTGAAAAAACACAGAAGCATTTGTGAGGCAGATGCAGGTTTCAAACCCCAGAACTCATACTCACCTGCGACCTGCCAACTACGACTTACCCTAACAATAGAGCGGTCTGTGGCAATCTGTGTAACAGCAGGTGAAACCAGAGGAGGTCAAGCACGCGGCACGCAGCACGCCACTGAGGATGACCTCTACAGAGCCACGCCCACTTCACCCAACACTTATGCAATGTAGCGTAACAGCAGTGGAGAATTGTATAATGATGTGCAATCGAGCTGTGTGTTTCCATCCAGGTTGGAAAAGAAACGATGTGTGGAGTGTTTTAACAGGAGGAGATGACGGGGCCGTTTTGTTCAAAGTGCTTTCCTGTTAATACTGTGACACCAAGCTGTAAATCCCCAAAACAGCCCAAAGCAACGTTTAGCTACGCAACTGCATTCTTTCATGAGGTGCAACAAAAGCACTAAAATGTTGGCTTACGTCCACGATGAGAAAGTCCAGCCAGCACCAGTAGTTGGTGAAATACTTCTTGAAGCCGTAAGCAATCCACTTGAGGAACATCTCCAGCACAAAGATGTAGGAGAAGATCTTGTCAGCATACTCCAGCACCACCTTCACAACCTTTCTCTTCTCAATGTAGATGTCTTCAAAGGCCTGCAGCCGGAGGGGGAACATCACATTACCCAACAATACTACAAACAATTTACCTTCATTGCACCTTCAAGCTTATCATATGGGGAAATTGTTATTTTTATTGTTAAAGTTTATTAACACACTTGTCAGTAAATGTCATCGGTGAAATTTCGGCAATAAAAAGCTTCAGTAACAACTGGTCACTGAACAGACCGGCGATCTGAACACTGAATTTTCTATTACATTCAGCCTATCATTTTGAATTTGCATTCAGTAATCCCAATCATCCCACTCATCTTGTGTGCTGCATTAAATCAAAATGCATGCTTGTGGCATGATGGTAAAAACCAGACTTGACTGATTTCATTACGAAGAAGAATAAAACGTACAAACAAACCACGACTCCAACGTAGACGTCACACGTTCTTAAAAAATCCTTTCAATTCATATATATATATACATTACACACAAGTATAGAAAAACGTGTTAATAAGTGAATAGATTGGCTTTACCAGAGCCCCACTGCTGAGCAGGATCATGAAGATAATGAAAGTCTCAAACCAGCTGTGTTCTACAATCTGGTAGCAGGTCTTCCTCAGCCTCCACCAGGCCCGGCCCAGGCCACGGCTCGTATCCACTGTACAGCAATGACAGTGCCTCGTGCACACTGAGCGGGAAGGCAGAAAAGACATGAGGGATTATTCATTCTGTACAAAGGATTTATAACGTGCTAAATGATTGCTGCCAAACGTAAAGCAAACTGTTTCCTCGGCTCACATTCTGGGAAGCATTCCACTGGCTCCATGCTCTCTTCAGCCACCTCTGATAAGTTGTCCATTTCTTCTCCAGGCTTCCTCAGATCCACCGTGCTGCCCTCTGATAGGCTGATAACCTCCTGGGTGGGGAGAAGTCTCACTGTTACCAACCAGTTTCTCACTTATAATTGACTTTGTTGAGAATTGAGTTGTATTAAGTTGCACTCGTGTAGCACAGAATACAGGCGGATGGACGTCGCAGTGGTTCTCCATCAGCTGCCGAGGGCTAAACACCTGCTGTGACCTGCTGCATGCGCAACACGCTTTAAAGTTTCAATCCAGCAGCTTTCTGTATTCCGCATGAATTCATCCCATCAGAGTTAGCTCACCTAGATGTACCGCCTTGCCTTCTACTCTCCTCTGAGCCGTAATTTAGTTTGGATGAGATTTTCACGTGTTGTAACAGCAACATATTTAACAGGATTCATAGAACAGGGCTGCAGTTCCAATCCTATGAACTGGTAGAGTTTAATAAAGCATTAAAGAGCATCCGCGGGACCTGGTGACCAGATTAGCATTGCTAGTTTTAGCGCCTGGAGACGGAGCAGAGAGATTGTGCACTAAGGGCATTTAAAGCTGGTGCCCCGGGTGTAGCTGTGATACCTGCACACATTCACTGCTTTTCTCTGTTCTTTCTTCATGAGCAGCTTCTTAATAAGCACAATATCGCCGTTTTCGCCGTCCAAAGCTACACAAGTCAAATTCATCCTTTTTTACGAATGAGCAGCTGCTGACGCCCAGTTGAGGTGAAGGATAGTTTGTTTTTCTCTTAATTGTGGTTAAGTGACTAGTGGAGCAGCTCAGGGAAATAAGAACGCAGAGCGCCAGCCTGCAGCTCAGTGCTCTGCTCAGCTGGGTCACTTTAATCTGCTCTCTCCACATCTGGCCAGCTGATGTCTGCCTGCCAGAGAGGACATGACTGCAACACGCCCTCCACCTCAACGCAGGGTGATGCTGATAAAGGGAGCGACCGCAGAGGGAGAAACTGGGAGCTTGATGAAGCCGGAGAGGGAAAGTTAGCAACAATAGCATTCGATGACAACATAAACTGTTTATTTATTGAAAAGCTGCTCAAGTAGCTGATATTCATAATTATTTTTTTCAAAGTTAATTTATGTTATGTTCATGTTTTTTGTGCTCACACCAGCACTTGTTACACAATTAAAATGAGTCTTCTTTTAAATGCATGAATATACTGTTATAGTATAACTAGCAAGATTTACTACACATGAAGTAGTAAAGTAATAGTGGTCAACATAGCAAGTCTTGGACAAAAATGTCTACTTGTGAGCATTGAATTCAATATGTGTCACTAGCAAACGCCAAAATAAATGGAGCTGAAAAAACACTTTCCTCATGATTATGCTGAAACTATCTAAATCCATCAAGCACGGTTATTTTTGAGCCTGAATTCTGCAGAAACAATCGAGCAGAACATTTAACTCAGGCTGGGTTCATCTGGATTCCTCTTACTTAGTGGTTTTAATGGCGAATGGGCCTCTTGCTTCACAAAAAGCAGTAATGTAAGTGGATGCTGATAATCCGTAACCCACTGCAGCAGTAGACCATGAGGGGGGTTCAGGTCTGTTTTAACACAGGAGTTGAAAAACCCACCGGTTTGTTGTCTTCATCCTCTGAAGACTCAGAAACCTCCTCCTCCTCCAAGAACTCCACATCCGACTCTCCGGGTGCAATCGGAACGATGACCGTCAATTTGGGATTTGTCATGTAGCTGTCTTCCTCTGGCACGAAATACTTTTCGCCGTAGCGTCCGAAGATCCCACCATTGCTTTCTATGTGATTCCCGACCGGCTTGACGGCCTGGTTGACCTTCTGCTTCCGACACTTCAAGCTGCGGTTGAAAAGGTCGACGACGCACGCGGCGAGCCAGGAGACACCGGATTGGATGCGGGCGATGGCGATCTGGATGTTGTTCAAATCGCCATCCTCTTCCGGAGCAGAGAGGTTGTCGGAGCTGAAGGAGCTGAGCAGCAGCGCCAGAAAAAGATTCAACACCTGTGGACAGAGAGGTGTTGTGTCACGTTACATCTGGCTGGGACAGATGGAGACATTGTCCATGAAAATGGACAGAGAATGGCGGGTTTACATAATGCCTCAGCATGCATTTTTCTTTACTGACTAAGAGCGTAGGTTAGCGTGTAAGCTTAAGATTAAGTGTACCTCATGCATGACCTGATCTCCTGCGTATTTTGTCAACAAGAGCAAATCCTGCATTGTAAATTCTGGAGGACCTTCTACACAGATACACATATGGCCTCTTTCAGCCACACTGAACTCAAGTTTCCAAGCATCCAGCTCCCAAGTAATCCGTCTGCTAGCTTAGAGAGCAGCAGCATCAACCACATCTCTGCACAGTAGCCTGTGTGTGTGTGTGTGTGTGTACTGCCGGTGTGCATGCGCGATGTGCACAGTTGGTGAGGATCATCTTTAGCCACTGAGCCAGTCAGAGATGGGGAGCATGAGCAGATGATTAGTGATGGACGCCCTCCGGCCTCCTCGCCCCTAAGCATCCTGGATAATCCCTTTGGATAAACAGCTTTCCCACAATTCATGTGCAGAGGAGGTTTCTGTCCATTAAACTCAACAAGAAGGACCTTCGTGATCTTTGCGCTGACAACATTTTCACTGAAGGTGTCGATATCCAACACTTGCAAAACAAGATAAACTGCCGCGTGCATCCTATGTCATTGCTTCTCAAAGGGCAGAAACATTATTTCAAGTTATGTTGCGTGAGTTAGAAAGCGTGAAATGGTGTGAAACCAACCGGCTGAAGATTATAAATAGTGCTGGAGGTTCATTTTGAACTCTCGCTGCTCCTCAACCTTTGCATTTCAGCAAAGCACAAACAGCATAAGCACTTTTTAGCTTAAAGTCTTTAACACACAAGTGTAGGAAAACCGTCTCCTTATTTTTAGAAACCATGTTTTGTTTGATGGCAGGAAAGACTATACAAACTATATGTGAGTTAGTTAACAACTTAACCTCCAGCTGCCTCGTAACATTTCTTCTGCATATTGTGGTTAAATCTCCACAAGCTGATGGCGTGGCCATGAATGAGTGGTACAGGGTACAACTATTGAGCCACAGTATTATAGTGTCAGATTCTGAGGAGGTTTCACTCTGTCCTCTTAGATACTCACGTGGAATCGTCTTTATAAGCGTGTGAATTCTTCAGCTATGGCAAAAACGTGTTTGGTGAGTAACCATTGACCACCAAATTCTAGCCAGAAAACAGATCAGGACAAATCTTCATAACAATAAAAATGAAGCGTAGCTAAGGCCGATGTAATGCAGCAACAGACCAAGGGACTATTATGTCCGATTCCAAGAATCAGCTCTAAAATTACCCCACAGGCAAAGTAAAAACACTGCAACTGCTGGCCGCCTGCTCTCTTCTCATTAATGTAAGCTTAGAACACAGCTTAGAACAAATCACCATATGGGCAAACCAACATATATATATATATATATATATATCTATATAGAGAGAGATAGATATAGAGAGCAACAGTAGTTTTGTACAAGCAGAGCTGTCTTCCTGATGGACTACGTTTAACAGAACCGTGCTATGACGTGTAGCATCCCCAGTGAACCTCGGTACCTGCTGCACCGGCTGGAACCGCAGCAAGGACACTGTGTGGCGTGGGCTAATCCTCTGTACAGTACTTAGGTCACAGTTGCCCCCATGAGGCTTAGTTCATTAGCAGTGGATAAAACATTCAGCCCCGATGGACATGAGGCTGCAGTAAAGCCGCTCCTCGCGTCCAAACCGTTTTGGTTACACAGAAATCTGAGTTGGCAAAATATATAGCGACGAGGCACCAACAGCTGTTTTAGGATGTCCCACATTATATTATGGAGTCACCAACCCTCATTGGTGCGACAACACAATCCCTGATTACACATGACATCATCACTTGTTTGGATGGACACGCAGCTGCAGCTCTCTCTAAATCGACCTCCTGCTGTCATAAACTGTATATGCAAAGACTTAGCTTTTATTCTTTAGTATAAATATTTGTTCTGGTGACGGAACATATCAACCAGTACAACAGAGGAGCATTTGCACGTCAAATGGACGTATACAGTTGTTCCTTAATAGTGTAAAATAAAAATGTATTTTTTTTCTAGGTTACCCTCCTGGGTATTATGAAGGTAATTTATATAATAATGATAAAGCTTCAGATTCAATGTTGTTTTTGGTCATGCGCTTATTTGAAAAATAAGTCCAAATGAAATACTCACCACCAAGTTCCCAATAACCATGACCAACATGAAGACCAGGATACAGAGCGGCTGCCCGGCCACCTCCATACAGTCCCACATGGTCTCTATCCACTCGCCGCACAGCACCCGGAACACAATGAGGAAGGAGTGGAAGAAGTCCTTCATGTGCCAGCGAGGCAGCTGACAGTCGATGGAGATCTTACACACGCAGTCCTGGTAGTTCTTGCCAAACAGTTGCATGCCCACCACAGCGAAGATGAACACGATGATGGCCAACACCAGCGTGAGGTTTCCCAGCGCGCCCACCGAGTTGCCGATGATCTTGATGAGAGTGTTGAGAGTAGGCCAGGATTTTGCCAGCTTGAAGACCCGTAACTGAGGAGGAGAACAAAGTGAGGAAAAGAACATTTTTACAAGAAACTGCTTGTTTCAGTTGAATTTAAATGCTCTCACTTGGAGAACTGAATCCTTTGTCAATCACCTTTGATTTGTTCAATTTAAAACAACAGAAAGGCAAACAAGGCAAATTGTTTGTTGAAATGAGTGATTTTTCTGTTACCAGTCTGAAAGATCGCAGAACCGACAGCCCCTCCACATTGGAAAGACCCAACTCCATCAGACTGAGGCAAACAATGACGCCGTCAAAGATGTTCCAGCCCTGTTGGAAGTAGTAGTAGGGGTCCATGGCGATCAGCTTCAGCACCATCTCAGCTGTAAAGATGCCTGTGAAAACCTGTAACAGGTACAGAGGGAGATGTGAAGGTGAGAGATGGAAAAGCACAAATATCCTTTTCTTATTGTATTTCATCACATCAAGACGCACTAATTCATATTTGTATAGTAGCAATGTGTCAAATGGATCGGGATTAACGGGACAGCTTGTGCTCACTGATGGTTAGAACCCAACTGTGGATTCCTCAGCTCATAGTTTGGGTTTAATGCTCCGTTTGGTTCAGTCTCACCGCGCGGATCACCGAGCCGAAGCCGTTCTCAGCAAAAAACTGTTATGCTAAACCCACTGCACACTTCTGGCCCAGTTTCAAACCGCAGACATAAAAACACTAAAGTACCAACTAGCCGGTGAACATAGTGGAGCGTTTATCAGCTGAAGAGGCGGATCTCTCCCAAACCAAAACAGAGCAAGAAGCAGAGTGAATTCTTACAATCATATTCTGGACTCAAACAGAACTCCAGGTGAATGATAATGTTAGTCTGCATCTGCTGAATGTTTAAATCTGTTTACTGAGCTGCTGTGAAATGTTAATAAAGCATTCACATCAAATTCACCAAAAAACTTTGAGGAAAGGGTAAAAGTAAAAGAATATACTAGAATGGATACTATTTAACACGTTTGATATGCCTGTGATTTACCAGCAGGGGGGATGTCAAAATAGAAAATGGGGAATCAATCTCGCTCCCGGCTAAAAATACCCCCTCTTAAGGATAATCGCAAAATAGTCAACAGAACACTTGATGAGGGATCAACACGGCCTTATTTAACCTTCACTGCTATCGGTTATTAAAACTGTTTGATGTAGAAAGACATTATCTGAAAGGATGCTGTTATCTTTCCTCTTGACTTCTTCTCCACTCCAAACCCAACAGCACCAACTGTCCCCCCCGACCTCTAAAAGGCCCTTACCAGATTGCCCACTGAAAGCATGGTGTTGAACTCCTCAGTCATGGGATAGTGCTCCAGGGCCATGAAGAGGGTGTTCAGCACAATGCATACGGTGATACCCAGGTCCAGGAAAGGATCCATCACCATGCACTTCACCCAGTCCTTCATCTTCAGCCACCAGGGGCAACAGTCCCAGATCAGGTACCTCTTGGCGAATCTGTACCAGCAGGGATGGCACTTCTGCCTCGACACCTCGAGCTCTGCAAAGGAACGGTGGTGAATTATTCATCTCCAGGCCTCCCTGAGGTCAAAGTCAATATGATGCTACAGTTAATAGTAGATTAGTTTAGTTTAGCAAAAAAGGCTGAAAATGGAGGCCGACGGCGTGCGTAGCTCCGCCCAAAGGTATTAAAATCCACCGAATGTTTACTACTTAACACAGTAATCTAATGTGCTGGGGAGGAATTAGTTGTCAGGTACATAATCCCTTGTAAAATTACAGTGTGTCAATTTTGCATTTTAAAAATGAATTAAAACGTGATTAAACATATCAATAAATTAGATTTTGAGGTGGATTTGTGTTGCATTTAAAAGGAGCAATCCTAGCTGTTTCCCCCCGTTTTCAGTCCGTGTGCAAAGCTGAGCCCACCGGCTGCTGGTTCAAGCTTCAGGCGCACCGACTCGGTATTGAACGTCTCTTTTTACTTTCAACAACAATAGAAAATGAACGTTTTTTTACCCCAAAATGCGACTCTATTCCCGCGTTTTTCAAAAGGACTCACCCCCCATGGCATCGCTGAAGAAGCTGACAGAGCTCAGCCCTCTTTTCCTCTGCACTGGGGGGGGCTCAGTCACTGTCGGGGAGGGCTGCAGGAACAGTCTGGGAACTGTGTCTTCCACACCGGTGAACTTCTGGTGGATAGAAGACACCTCCAAGTTAAAATGCAATGCTTGGATCTCAATCAGCTATTAATTAAGGTCTGTTTCCCTGCTTCAGGATTTTGTCTCTCACTGTGTCTTCTTTGACCCTCTCCATGCTGTGTGCCGGCATGGAGGTGGGAGTGTGGAGGCCCAGGGTGGTGATTCCATTCTGATCAATGGAGATGTTTAGCCGGCCATTGACGTTGAGGCTGGGCCCGAAGATTTGAGAGCAGTGGCTCCGCACACTGCCCGCCCTCCTCTTCCACGGCGTTGCTGTTGAACTGGTGCGACTCCTGAAGGCGTCCCCGTGCGCGCTGTACTCGTCGTCCCCGAAGTCAGCCTCCGAGTTGTTGTGCGCCCGAAAAGCGCTGAAGACGCTGACCTGGCTTCCTCTCCTGGTGCTGAGCGGGTGGGAGGAGAGTGTGGCCAGCAGAGGGTGGACGGGGAGGGGAGACAGAGACGGCTACAGAAACACAGAGGACCGATTAGTTTCTCATAAGAACACCAACGACTGGGAGAATGGATGATGTACCATTGGCTCATCCAGTGGGTCAAACTTCTCTTCAGCAGCTTCTTCTGCCGTTTCCTCTGACAGCGGCCGATGTGATCGTCTCCTCCTGCTGCTGTTTCGACGTATGCTGCCTGTCTTCAGACAGACCGGAGACAACTCTGGGGACAACACTGAGTCTGTATCCTGTGCTTTTAGTCTTTTTGCTGCCAGCTTAACACAGAAAGGAGTTGTGTTACAGGAGATCATTTTTTTAAACTTTTGTCCCAAATTGAAAGCACTCATTCAAATATGAAGATCCTGGCCGACTGTCTGCGTTGAACCTACTCTTTGCTCTGTGCGGAGGTGCTCCATGGCCAGCTGGAACTCCCTCTCCTTCTGCCACGCCTCAGCGATGGTGGCCTGATTCTGCTCCTCGTAGGCCATGGCCACTACAGCAAGGATGAGGTTGACCAGGTAGAAGGAGCCCAGGAAGATTACCAGCACAAAGAAAACCATGTAGGTCTTCCCTGCTGAACGCAGCGTCTGAAGGAGCAGACAGGAGGTCAGTACAAGCAAAGTCACACGATAACACTGATATACAGTACCACATATATATATATATATATATATATATATATATATATATATATATATATTCAAACTGATCGAGTTCTCAAGAGCAATGGTATTATGTACTGTATATAGTATATTATGTTATATCACAGTTTATAATGCATCATAGAAATGTGCGCCATAGAGTGTTAACTGGTTTCTTTTATCATCATTATTATTTGACATTTGATAGAGCAAAACTATGGTGTTCTACTATGTTCATGTGTATCAAAATACACATGCACATACTGTATATATTCACCACAAACCAACACAGAACATTGTTAGATTCAGAAATTGCACCTGGTGGAACAGTTTTTCCCAGTAGTCTTGTGTCATGAGTCGGAAGAGGCCGAGAAAAGCCCAGCCGAAGGTATCAAAGCTGGTGTAGCCATAATTTGGATTCCTCCCTATTTTTAGGCAGTCAAATCCATCTGGACACTTCCTATAATGCACAGACAGTTGACAGGCAGAAGGTAGATGGTTATGGAACAACACTTACAAACAAAGGCTGTGCTCAATCATATCAGTGGCAGCTGGATGAGAGCGAGCAGACTGCTTTACGGCTAAGAACTTCTCCAGCATCTACGTACATGTGGCCCGGTGGCCTTTGACCCCACAGGGGGGAGAGGCACATGAGGCAGTAAGTACACACACTGCTATCAACTGAAGAGGGCATTCGACATTTGTTCCAGGCAGGAACACTAACATGTACCGCAGTGAAAGGGATTACGCTGAGCCAGATGGATATCAAATTGTAGTCCAAAAAAATGTTTCCATGCATTCATCTCTGATCTTCATTGTCAGGAAGCGTAGTGGCATTACGGCAAATATTTAAGTCCAGAGGCTGAAAACAAGCTGGACTGTCACGTCAATCTGAGTGCAGAATAATTTCGTAATGGCGGGCAAACAGCTGGCCAGCAGAGCGCTGCTGTGAGAACAGCTGTAGATCAGCAGCCAGTTAAGTAGGAATGCTCACTAATATCCAGTGAAGCAGCACGCGTGAGACTAGCGGCATCTTCCCCTCTGCTGCCCCGCTCACCTCTTTTACTCTTTTATTCCGATATCCAGCATATTTCAGCCATTAACTATATCCTGTCGTCACATCACATTACTGTTTTATTGGATTTAATGTTCCTAATAAAAATTATAACTTTTCGAGCTAATCTCATTAACCACGCTGCTCCCCAACGGTGTCACTTAAACAACTGCAGGAATTTTGCAGCTGGACGCTGCTGTGAGAGACAAGGCGTCTGTCCGGCTGGTGTCCCTGAGGTTTATGGTACATATGGAAGACCAAAATATGATGTTGTTATTTACTGTTTACATCCTCATTAGTACTCTGGATGTGTGTGTGTGTGTATTATTCTCAAGCCATAAGTATTCAAATATTGTTTACCCTGATATTTAAGGCCACCATTGCTCTTCATTCATGTTCATTTGATCTGATGTCTCAGCAGACTCTTGAAACTTCTTGCTTCTACATTAATATTGATGTACTGCCGTGCAGTTAAAGGGCAAAGTGATTGACAGAGTTTGGACCAAATTCCATCATAACTATTATGTTTGAAAATGATTTTAAAGTAATCAGAAATACTGTGAAAGGCTGTGCTCAATCATATCAATAAAGGAGCAAAAATAGTATGAAGCACTCTTAAACTTCATAAAGTCTTGTTGGACCACGGCAACAGAATCCAGGTGTGTAGGAGCTCAATGTGTTTGTAACCATCACTCGGGAGTGTTTTCCCTCTGTGGTGTGAGGGGCTGAGGAGAGGTTCCTGTGCCCAGAGTCATAATCCTCGATGCATAGTGGCTTTAAGATGTGAGGGGATCAGCATTTGGACTCTACAGTAGGAGCGGGAGAGAAACAGCTTGGACCGATGAAGCAAATCATTTATCGCATATTCTTGTTAACCATCAAGGCCGAAAATATCCTGAGCATGTATGTGTGTGTGTGTGTGTGTGTGTGTGTGTGTGTGTGTGTGCATGCCTGCTCACTTGTGTATGTGTGTGTCGTCATAACGTATCCAAAGCTTCAATTTGGAAAACTACTCAGGGATTACTTGCTGGAATACACTCAAAAGATTAAGCATCCTCTATGTTTTACGTCCTCAGTCCTGACCTGCTTAATATCTTGTCTCTCCAGAGCCTCAGAAAGTTCCGTCATCAATGTTAAATTTATTTTTTCTATGGTAACTCTGACCTATGACCTCGCAACTGCGTCACGGCCGGTTTCTCTGTATGATTTAACATCAACAGAAATGGAATAAATACCACAAACCTGTTGATGACAGAGCAAAGTTTAATTTAAATGTAGATAAAATGAATATTACCCTGTTTTTGTAAAAATAAAACGTTGACATAGAAAACATAGTTCCTGTGAAATTAGACAGTGAAAAGTTAGAGCTCCACAAAATAGTAGGGAACAAATCTAAAGCAGGCCAGCTGATTGGCAGGTCAACTTTGGGACAGCTGGTAGGACGTTTGGTGGTATTCTGATGTTACGGACCTACAATTTATGGATGTTTGCTGCTGTCATTTACCTCAAACGTATCCTCTTTTGGCTCCAACAAATGACTGAATCAGATTTGACTTCTTGGGGGATTAAACTCTGGTGTTTTTGGAGTAGAGGCTACTGAGTGAGATTAAAACTAAATGGTGGACTGGACTGACTCTGACATCAATATAAATCTCAATCCAAGATAAAAGGATGAATTCATATAAATAATTCACTTGAAAAAATGCTCAACAAAAGAGAACAACAAATAGCTGAGGATGTTTAAATGTTAAATATGAACTAATGTAACTGTATCTTTTTGTCTACCAACACTATTTTGCTCTTTTAGTGTTTAAAATGGTTTTGTTTAATTATATGTTTTCTTGTCAAGCAAATAACTTCATTGTTACTTCAGCAAATGGAAAAAACAAATTGGTACGCATGTTACACTGTATGTATGAACTTGCCGTTATTGATCTATAAACATATAGACCACAAGAGTTATTTTAAGAATTTAAGAAAAAATCCTGCCCCAAACCTCCCTGTTAAAGCTTACTATCATTACTACTTTTTATTGTTTGCCATCATCCATTATCTTTTATCATTACCAAGAGCACCTAATGGAAGCCATTTGTCGAAGCTGCAGGATTTCAGATTCACACAGATGGGTATTTAGTTCACCACAACCCTTGAACTGGGCCTGGCATCGGCAGAATCTGAGTCATCCTGTGCTTGTTTCAAAAGCATTTGGATTTATAGGATTATTCAGTGCGTAGGCTGAATAGCAATATTTGGAAGGTTTCACGCTGTGCGTTTGATTGGGAACAAAGTACACAGATAAAATGTATTTTATGCATCTCTACGTTTGTTCGAAAATGTCCCTGCTCCATCACAAGGACACGGACGTCAGAACAGTGTCCCCTCTGGACAATAACAAAATATCAATCTGAAAGAATCGCATCTGCTCCAGGGGACCTGATCATCTCATAGAGCTTTTGGGATGATGAAATCTTCAAAGACCCCCCTCCTCTCCGGCCGGTAACTCCGTGTTTCTCTGTAACGGGTTGCAGTGGAGGCGGGGTGATTATCCACATGTCGTCTGTACAGCCTCATCCACACATCACGCTTATAAGTCTGTTTCTAATCCTGCAAAAAGTATTTGTCGACTTTTGCGGAAGCTACTGTTTGCACACATGACATGCATAGAATTGAAAGCCATTGGGTGTTAAATATGAAGTATTATGTTTATGTAATAGCCTGCAGATGATTATCAAGCAGTAAGCAGCACAAACACTCCCTTACCCTGCATCACTTCCATATCCGCATATCAAGGCATCCTTTGCTCCTTCAACTTTGTAAAAATTATCTAGGGAAAAAGGGCGGAGAGAAGGTTGAGAAGTCGCTGCTGTTAATGAATGTTACTGATAAGGGGCAGAATTCACTTGATGTACACATGTGTTGTGTTGCTGACCTTCGCTGGTGAGGAAGTCGGCCCTGGAGCTCCAGGTTCGGTTGTTGCAGAGGAAGGATGCGTTGGGGCTGAAGGAGGAGTTGACGCAGTGCGCGAGGCTGCGGATGCACTTTTGCCGCAGCAGGCCCATGAAGAGCTGCAGGCCGATGAGCGCGAACACGCTGAGGCAGAAGACGGTCAGGATCATCACGTCTGCCAGTTTCCTCACAGACTGGATCAAAGCTCCTACGATGGTCTTCAGACCTTGATGGAAGAGAGTAGACGGTATATCAATTGTTTGGAAACACTGGAGAACATTCCGTTGTCTGTTCATGTGTAGTGGTCACCTTACCTGGGATGACTGAGATGGTTTTCAGGGCTCTAAGTACTCTGAAGGTTCTCAAAGCTGAGACGTTTCCAAGGTCTACAAATTCTGTCACATATCTGAAACATGATGAGAGGATTCATGAAGAATCTGTGATCATTTGGGATAATAATGCATTTTATGCAACGCTTAAAGGCTTTTATTAGATATGACATTCTGTCATAGTTACATTTCAATTAAATGACATACATTACGTACATTATGTATTTTTAGTGGCTTAGCAACTGGTTTGATGTGGTTGATGTGTAACTAATAAATCCAGCATTTATTCTTCCTTCTGCTCTATTTTGGTTTCCCCCAAATCAGCCAGAAACATCACAAGAGCTAAGAAAGGGAACCAAAAGAGCAAAAGGACCAGCTGAAAGGCTCTAAGATGTTACAGTGGAGTGGAAATGCAGACGGGTAATAATCGCTGAAGGTTCAGCTCACAAATAAATGGTAAATGGACTGTACTTGTACGGCGCTTTTCTAGTCTTCTGTCCACTCAAAGCGCTTTAACACTACATGACATCATTCACCCATTCACACGCATTCACACACTGATGACAGGAGAACCACACACAGTGACACCTGCCATCAGTCACTAACATCCACACACTGTAGTCGCCGCTACAGGAGCAGTACTACAATAAGTAGTCATTCAATCCGTTGTTGATATAAAACCAAAATGTAGTGACTGCGGTGCAACAGGTTAAACCCTTATTAAGAGATAAAACAAAAAGAACGGCATGAGTCGATCACCTGGGAAAGGAAACGACAGAATAACCTGAACCAGAATTAATCAAAAACAAATAGAATCGCTGAAGGTGATGACAGCTTTCAGTGTTCATGGGCTGTAAAGGGGATTTTGTCTCGCTGTTTCCAAACAAAGCAAACGTCCTATCAGGATAATTGGTTTCAGACAATGCTGCAACCATCGATGGCGAGGTCACCTGTCTAATCTGCTACCGGCATCATGACCCGCGGATCTGTGACCCAGTGTTAATTTTGGCAGCTATTTTTGATTTAGTCTCAGTCTCAGTCTTTAGAGGAAAATGCATATTAGTTTTAGTCACATTTAGTCATTTTAATCCTTTTTAGTTTTAGTCTAGTTTTCGTCGACCAAAACTCTCATTTTAGTCTAGTTTTAGTCGACGAACTAGACTAAAATGTAATTAGTTTTAGTCACATTAAATAGCCATATTAAACCTCTTTTCTTCCCTTCTCAGGCCCAGGGACCCCCTGTGTTGTGTCTACAGCTGCATAATAGTCTAGCTTGCAGTACTTGGTTGTCCATTAGATGTCCCTCCTAGGACAGGCCTATTGATGTCCCTTCTAGGACAGGTCTATAGATGTCCCTCCTAGGACAGGTCTATAGATGTCCCTCCTAGGACAGGCCTATAGATGTCCCTCCTAGGACAGGTCTATAGATGTCCCTCCTAGGACAGGCCTATAGATGTCCCTCCTAGGACAGGTCTATAGATGTCCCTCCTAGGACAGGCCTATAGATGTCCCTCCTAGGACAGGTCTATAGATGTCCCTCCTAGGACAGGTCTATAGCAAGTCGGCTAACTTTTTGACTCGCGGCCACAATGGGTTGTAAAATGTGACGGAGGAGCCGGGCCAAGAACAAATGGTTGAAGTGTGTGTGTGAGCTGATATAAATGACATGTGAAAAATCATTACATGAAAAGATTTGGATTTTAACAAATAGCAAAGCATTTATTTGCAAGGCAATTTAACAAATTGGCAAAGGTGTAACAACTTCATGAGGACCAGGGACCTAAACACTTTGTTGTCTTTGTCTGTTTCCTTGCAATGCTTTTGAAACTTCATGCTCCTTTATTGTTTCCACTGTCCCAACTAAAGAGACCTTGACGTCCTACAATGCAATACATTATTTTCTTGAAGGCAGTGAGAGATTTCACTCACACACACCAGTGAGATTTCACACTCACTAGTGAGATTTCACCCACACACACTAGTGAGATTTCACTCACACACCAGTGAGATTTCACACACACTAGTGAGATTTCACCCACACACACTAGTGAGATTTCACTCACTCACACTAGTGAGATTTCAAACACACTAGTGAGATTTCACTCACACACCCCAGTGAGATTTCACTCACACACTAGTGAGATTTCACTCACACACCAGTGAGATTTCACTCACACACCAGTGAAATTTCACTCACACACTAGTGAGATTTCACTCACACACCAGTGAGATTTCACTCACACACCAGAGAAATTTCACTCACACACTAGTGAGATTTCACTCACACACCAGTGATATTTCACTCACTCACACTAGTGAGGTTTCAAACACACTAGTGAGATTTCACTCGCACACACCAGTGATATTTCACTCACACACACTAGTGAGATTTCACTCACACACACCAGTGAGATTTCAAACACACTAGTGAGATTTCACTCACACACACCAGTAAGATTTCACTCACACACACTAGTGAGATTTCACTCACACACACTAGTGAGATTTCACTCACACACACTAGTGAGATTTCACTCAGACACTAGTGAGATTTCACTCACACACACCAGTGAGATTTCACTCACACACCAGTGAGATTTCACTCACACTAGTGAGATTTCACTCACACACTAGTGAGATTTCACTCACACACACCAGCGGGATTTTACTCACTCACACTAGTGAAATTTCACTCACACACACTAGTGAGATTTCACTCACACAAACCAGTGAGATTTCACTCACACACTAGTGAGATTTCACTCACACACACCAGCGGGATTTTACTCACTCACACTAGTGAAATTTCACTCACACACACTAGTGAGATTTCACTCACACACTAGTGAGATTTCACTCACACACACCAGTGAGATTTCACTTACTCACACCAGTGAGATTTCACTCACACACACTAGTGAGATTTCACTCACTCACACACACCAGTGAGATTTCACTTACTCACACCAGTGAGATTTCACTCACACACACCAGTGAGATTTCACTTACTCACACCAGTGAGATTTCACTCACACACTAGTGAGATTTTACTCACTCACACACACCAGTGAGATTTCACTCACACACACCAGTGAGATTTCACTTACTCACACCAGTGAGATTTCACTCACACACTAGTGAGATTTTACTCACTCACACACACCAGTGAGATTTCACTCACACACACCAGTGAGATTTCACTCACACACACTAGTGAGATTTCACTCACACACACTAGTGAGATTTTACTCACTCACACACACCAGTGAGATTTTACTCACTCACACACACTAGTGAGATTTCACTCACACACACCAGTGAGATTTCACTCACACACACTAGTGAGATTTCACTCACACACACCAGTGAGATTTCACTCACTCTCACTAGTGAGATTTCACTCACTCACACCAGTGAGATTTCACTCACTCTCACTAGTGAGATTTCACTCACTCACACTAGTGAGATTTCACTCACTCACACACACCAGTGAGATTTTCACTCACATAAACTAGTTAGATGCGCACGAGTGTTTCATTAGTACGCGTGAGAGTGTCTCAGTAAAGACACTCCTAAATTTAGGGAGAAAAAAGTATTGTGACTTCGTCAACCACCAACATGTTCGTCTCGTCTCGTTAACAAAAGTTAGAATAGATTTAGTCATGATTTTTATTTTTTAAGATCGTTTTCATCGCGTCTCAGTCATGGGAAAAAAGGTTGTTAACGAACACTTTTCGTCATAGTTTTCGTCGATGAAATGAACACTGCTGTGACCGTAACAAGAGGCTCATTGTTTTAAATCACTACTCTGGATGACTGAGGAATTGAAAAGTACATTTGTATGTTTTGTCTTAATTATTCACTATCTTCATTATAGACTATTTGGGTGGACTTTTTGAATAAAATGTTTATGCACAATGTCGAACCAGTAAAGAGAAACAAAAGAATCAAACATTAAGGACACTGTTACTTACGCCATGAGAATGACGCTGAAGTCCAGCCAGTTCCATGGATCTCTCAAGAAGGTGAACGGCATTATACAGAATCCTCTCGCTAATATCTTTATCGCCGACTCAAAAGTGTAAATGCCAGTGAAGGTATACCTGAAAACAGACCACGGAGGGGAAAAGAAATGCATTGAGCTCTGAAACAAGTGTAGCTAACGATGTTTTGTTGATCAATAAAAAAAAACACAAAGCATATAAAAAAATGAATGTGTTAACGTTACATTAACTTTATGGAGGAGTGATGCGTCTGAAAGAAATAGCAGGCCTAAACACATATATTATTGCATTCTACATTAATACTTGAACATTATTCACAGAGACAGTTTATGGACAAAGTTCTCCAGATGCTGACAGTATTTTACTTCTGGTTTTAAACAGCTGGCATGAGGAAACAGACAGCTACAACCAGCTACTGTAGCTTCATAGTTAACGTATATATAAAAGAGTATAGTTATGTATAGAACTGCTTGTCTTCTCCCATCTAAAGTTGCAAAAACAGATAAACGGATGAAATCAATGAAGACAACGTTTGCATGCTGCATGCTGAAAAGGCCCCGGACCCACTGACGATGACCAGATCTACATCATGCACATTACAACATTCATATAACATCACATGCTTTAGGGCCTCCTGACTACAGTATCCACCCCTTTGTTCATTTACTTACATGTCATTATCCCTTCAATCATCACTGACAAAACAACAGAGCTTCACATTAGAAAACAGATTCAAACGATGTCAAGGATGTAAAAGTTTTAACTTAAACACAACATGTGTACTTACTCCAGGTACTTTGTCCACGGTGCCGGATCAGACATGGCCATGAAGAAACAGTTGGTCAGTATAGTGAACATTATGAACAAGCTGAACAATGTGGAATAGTGAAGGTCAAGGGAAGTAACTTACAGTCAAATAAGACAACAATGTATCACACAATGTTTCCTGTAATCCCATGAAATACAACCATTAGGATAAACTATCACTGGTGTACAACCCGATTAGAACTACTGTAAATGCAGATTATGGGACATTCAGGTGAAGTCTGTTTAACATTAAATGAAGGGAGCTGTATCATTACTAGTAAGGATGAATGAAGCAAAATGCCAACAAAAACAAAGGATCAGCCAGCTGCTAAAATTACATTTTAATTTTAAAATGAAATCTAAGCCATGAGAATGGCTGAGATTTAACTAGTTCCTTTCAATAATCTAAATTGTCTAAAATATAATACATGCTAAACATATAAAAACTGTTATCAGTTGTACTTGGGATTCAACAATCATAATGATTTGAAGATTTTGCATTCAATAACGTAGAGAGACCCAGAGGAACAGGATGAAGTGAAAAAACAATTGTCTGAGAACTAATAGGCTGCAGTCACATGATGTGAAATTCCTCTTATTTCATTTCAGGGATTAAAAGAGGAATATGAGAGGATTTGTTTTGCAATGCCAGAGAGGAACATTACAAAGCTGTTTCAAAATTGGGACTAAAATCCAACAGAAACCTTCAGGGGGAAATCAGTAAATATTAGAAATTGGCTCATGTTCCGGTATGAGGCGAGAAGTAGCATCTTTACAGCATGAAATGACCACTCCGGTAGAACCTTTAGAACCCAGTGTTGTTCCCAACACTCTGATCTGTACGTTGTCATGAAAGTTGTCAAAGTTGTCACTATTTTGAAGTGAAGCACTTTTTGGAGAGATGGCTGCAAGCCGATCGGTCCCATCACCTCATCCTTACTATCAATATATCCTCATATCGCTTTTTTAAACCAATTACAAGCACGTAACTACAAATAATTAATTAACCAATTAGTAACCGGTAACACGGTCTGACAGAAAATAACTTTGCATGCTCCATTAAACAGTCATTAAACGTGATTGATTCACCTGTCGGGCTCAGGATAACCAAAAAAGGATATGAATGGACTAAAATTTTGATGGCGATTGATCTGATGAAGTGTAATGGACTAAATACGTAAACTGCATATGTGGCACTGAATCTGAAGATGGCCTTCCCTTTGTTAAGTACTATAAAAGTCTGAAAGAAAACAGAAAGAAAACAGTAATCAGCAGGCAGAAATATCTAATAAATAATATTAAGCATTGCTTAAATTCGTTGAACAAAACAAATTGGAAAAAGTTAAAAGTTTAAATTAATTTCCCATCATGTACAGGCTCCTTTTTTCCAGCTGTGCAGAACTTTAACCTGCAGCCACTGATCATTTATCAGTGTTCACTTGCTGCATGAGAACCCCCCCAACACACACACACACACACACACACACACACCCCAACACACACACACACACACACACACCCCCACACACACACACACACACACACACACACACACACACACACACACACACACACACACACACACCCCAACACACACACACACACACACACACACCCACACACACACACACACACACACACACACACACACACACACACACACACACACACGCACACACACGCACGCACACACACGCACACACACACACGGCGAGGCCACGTGAGATAATGGAGCCAACTCCAAAGCGGGGCAGCCAGATGTGGCTTTATTTAAATATTGTCCCGTCTCTGGATAATCCTCCGTCCAGCAGCATCACAAAGAGACCCTGAGGACGGCGGCACATTAACAGCCAGATCATAGCCGGACCCGAACGCACTGCGTGTCCAAAGTGCTTGATCTTAATTCAGTGGACTCGGTAGCTGACGGGGACGATCATGTAATAACAGTGCGCCCCGTGTGGGGGATGGGGACCAATCTAAAGTTCTCCGCCTGCGCTAAAATGTATCGCAAAGATTAGCTGAAGGTACTTTGACTCCTCGGCTGTCTGAGTTAGTCAAAGCAAGATGGTCTCTTCCAAAGTCTTTGGAGCCTTTATTTCCTTTTTACGTTACTTCCCTTTCTACATGACTCTCTAAGGAAACCTTCATAATCAGCCTCATAACCACTTCAGGTACACTTTGAAATATGTGTTTACACAGAATAACAGCTGCAGATTTCTTCCCCATTCTCTTCAGATGGAAGTTCCGTTCAATGTCTGTTGAAATGTTGTAAAACGTAGCTGATCTCCTCAAAACACAGATGCTAAGCTGAAAATATTTGAGACATTTTCTGACATTTTCTAGGGCAGTTCCATTGTAAACAACATAAACACAACACCAACATCTACCCCACCCTACACACACACAAAGAGGCACCCACCCTTTGGTTCTTGTAGTAAAACGGATCAATGTCTTCCAGTGGAACCCCGATGAGTTCTGTAGGGATCTCGCCGAAGATGCGTGGCAGCTGCTTGCCGGCCTCCAGGTCGATCCTGGGTTTGGACGGCTCTGCGTGCCTGTGAGCGGCGGGGCAATCCTTGGCCTCCTTGGCCTCCTTGGCCTCCTTGGCCTCCTTGGCCCGCTCCTGCGCAATCCGCTGCTCCAGCGCAGCCATGGATTCGCGAGTGAACCGGCGCAAGCCATCAGGACCCGTTGGTAACAGCATGGCTGCCATCTTTTCATCCTGATTCTGCTGTACTAAAATGTACCTACAGCTAACACACAGGGAGAGGAGAGATGGAGGGAGGTTGGTGAGAATCGTCAAAATACAAATGGCCGAGGCTCAGACAGTTCCTGAACCACACGGTTTCTTGCATGCGGCCCTTCATTCAATGCAATACGAGCGAGCAGACGTGTGCACACGGGGAGCTGAAGTCAGAGCGGAGTAAGCGCTGCGCCTTTGAGCTGGTCTGGGCCGGAGGAAGCTTCTTTCTCTTCCCCAGTGTGCGACTGGCGTATTTCAGGGACTGGGACTGCTGGTTCCCGTTTCCTGGTGGTAATGAGCTGTGGAACTTTCTGTATCAGGATCAGAGCATTTGATGGGGCCGACCTCAGGTTTCTGCCCACCGTGGCGTTGAGCCTTTGCCTCCCTTGCATTTCCTGTGGTGAAAGCTTTCTTCCACTTTACTCTCATAGTGGATTTTGCTTTCTGTCCGAAAGTAAATAAGCCACCTCCCTTCATTGAAAGCTGTTTAATTGATATTTAAATGTATGATATGATGTGATGTCAATAGAGGTTATTTTACTGACGACAGAGAATTACCTCCCTCTGATCTTGTTCAGCTCAAGTTTAGTTGAACTTTTTGCTTCCAGTTTCCAGCCACAGCAGACAGCGATATTCAGTGAAAAGGTTGCGAAAGTACTATATAAACTTCTGTCATGCAATGATTAGGATTCATAAGAGAGTTGAAATCCGAAAAAGGACCTTTGACTCCACAGACTGCTGGTGATGCATTTTGTTCTCTACAAAAGAGGTGGTGCCTTTACTACAATGTTAATAATGTCACACCTTGGCCATAGCAAAGTGTTTGCATTAATTCAGAAAATTATAAAAATGATTATTTGTACCGAAGACGTACATATAATTGGAATATCTTCAGATGCAAACCTGTGAAGGTTGAAAATCTTAATTTCCTTTTATCCTATTGGCAAACTGGGTTCCTCTGGATTTAAATAAAGAATAAGTGCAGTTTGCTGTCTAGAGTCCAACCCACTGCCTAAAAACAGACCATAATAGAGGCCTTTCAATTAAAAACTCATTCCTGCATTTTCGCCGTTGACGGAGGCTGATATTTTAATAACTGCAAAAGCTTTGCAACGAGAGGATTATATTTCTCTGTTGCCCTTTTAACAGAGAAATACAATTGTATCCTTTTCATAATGACTAAGCTCCGCATCTCCTCCGTGCATTGATCCCTCACACATCCGGCCAGACGCTAGTTATTTGCTTTCCCTTGATCTGCTTATTTGGCCCAGGTAAATCTCAGATCAGCTCGTCTCGTACACGCAATCCAGCGCATTGGCTTTCAAAATAAATAGGTTAAGTCCATTTGCAGTTTCATAGAGCAGATAAAGCCTATTTCTGTCAGGATGTGACCAATCATCCAGGAGTCACAGCATGTCTACGTCACATACATCACAATGACCTCTACTGTACCTGGAGCGCACAACATAATAACATCAATGTAAAGTCAAAGAGAGAGAATATCCGCCTCACCGCACTCGCTGGATTCAGGCGCTTGGAAATAAAAAAAGTATTTTAGTTGAATGAGATTTAATTCCCATAATAGCCAGATGTGAAATGTTCATCATCACTGCAAATAATTACGATAATTAGATTTAAAGTAGAGTGCAGCAGGGGACTGGCACGCACACACACAGACACACACATGCTTCCCACGTGTTGTGCAATTCTGTTACACAGCAGACCGATTGCGCTTTATTGACATATCAAATGACCCATGATGTCATTTCACATCACTTCGACTCCTTTCGGCGTTGATGTATTTTTCCATCTCTCTGGCAAATATCCAGTTGGATCTCTGATCTTACTTTATATTTGGGCATCACAAGAGGCTATGAATTCATCTAAAGAAGCGCTGCCTGCTGGGAATGACAGCAGACTGTATCCCTTCAGTGCTCCAGCATGTCACAGTTGTTAGTATTATTATTATTAACCAGACTGCAGCAGAAGCTTTGCTCTGTATTCAAGAAAACAAATAGGGTTACATGGACATCGCAGATGGAGGACAGAGCAGCTGACCACTTCCACATGTTCTCATATAGGTTACTAAGAAATACGCCTATGTACCCATCTTTTACTTTACCAAATGATTATCTTTGGAATGAATTTGTATTCATCTATAATGAATTCAAAATGTACTTTGAAATGTATGATTAGATATTTTTGGCAAAATGATCTTCTTAATATTGGAAATGCCTGCATGTCTGTTGCTTGGGATCTTATTCACATTTAATATAACATATTGTGTCTGGTTCTGTTCCCATTGATCATTAAGTAACGCATGGTCTCTAAACCTTTTTGCCAAATATAATGACGGATATTTAATTGAAGAAATAGTAAAAATCATGCTTCTCTGTTACTTAATCAGGGTTTTGTGCTTCTCTGGATTGACGAGGTTCATTGGGTTCAAGCCGTCCATTAACATTCATTATATTAGTGGTTTTATTTTTTTGCTTTATTTACATCAGTCTGTAAAAGTGTATTAACTGTAAAGAAGAGGGAGTCGATTTTATGTCTTGAATTTGTTTTACATTTTCTATATATGTGTCTTACATATTGTGTAAAACTATTGACAGAAGGTTTACGCCAATTTGATTACTTTTACTTGACAAAAAGAAATTAAAAAGAGGATTCAAACTTTGGTCAAACTGGGGGTCAGACTGCACATTTGGTGTGATCTCCCTGCCGGTGTCCTCTCGTACTCCGGATTCAGGGACTGAACTAGTGACCTACTTTCCTCCACAAACCTTTCAAAGTAATTGCACCAGAAAGCTTAAACACATCGATACGGAAGGTATAGACCTACGGAAGGAGCCGGCCATGAGGTGGATAAATTGACGGAAATTACTTTAATGAGCTTCTTGAGACGCAAAGAGTTCGACTCTAAAAGCATCTTAAAAGTAATCATGAGTTAAACCAGTTGGACGAGGATGAAACTCAAATGTGCCTCACAAGGCGTTATGTAATGTGTGACAGAAGAGAGGATCATGAGGCGTAAGCCTTTAATGCTCACATGAAAACAGTAGATTGATATTTTGCCCTGTGCACTTTCTGCTGTTTATTGTTTTATGATATATGGCGTGATTTGTATTGTTTTAGATTACAGATTGATCCTAAAACCACATCTTAAAAACAATTGTTTTTTTTTTCTTTTCAAATGTGTGTGGAAGTTCTCCATTAACCATTTCTAGCTGAAAGAGAAGAAAGAAAATAATAAATGTTCATGTTCAATAAATGATGCATCCGTCGGTGCAGCCATACAAAAATACACGCTCAATATTATTTTCCAAAAAGAAACTTAAGAGAACGTCGCAGGCTACTTACATATGAAACTCTCAGATTCACAGCATCGTTTCCAGAGTTGAGTTCTTCGTTTTTCAGACGAAGGAAAAGCCAAAGTTTCCGCGTCAAATCCATGTCTTCCGTTCAGGGTTGTTTCTCCAAGCGGACCGAAAGCGCGTCTTATCCAAAAGCTTTGGCGCACAGAAAGTGATCCCTAGACTCACGCCAGGCGTCTAATCATCTGACGTTGGACATTTTGAAACGTGCCACAGGTGCGAGGTGCAGGTCGTCCTCCGTCCGTCCGCCCGAGTGGCTCCTCGGCGTTCATCCGACTGAGCAAAGGTCCCGAGGCGCCGAGCGGGGAGATGATGCTGCGCAGCGGCGGGAGATGAGCTCCTCGATTTGCCCTTGAGCAAGAGCGCGAGGGAGGGAGGATGCTGGCAGGCCGCGGGGGGGATTACCGCCCCTACGTGCCCCTCCGGAACGGGACAAGTGGAGCGCGCGTTTGGTCTCCACCGAAACGCAATGACATAAAGTGTGGCGGGCACGATGGAGAGGTGCAGATGTGGGAGTCGTCTCTGCAGATGTGGGGTACCTTTGTGATAAACGTTAGAAGTAGAGCATCGGGGTGACAGGTTATTTGACTCGACTCTTCACGTGGCATTTATATATGGGGCGCCATTTGTAAAATGTCGCACGTTCTAAAATCCTGCAGTTTTGCCACATTTAGCATTATCATATGAACAATAAAGCAGGACAATATGCACATGTCACTTTTTCGAAACATTTAAAGATTTAGATTTAACATTTAGATTTACATTTAACATTTACATTCAGATTTAACATTTAGATTTACATTTAGATTTAACATTTAGATATAACTTTTGACATTTAGATTTAACATTTAGATTTACATTTAGATTTAACATTTAGATTGAACTTTTAACATTTAGATTTAACATTTAGATTTACATTTAGATTTAGATTTAACATTTAGATATAACTTTTAACATTTAGATTTAACATTTAGATTTACATTTAACATTTATATTATTTAACAACTTTTGTTACTGCCAAACATTACCCTTGGAAAAGATATTGCATGAATGTACATGAATTTCTCTCTAAATGTTTGAAAAAACAGAAAAAGGATTTTAGAACGTGCGACATTTTACAAACGGCGCCCCATATTTATAACACGTTTGATGCAAATGTCCAACGCGTTTAGGTGCTAAGCAGCACTTATATGAAGGTATATTTGGGTTGGACATATTCAGTTGGACATTTTGAAACATGCCACAGGTACGACGTGCATGTGCGTGTAAACTGTAGCTCGAGCATCCTTTGATGTTAGAACTGTGTTCACTGTTTGGCTGCATGTTGTTGTTTAATAAAAGACTCCATGACACAACAACATGAAAACAAATTAAAGTGCTGCTACATTTAAAATAATTTTGACAACTTACAAGGTCAACTTACCTCCATGTTGCTCCAAACAGTCTGTGTTAAGGGTGTTAGAAGCAGATGTCCAACCACCAATAGAAACTCTTGGTTCAGCGTAGGCCCCGCCCACTATGTCCAAACTCAGATCGCAAGTCTCAAGTCTTTTGTTTCGCAACCAAAATTTTAAGTTTTATAAGCAAACCTAACATATAAATTATTCTCACTTCATATATTTCACTTAGTAAATTTTCTCTCAAAACAGTTGTGTGTGTAATAAAGACATAAATATATCTCCATACACTTACAGTAAGAAATTTCACTTTGGACCACAAAATTGAATTTGTGGTCCAACTCAATTTGGAATAAAAACTTGATAGTTATTGTTTATTTCGAGCTGTCAGAATGTTCACTGTGTGTCCGATGGGCTTCATGGAGATGGTGTTGGATGATTTAACGGTGTGGCCCAAGCCTCCAGTTTTGGTCTCTTACTGAGCCGCTTAGTTATGGCGATTTATTCTCTGCTATTTAAGCCAACAATCATAACAAAGACGAGACAGATTGGGAATCGGAGCATTTGAAAAAATGCACATTTTGGTTCGATTCTACAAGCCTGTTTACAGAACCAGCAGCAGTCGAAGTGTGTATTTATTCAACAAAATGTCGTTTCTGGCAGTGTTAACAGACTAAAAAACGTATTTAGACATGTTGGGAAATGAAAAGGTGCACTTCATTGTGACTTATGGTTCACAATGTAAGAGGCACACTGTTGAACACTGGGTCAAAATTCATATTGCACAACCCAGTATTGCGGCGTGTTGTAAACCATATGAGTAATGATCATCTGATATACTTTAAGCGGTTCTAGGGGGTTGTAGGCCTGTTGAGTGTTTGGCTGCCTATCTAACTTATGGAACAAGCACTGATGGTGAAATATCAGAAAGTAGATGTATTTTATATTAAAACAACATAGTAGCCCAACACCCTTCCCTAACTAAGAGCCCCTTCAATGCAGCCATGTGATGTGGTTTGTGTTAAGATGGGTTATCATAAACCTTTCTGCCAAGCCTTTCCTGCAGTGAAACTGGGAGACAGTGAGGAAACCACATTTCCCATAAAGCCCAGTCGCATATGTTTTCTTCTTTCCCGGATGTAGCATCACATGGATTGACTGTCAACATGCAAGATGGCCACGCATCACAGGCAAAATGCTGCTGGGCGGAGAAAAGTACAGGTGAATTTTAATAGTTACATTATTGATGAATGTTTGGCAACATGGACATTGTGTTGTTGATCTTCAAAAGCTGCTCCGCAGAAGATGACGTACAGCAAAAATCGTCCGCTGCTGTGAGTCATGGCCGGAGCCGGCTAACCTAGCTAGCTTAGCTTACGTTGGTCTTTAGCTTCTGCTAACGCTGGCGTCCAACGATAACAGGTTTTTATTAGACGTATGCGACCAGTCCGTTGTATCATAACCACTGTGCTCGTCGATGAACTAAAATGATTAATACGAAGTCCAAGCGGCTGCTGCAGCGCTGACCGTTTAGCTACACACTATGTGGGCTCGGTCTAATTGCTGGGAAAACGTAACTTGCGTGTCTCAGTGGATTCGTCGTGCACCGCGCATTAGCACGTTGCTACCAAATCACAACCAAAGTTACCTACAAATAAGTGCTGCATTTGTCAATTGCTAATGTTTAATCATTTCCAAATGTCTTTATTTAGCTTGGCTCCATGTCCCCTTAGCTAACTGTCCTTACTCGACGAGGAGCATTCCCGCTGCAGCTGCACGAGGGATGGCGTGTGTGCGTGTGTGTGTGTGTGTGTGTGCGTGTGTGTGTGTCGTGGGAGGAACAGAATTCCGGGTTCCCCATATGTTTGCAAGGTTTATAACTTCCGGAGAGGGGCACCTGGGGACGGGGGGGGGGGTAGTTGTCTGTCCGCAGGTGCGAGCGCCCCCAGATGTAATGGTCGACGCTGGAAACGGTCCCGATGTGAGTCTTGACCTGTGCTCAGGCTGCTCTTTGTGTTTCAGGTGTCTTATGTCATTCGGGATGAGGTGGAGAAGTACAATCGGAATGGGGTGAACGCACTGCAGCTGGACCCAGCGCTGAACCGCCTCTTCACCGCTGGGAGAGACTCCATCATCCGGATATGGAGTGTCTACCAGCATAAAGTAGGATTCCTAATCCATATTAGACATTTTCATTATGTAGAATGGAAGTTTCTTCATTTCTGGGTTTTCTTCATTGCAGCAGGACCCATACATCGCCTCGATGGAGCATCATACCGACTGGGTTAATGACATAGTTCTCTGTTGCAATGGCAAAACGCGTGAGTGGGATTACGATCGGCTCTGCGTCGATTACTGACTTTTTCCATTCTGCCATTCTGGCACATTCTGACTGTCTTGTATTTTCAGTGATATCGGCCTCGTCAGATACAACAGTCAAAGTATGGAACGCGCATAAGGGCTTCTGTATGTCAACGTTACGAACACACAAGGACTACGTGAAAGCTCTGGCATACGCTAAGGACAAGGAGCTCGTGGCGTCAGCAGGTCTCGACCGGCAGATCTTTCTTTGGGATGTGAACACGCTAACGGCCCTCACCGCTTCCAACAACACCGTAACCAGTAAGTATTGCTTTATGGGCAACTGCATATTGGCTGAGATGTATTTCTCAGGGACGATCTGTACACAGGGACTCACTATATTCCCTCTCCAACAGCCTCTTCACTCAGTGGGAACAAGGACTCCATCTACAGTCTGGCTATGAACCAGATGGGTACAGTCATTGTATCTGGATCCACAGAAAAGGTTTGTTTCCATCAGTGTGACAACACATATATGCACTATATTAATGCAATTCATCTAGATAAAGACATTGATTATCTCATCTGGCAAGAAAGTTTAACCTTCAGCTAGATTGAGAATGCAACACGCCGTTTCCTTTCTGTTGAGATGTTCATGAAATGTTTCCTGTAGGCAACCACACATCTCTCTGTGGTTTTTCATAATTTTACAAGCTGGAGTTCTCAAAAAGGTCTTTGAATGTTCTTTTACTTTGAAACTATGTGGGCGCTTTCATTTTACTGTGTCTAGTTCTACTGTGCATGTTAAAGTCATTCTTTTTCTTTAGGTCCTGAGAGTGTGGGATCCTCGAACATGCGCTAAACTGATGAAGCTAAAAGGCCACACGGACAACGTGAAGTCGTTGCTGCTGAATCGTGACGGCACTCAAGTGAGTCGAGTCTAAAATATCCGCTGACGGCCGTTAAACCGAGGAGGTTCTACAATCTGACCCTGCTCTTCCTTCACCACAGTGCCTGTCCGGCAGCTCCGACGGGACCATCCGCCTGTGGACCCTCGGCCAGCAGAGGTGCATCGCCACGTACCGGGTGCACGATGAAGGCGTCTGGGCCCTGCAGGTCAACGAGGCCTTCACACACGTCTACTCTGGAGGCCGAGACAAGAAGATCTACTGCACCGACCTCCGCAACCCAGACATCCGTGTGCTGATCTGCGAAGAGAAGGCCCCAGTGCTCAAAGTAAGGAGCAGCGGTTTGGTGTTACCTGGGAAGCGTGGAAAGTAATCATGTGACACGCTGCGTTTGTGAAAAGTTGAAGTAGTTTTTCTGGAATCTTTTTTTTTTGTAGATTCTTAAAAGCTTGTTTATTTGGTAGTTTGGTTCTGCTGCATATGCTGAACTTTTCCTTCACCTGGCATCGTTTTGAAGTGTGGCGGTAGTAATCTGGCATTAGGGTTGGCTACAGAGGACCGGCGCCATATTGGTACCGCTTCCTATACAGCTGCTTCCTACCGTAGGTTTCAGTCCCTGAGCCGGTTGAAAAACTTTATTTCCACTACTTTGATCAGCTAACGATAGCATACCGCTTGTGCAGCTACAGTAGCTAGTTAGCCATCTACCTTCTATTTATTAAAGTCAGTATTTCCGTTATTAAAATCCGCCCCGATGGACACAGACGTTCAGCAGCAGTCACAGCGAGTCCAAAACCAGTTCAGGGGCCGCTCGGGGGCCGCTCGGGCACCGCTCGGGGGCGCTCGGGGGCCGCTCGGGTGCCGCTCGGGCGTCGCTCGGGGGCCGCTCAGGCGCCGCTCGGGCGTCGCTCAGGGACCGGGAAAAACCCCAAACGATACTCATCCCTATTCGGTGAAATTAAAGAACCATTAATCCCAAAGTTTCTCCATCTTACAGGACATGCTGCTATGATGTAAACTAACATGCGGTTTGCTGTGTTTGCATTATTGTTTAAAGTAAAGTTTTGACTGTACTGGATTCAAATGTACAAATGAGTTTAAAAACCAGCATTTGGGCCCCACTCATCCTCTTGGTGCCGTTCTTTTGTTCAGATGGAACTGGACAGATCTGCTGACCCACCTCCAGCAATCTGGGTCTCCACCACCAAGTCATCCGTTAATAAATGGGTAAGCATGCGTGACCCCTCTGAGGTCACCGGCCCACCGTGAGGGCTGTGGAACACCGTGTAGACGGACACGTGGTTAAAGCCTTTCTGTGGGAAGCGCCCTGTCATTTCTGTACAACTTCAAACCAGCTCGTCCATAATGTGTAATTGCGTTACAATAAGCATAATAATAATAATAAGTGAGTATTGACGCCCCGGGCAGATCTCTAATGATTTCTGTTTTCTGTGCAGTCTCTGAAGGGAATGCACAACTTCCGGTCATCAGGGGAGTACGACAACGACTGCACTACCCCTCTGACGCCGCTGTGCACTCAGCCAGAACAAGTCATCAAGGGTAAACGCCCTCATGCGTCTGCAGCGTCTCCACATCAGTCTCCTGCACTTAAACAAAAAGGCAGTACGGCTGTGTGTTGTGTTTGCAGGAGGCGCCAGTATCATACAGTGCCACATTCTGAACGACAAGAGACACATACTCACCAAAGATACCAACAACAACGTGGCCTTCTGGGACGTCCTGAAGGTAAAGCAGCGCACCCTAGTTAGTTATGTTAAAAAGGCCCTGGGTACCATCTGCAACTCATGCAGATGTAAACAGCCCAGAAGTGAGTTGGGTCGAGTAGAGCCTGGTGTTAGTTAGAGTAGTCGCCTGCTAAAGACTCCACCTCAGTGGTTTGAATTCACCTCACGTGTACTTTGATTCAGGCTTGCAAGGGTGAAGACTTGGGGAAGGTGGAGTTCGATGAAGAGATTAAAAAGCGCTTCAAGATGGTCTACGTACCAAACTGGTTCTCTGTCGATCTTAAAACTGGGGTGAGTCACGAACCAGTGATACGAGCTTCTAATCTCTCAGCAGCTGCGACTCTGTCGGACTCAGAAAAGCTGCCTGACTTTGGTGAGTTTTCTCTCTTCTGTGTCTTCAACAGATGCTCACCATCACGTTGGACGAGAGCGACTGCTTCGCTGCCTGGGTGTCTGCAAAGGACGCTGGCTTTTCAAGCTCCGATGGATCCGACCCGAAGCGTAAGACCGTATCGCATTTTCCATCCACATCATTTATGGCAGAACTGACCTGATTTTGCTCCTCAGTGAACCTCGGTGGACTGCTGCTCCAGGCTCTGCTGGAGTTCTGGCCCAGGACTCGCATCAACCCCATGGACGAGGACGAGAACGAGGGGATCCACGGTGAGGACGAGAAGGCCAAACCCACCAGACCTCCGCAGTCCGTGTTCTTTGTTCCGCTGTCAGTGAGCCTCGGCGCGTCTTACACACGGATTGTTTGTGCGTCCACAGTGAACGGAGAGCAGGAGAACCGGGTCCAGAAGGGAAACGGGTATTTCCAAGTGCCGCCACACACGCCCGTCATCTTTGGGGAAGCAGGAGGCAGAACTTTATTCAGGTAATGTTCCACTTTTTCTAACCGGTGAAATGTTCATGGTGGTTGTGTCATCAGATTACAGTTGTCGTGTGTTGTGTGGCAGGTTGCTATGTAGAGATTCAGGTGGAGAGACTGAGTCGATGCTGCTGAACGAGACGGTGCCGCAGTGGGTCATTGATATAACTGTAGATGTGAGTACAATTCATATCGATTTACAGTATTATGAAGTTTATTTGAACTGTATTCAAACTCAATTGTAGTTTGTGGCTCCACTGAATGCACATCGCTATCGTTTGTCTAAAGGTCATGTGACATGTTTCAGCTTCTCTGTGACGCTCTGACGCTTCGCTTCTGTCAAAACCATTTGACGTCTTTCCTCTTCTGTTCCAGAAAAATATGCCCAAGTTCAACAAAATCCCGTTCTACCTCCAGCCCCATTCTTCCTCCGGCGCGAAGACGCTGAAGAAGTGAGTTTGCTCGTGACCTCCGGGGTCGTGTTGCCTTTTGATAAAGCGGAGTGAGCTCACTTAACCTGCCGCGTGTTCCTCAGGGATCGCCTCTCGGCCAGTGACATGCTCCAGGTGAGGAAGGTGATGGAGCATGTCTACGAGAAGATCATCAACCTGGACAACGAGTCGCAGACCACCAGCTCCTCGGCCAACGACAAGCCGGGGGAGCAGGAGAAGGAGGAGGACATGGCCATGCTGGCAGAGGAGAAGATTGAACTAATGTGTCAAGACCAGGTGAGGCCTCCTCCCCGTCTGTGAGCACCTGGTTGTTCCACATTGTCTTATTTTGCTGTTCTCTGACCAGGTTCTGGATCCCAACATGGACCTGCGAACAGTTAAACATTTCATCTGGAAGAGCGGGGGAGACTTGACGCTTCACTATAGGCAGAAGTCCACGTGAAAACTCCAGTTGTTAAAAGGGGACCTGTTCTTCGTCATTTGCCAATCACCACTCACCTGACATGTAGGAGCCTAAACCCACCTGTGTGGTCCGGAGTCGCAGAATCAATGAGAACCCAGTAAAAATTGTGACAACTAATTGACCAGGACGGGCCGGAGCAGCGAGACACCCGGGAGACAAGTGGTCCGTAGTCTCTCTTTTCTTTAACAGTTGATGAAAGGACTCTTTTTCTCCAGCACTCAACTTTTCTTTTTACTTTTGACTGCTCGGTTTGTTAATTCCTTTCGATTGGTGTTTAATGGTGAAGCAACAAAGATGGCCGTAGATGTTTGTCGGAGTGTGTGTGCGTGCGTTTGTGTACACACACACACACGGATGTAGTAGACTGTGTGTTCTAGTACATTCCAGAAGGAGTCTCAGCACAGCAGGATCACCGGTTTCGGTCTGAGTAGCGTTTTTAAGGCGATCCTTAACTTACTTAACCTAGAAATCCAATTATTGCAGAGCTAGAACCTCGTTGACAGGAACACTTGTCTTTGTCATTTATTTTTAGCTGTGCGGTCCTCAGTGGGTCTGAATGTTCTGTAAATGTCCAACTTTTTTATTTTTATTTAAGTGGCTTTGGTTTTGTTTTGTTGTTGTACAGTTTACTTCAAAACCAACTTATTTTCCCCCTAAATCCCTGGAGCACATTCATGGTCATGAAGGTAATTTGACTTGATGTTTAAAATGTGTTCAATTCATATACACCTACATTTTACTCTTTAAGAATGTTAGTAGTTGTCCAATTTGGAAGTTCTATATATCTTTAATTACATCATGCTTACCCGCTCTGCTTGGGTCATGACACCAGTGAGGGCCGTCCTTAAGGTACATTTCATTTAGATTTAATCCACGATGTCATAATGTCCATGTCCGTCCCCAGTGGTCAAATTCCCCCCAAAACCGATGGGTACAATAATTAGGCTACAACACTGCAATATCCCTTGTAATCATTTGTGAAATATGTATATTTTAGGCATTCAAAGAAATAAATTGGAATGGTTCAACTGATTATGGGAATTATAAATGGATGTTTGGCAGAGTGTAAAATAAGAAACAAGGGACAATTTTAATTTTTTTTAGTCAGTTGATATGATCGTCAAAGATTCATCCATCTCACATTCATCAAAAGACTACACTCATTCCTAATAAAACATACAATTAATTGATAAAATATCTGCAAAAAATATTTTCCATTATTTTATACACGAGCACCTACTTAGACACGGAAACCCTTAAAGACCCTAGAAAGACTAAAGGAAACAATTACTCAACAGGTTCACTGCTGGAATGTTGCATAGGTCGCAAAATTAAACTAAGTCTAAATAGTGTTGAATGTGACATAATTCTAGTAACTAAACCATAAACTCATTTTTCAAACCTCACATACTGATTGGCTGAATAAATCAAATTAAAGATGTCAAAGGGTTCAGTGGCCTCATGAATTCTAGAATTAAAAACATCTACGATCTGCAGGCGGTAAAAGTAGACAAACATCTCCCTTAGACCAATACTTAGAAATCCAACACATGGGCCATAAACTACTTACATTTTAAAAGCTCTAATGGGGGAAATCCTCAAGACCAGCTGTGCTCCGCTGCACCAAACGTTTGTCTTTGGAAGCGTTCAAGTATTCATCACACAAAGGTCTTCCAACCAGTGATCTAATTTGGCACCAAGCATGAAAAAATGTTTGACATTAGAAACATCTTGGTGAGCAAAATTAAATTCCTACTGACATTAAAAGAAATATTCCTACATAGTATTTACGCTTTAGCTGGTTCCTGTAGTGTAACAAACCGGTACGTCTATTGTTAAAATGATGAAATTAGAGAGCCTTTCCCTCCGTCTGTCCAGTATATCCTACGGTGTTCCTTTAGAAAACAAACGGTGATTGTCAAGTTCACTCTACGCTCGGCCTGATGCCGCCTCACTCCTCCCCGGCGCTCTCGTGGCTGCAGTGGTCCGCTGCATCCAGAGGCTCTGCAGGCTCCTCCGCCGGCCACGTGGCGTCCTCGCTGGCCCGCGCAGGAGAATCCTCCGCCGGGCCGGGGGGCTCGGACGAGTCACGCGTGGGCGGACTTTGGCTGCCGCTGGGGTCCGTGGACTCTGTGACCAGGTGGGACAGTTCCGCTGGCGGCACGCCTGAATCAGACAAAGTGTCCGTGGAGGCGTGCTCCTCGGCCGTCTGGGAGCTCAGCTCCTGTGGCTCAGCCTGACTGTCCACCGACGACGAAAGCAGCACGCTGTCCTCCAGCTCCTCTGCACGCCGGGACATACAAAACATTCAGGCTGTGGTCCTTTTGCTGGATCTAAAAATGAAAAGCTACGGCTGCTGTCCTGACTTACCAACACCAGAGATCTCTCCTTCTTTCTCCTCATGCATAGTCAGAAAGGTGTTGGTCATGTCGATGGACGACATGGACAGATCCAGTCTGTCCGTCAGGTTTGCCGGTTCGGAGTTTGTCACGGTCACTTTTGACTGTGAGAAACCTGAAAAGAAGAAAAAAACGTTACGAATCCAATTGGATGCCGAGCCGATAAATGTGTAGACACGTGATGCATGCATGTGTGAACTGACCGGGGTCCATGACCCTCTGTATGGGGGGAGGTAGAGGAGCTTCCTGCTGAAGGTCTAACACATCCACACTTTGACTGGAAGGCGCCATCAATGGTGCCTGGAAAGAAAAGGTGGCAGACATGAGCTCAACCACTGCCACTAACAGTTTGATCCAATGTAACATCGGAAAATAAAACAGCAACAAATATGAATGGAAAGTTGCTGTAACAATTTGTCAAATCACTGTGATAACATGTTATATTTAACAAATTCTCTCATATGTGTCCTTTGATCATTTTTCTTGACATTTCATTGACTAAATCACCAAATAAAAACGGATGCAATGCGGTTAACGTGGATTCACCTCTGTGAACCCGTGGGTGGGCAGCTCCGGGACGGGCTCCTCCTCAGGAGCAGGCGTGTGATTCTTTCCCGTGGAAACATCAGGTAGAGCTGGGATTCGGTGCAAGTAGCCATAACCGATGCCGCAGCCCAAACTAAGAGCACACAAACAACACCATTAGAAATGTTTAGTCAGTTAAACGGTCGACGGTGGCGCCGGGACCCGCAAGGTTGGCGGTTTGAGCCCCGGCTGCTCCATGTCGAAGTGTCCCTGAGCAAGACACCCGACCCCTAATGGCTCCCCGGGCAAAATGTAAAAGCTTAAATATAAGTCGCTTTGGATAAAAGCGTCAGCTAAATGACCTGTAATGTAATAAAAATACTCCAATGAGCCACCTTGATTAACTCGTGTCTGTGTATTACCACGTACCTGCCCTCTCCGCCCCACGCCCCGTTTGGTGTGACCACCACCTCTCTGCAGGCATCGGTTTCTGTGTTGTACACCAGCAGCTTCAGCGGCTTCCCTTCGTGGGCCTCAATCAGCGAAAAGAAGTCTTCCGACTGGAAATCAGTAACTTGGCGTCAACTACAAATCAGTTCTCAAAGATTTGCAAAATAGATCAGAGCCGAATGTCAGCGGTAGAGCAGCAGGTTCTTACATCTTGCAACACTTGATCTGCTCCGACGATGTAGTCACTGTGTGGCTGAAGCTCTGCCAAGCCAGCAGGGGAATTTGCTTCAACGTCCTACAGGATATAAGCAAACTGAAGATGAAGCTACGATTGGGGTAATGAGTGTGGACGTTTGAATCAGAGTGAGCTCAGCTGGTTCGGTTCTTCCCAGTTCCTTATGAAGAAACTCACCAGAACATGCCAGACATTCTCATTGGCTCCATAGTAGCTGCAGAAGCGAACGCTGGCCCCTAGCAGGCCCTGTCCTCCCCACAGGCTGCTGGGCATCACCTCCAGCTCTCGGAGCCTGGTGGTTTTAGTGCTGTACACCTGCATCATCACCGCTCTCTCCGTGTTGGCCTTCAGGACGTCCTTCAGCAGGTCACTTTCTTCATTCTGGTGAACGGTAACATAACAGTGTTTATAATGATGCTGTAGGTCTGTGCGCTCGCGCTGACTCTACCACTTAAATGTGACACTCGTATATCTTACAAGTCTCTTGTTGTCCAGCGACAGGATGAAGTCAAAGAACGGCTGCAGCCCGCACATCTGGGCCGGGGAGTTGGGCTGCACCTGTCAGAACACACACGCATTTTGATGAATACCGCCCGTCACTCAGTGCACACTGATATAATCTATAACACATCATAGATTATTATTATTATATTGTTCGGAAAATTAATTTTAAAATAATGAAATAGAATTTGTCTCACAGCATAAAACACGTGACAGAGCAGCAGCGTGGACCGATGACTTCTTGTCTAATCGGTTAGTTAAACAACAAGCTAATCGATCCGCCATCAATGTAAGAAGCAATTACTGTGTGTGTTGCACAAGGCAGGTGAAGAATCCTCTTAACTCGTGCTTTCATCTCACCTAAAAGCCATTGGCTGACATCGGGACCGTTAATTAGCCTGTTAATAAGTTGTAGCATTAGCTGCCATTTAAGTGACGTTTCTATCGACTCTGATAAGAAACCCGTCAGCTCTTCGGACTGCTGACATACTTCAGGCTACACGCCTACATGCAGTTATTCAATGACACGAGTTAACAAAAGGGTTCTATTGCATTCGCTCAACCAGAAATAAACGGTAAACGTGGCATCGGAGGCTACAGCGAGCTAACTGAAGTTAGCACACAGAACATGTCACGATAAGCTGCTGTACACGTAGAGGAAGCTAAACAATCGTCATCTTACCCCGTGCACGTGGTATCCATACGTCCCTCCTTCGGTCACTTCTGAACTCTGTGATAGCCCCATTTCTGCCAGGAACCTTCAAATATCACCTTATAACATCGGAAAATAACAAAAGTGTGAGAACTATTACGGTTGACAGTCCGCGGCCATCTTGTTTGCAGTCCAAAACAGTCGAACGTAGCGGACGTGAGTGGACGCAGCGCGCATGCGCAGCTTCCCCCAGAATCAGTCAGTGACGTAGCGGCGGCGCGCATGCGCAGCTTCCCCCAGAATCAGTCAGTGACGTAGCGGCGGCGCGCATGCGCAGCTTCCCCCAGAATCAGTCAGTGACGTAGCGGCGGCGCGCTTCTTGTCCGCCTTTTGATGCCATTCGATGAAATCCTTCTAATGAGGTCAAACCTGCATGTTGAAGCTCTATGGTGAAGACTTATTGAGTATTAACGTCGTACATACGTAATATCTTCTGAACCTGTTCATTGGGGCAGTACGCCGAAACACTGATTATACTACATGTCTTTTTTTAGCTAAAGTCATATTAACAACTATTAGGCCTTTTGAAAAAAATGCTAACCATGGGACTGTGCTGTGTAGTTATGATTGTATTAAATCACTGTAATATTTAGTTGTGTTTAATTCCAGAAGTCAAATGACAACATTTGTTGTTCTCTGCACACAGAGAACACTGAAACGTGCTTGTAATTATGGCTCCTATCACTCGATGCTGCCTCAGTCTTCTGGTGAACGGAATGAAAGCAAGGATAATACATTTTAAATCAGTTGGAAAAAAGTTTTATTATATAATTAAAATACAGAATTGTTTCAAACATATTGTAAAACATATACAAGATAATCCACAATCAGACAGGCGGTAGAAAAGTATTCACAATTTTGGGGAGGATTAATCACATATTTCATTCTTGTAAGTGGATCATTCTGCCAATGCTCTTCGTAATGGGAACTTCTTTATGACCTTTAGAATAAATATGACTTCAACCTATGTAGCTTGCAATGAGCATCCATGAGGCTGGAAGCATCAGGGCCAAATACAAATATCATTTGTGGCCATAGTATAAGAAATTAAATAGCAAAGACACAATTACATAGGTTTATAAAATACAAATACATATATTATTATGTGTTGTTTTTGAAAATATTAAAAAGCCGGGGAATAAATATTTTATCATTTTTTTAAACATCGACATGTTCATACACATACATTAAAGCAGCGCTCTACACATCAAATTCTCTGACAGTTTTCTCACTAGAAGGCGTCAGCTACGAAAGCCGAGTGCCACTGGCGGCACCACCCTGCTCCGAGCCGGCCTCCGTCAGGCCGATCAGAGACTCCAGCAGGTCGGTGCTCCACTCGTAACGTGGCAAATGAACAGAGCTAAACAGCTGCAGGTGGCAAACGCTGTCTGGGTGTCTGTGCACTTTGAAAGAGCTGTGTAGAGGCCCGGAGGCGTAGTCGCTGTCAAAGAACTCCATGTCCGAGTCAGAGGACAGACTCAGGTCCATGTACCCGCCTGAAAAAGAGTCCACAGTGGGGGAGGGGGTGTTGGGGAAGTCCTCGAGAGCGTTACTGTCAAAGAAGTCTCTGGCTTGGTTTGCATTTTCGTCGAGGTAATCGGTCTGCGAGGACCTGCTTACGCTGTCTGTGGCTGCGTGGGCCGTGAGCGGCCCCCCGCGGTGAAGGCCGCTGTGCTGCGTTAGTGCTTCTCCCGGGTGCTGCGTTTGGCTGCGCGTCCGGTGGTTATCATTTTCAGAGTCACAGATGCTGAGAGCACCCGTCAGCCCTGCGTCCACGCCGGGGAGACTCTGGCTCCCACTGAGGCCTCGTCCTGCGTCAGAGTCAGAGGAGGAGCAGGAGGAGTCAGTCATGTCGCTGCTGCAGCTGTTCTCCTCCACCGCCAACCGCTCTGGCGCGAAATGGAAGGGAGGCGTGGCGGGCATGGTGAGGGGAAGGCCGTCTTCCTCCGTGATGAGCCCAAAGGGGCAGCCCTGGTCCTGGGTGCTCTGCACCGCAGAGGCCTTGTCCTGGTCCTCGTATTCTCCAAGGTCGTCCGGAAGTCCCGTCTGGTCGTCTCGTCCCGGTGTTTCATCCTGCAGTCGCCGCTCCAGTTCAAGTTTCATGACGGTGTGGAGGTAATGAGTGTGCACACGTGTGGCGTTGAACTCGATGCGGCCCCGAGTGTTTCCACAGCCTTCTTTGGTGCAGCCACATGGGAAGTTTGAGCGGTCCACCTGTGCGTAAAGGAAACAGCAGAAAGAGTTAATCAGTGTTACAGAATATCTTTACTATTAATATAAAAAAATATCAAACACAGAGAAACACCTGAGCGAGGAAAATGGGTTTCTGCTAAACGTTTTGTTTTTAAACCTGATTACTACTGATTAAGTGCTAATGGGAATGGGGACATAGATTAGGATGGTGGATGGATAATAATTAAAGTAGATGTATCTCCTTATCCCATCAATGATACATGTAACAATATATGAAATAACACCTTTTCTCTCTGTAACAAGATAGGAATGACAGTTTGCTGAAGGCAATGGATAAATGTTTGGAATGGTTCCCTGATAATAAATGGCGTCAGACGGCAAGAGGAAATGTGCCGAGTGTGGTCAGGTGTTCACCTGGACGTAAAGTCTCGTACCTGGCACGTGATTCCGGCCTGGCTGCACGCGCAGGTCTCCGGCTCACAAAAGCCTCGGCAGTCACACCCGCAGGCCTCCCTGGAGACGCGCAGGGCGTGGAGCTGCCTCTTCTCCTCCCGGTCTACGCGCTTCACCCCCGCCGCCTGCAGCAGAGTCTTCCCCTGTTTGGAGGAGTACGGCTGAAGGAAGCCGGCGTCCCCCAGCTGGGCCTCAATGACTTGGACGTCGCCGTCTTCATCCGGGATCTGGTCCCCAGAACCGTTTTCCTCTTCTGGTCAATTCCCCGCTGTGATAAACTGAAAGGGCTAAGGGGTTCAGGGGGGTGGGGGGGGGGGGCGCCGCGTGGACATCAGACCGCCGCCCAAGCAGAGTGCACTCACGTTGCGTTTCAGCGCCTCCAGCCTCTCTGTCCTCCGCCTCTCCCGGAGCCTCTCTCTGCGAGCGTGCCGGCGCTCCAGCGCGTGCTCCGCCAGCGTGTAGCTCTGCCGGTGGCTGTGCCGCCGCGCCATGCCCAGGGTGGCGCCCCCGTGGCTGGGCACGCTGCTGAAGCCCTGGCAGCGCGGGAAGCCGAACACGGTGACCCGGTCAAAGCGCACGTTGTTTTGTGCACTTGCGAAGCCGGGCCGCTTCAGGATGGACCGAACCGCTGGGGTTAAAAAGGGCAAAGAACGTGGACACAGGTGAGGTTTAAAAAAGGAGCATCTGCACGTCTGTCAGGGAAGCCCCAAGTGGTCAAAGGGATCCCGGTGATGCACCTCCAGTGGTGAAGGCTGCTGACCCCTTGGCCAGATGCCAATTCATCATATCAGGTGAAATCTAGCGTTTCGCTCATTTCAAGGTAAAACGGGGGTTTAATATTTGACAGGACCGCTCTCACCCAGCCACAGACTGTTTGCCCTCCCCCCTCTGGGAGGCGCTACAGGGTGCTCCGCTCCCAGACCAGCAGGTTCAGGAACAGCTTCATCCCTGCGGCTGTCACTCTACTGAACTCTGCCCCCCCCCACACACACACCTCCCTCAGTGACTGTACTCCCCCCTCCTCCCTGGCTTGACTGCCACACACCCTCCTCCAGCCACTGAACATTTGCACTATTTATTCACTTATTACACTGTACATATGCGCACACTCTGCACTTTTTGCTATTTTGCACTTCTGGTTGGATGTTAAACTGCATTTCGTTGCCTCAGTACTTGTACCCTGTAAAGTTAATAAAGTTGAATCTAATCTAATGTAATCTGATCTAAGAAGGTTGGCACTGCAGGTCTCTGAGTGGCCACTAGGTGACACTCTACAGGTGCTTCACACCAGCTGCTTGTTTCACTGGTTTAACATTCCTGTAGAGGGGAAATACCAAGCAAAAGGTCCACAGCAGCAGCAGCACGGCACTAAGGGAAAAGTGGTGGACCAGGGTCTAACCGTTTGGCTCCTTCTTACCGTCACACTCAATTGGCTTTCAGTGAAACAGAGAGCAGCTGACCAGGCTAAGAAGCGCCACACTGAGGGACTCTTTACTCCACAACTCAATCGAGTCTGTGACAACAGCAAACCACAAGCTGCTTACTACATTTGGAGTTTAGACTGCAGGCCCTAATATCTAACTTTGGGAAACCATCATAATGGCCATTTAATATGACTCGTTTAAAAGGACCTTGCTATTCAAATTGATTCCACAACATCCTAATGCTCAGGCAAATGATCCTCTGCCCAACCGCACGTCGTTCACGCTGCGCATTATCTAGAGCGGCCCTCAGGCTCCATATCAGAGCTGCTGCAGGCTGACAAGAGACACTCCTATAAAACACCACTGGGGGGTCGGGGGGGAGTCAGATAAGGACACTTTGCATTATTTGAAAGCGGTGAAGAGGGAGCAGAGTGGTCGTCAGTTTGCAGACTTACTGGCGTGTGATGGGGGGCCGCCGAGCGGGAGACCCGGGTGGTCAGTGCCGCTCTCCCCATCGGACTCCCACTCCGAGGAGGCGGTGGAGGAGAGGGAGGACGGAGGAGATGAGGAGGAGTAGTCGGGAATCTCATCTAGCTTTCTCTTCAGGACGCCTCTCATGGTTTGGGCCTGTTGTTGTTGATGTGCATTCTGGGTAAACACAAAGAAGAACGAGCACGTTAATTAATGACACACGAGACACAGATCTGTTCCATGAGAGCTACAACGCTCGTTTCAGCGTCCCTCACCCAGGAACATGGGACATTATGTAAATCCATGAGTTGATAAGAGAATAACAGGCAACAGGGATGTGTTTCGTCTTCCAAATACACACAGTCAGTGAAGACGACAGGAATGAGATGTCTTTGATGTCGGTAGCTGCCGGTCGAGCCGGTTTCAGGGCACGAGTTTGTTTATGCTAATCGCATCTCGATCGGGAATATCTCACAAACTGATGTTCATAGGTGAACAAATACACGCCTGCTTTCGCTGGCAAACCAGCTCGCCGGGCGAGTGAGTTAAAAAGAAGGAGCTCTTTTCCATTTCCCCGCAGAGTAATTTACATTCCAATGATTCTTTGAGTTTTTGTGAAGAAAACGAGGAAATGTAACGTCCAATGGCTGCATGTACGGGAGAAGGGCTGTAATGCTTAAAGTGGCTGCTATTTTTGGATGTGGAGAATAAAGTCCAAACACAAGTCATTTCGCGGTTATAAACCTAAGCTGCTCAACGCTGCTGACTGAAAGAGAGAGAAACAAGCAGAGGCGTGTTAAAGTAAAGGAAATGCTACTAGTCTTGTCCAACGTGGTCCATTAGACAAATTAAGTTAACAGTATGTTTGGAAACTGGCATGTTAGTTTGGCACACAATGGGAGCTTATGAGCCAATGCTGGGAAAGCTGGTATTGTTAGTGTTGGAGCCACATTAAAGGATTATTTCGATAGGGAACTTGTAGACTTTGTCAAACAGTCTACAAGTTCATTAAAAACATACTCAAAAGTCTCTGGTTGTCTCAGAAGAAAGAAATAGTGTTTTGTTATGTACCAAGCAAGTCAAAGGAAGCCAGCAGCTATTCACATCTGCAAACGGAATACACAGAAAACTTCACGTCTCCAAACAGCAACACAAGCAGCTGACCAGGATTTAGACTGACCCCCGTTCCAGGGAGAAGGGAAGGGAGCGTTCAACCAAACGCACGCCACAAAAACCGTCCAGCCTGAGGACAGCGTGTCTGTCTTTGTCCGCACTGACAGGACGGACTCCCCAACAGCTCCAACACACTCATTCCAGTCCACGAGGAAAAAGGAGCTCCTGGTTATCTCTAGTAAGCAAATAGTTAAAACGTGTGTGCGTGTGTGTGCGTGTGTGTATGCGTGTGTGTGCGTGTGTGTGTGTGTATGTGTGTGCGTGTGCGTGTGTGTGTGTGTGTGCGTGTGTGTGCGTGTGCGTGTGTGTGTGAGCAGAGCAGAGTGAGCAACTTCCTGTATCCATCAGCAAATAAGAGGTGAAACAAGAGACACCTTCTTGTGCCGCACACTGTCTACAGGTGGAACACTGTGCTGTCTCAGCAGTTAACGAGTAGATGAATTTCGCTCTGCAGCGAAAGCAGCTGCATTGATGTTTCATCTTCCCCCCTCAACAAATAAATCACACTGCATCACTTTGCTGCCTCTACGAGCGACTGTATCACATCACCCCACATGCGGGATCCACTGAGACCGCATCAATTACTGTAAAGGTCCCAGAGCAGCACTGCGCGCTGTGGAAGGAGCAATGGCGGAGTTTTCAGAAGGACTAATTTTGGCGCGCGTGTCAAGACTTGTTTCCGGTTTGGCACAACAACCCTCATTGGGGGGGGTGCCCTCTTCCCCCCTCGCAGAGACACCCGGCGGTCATGTCCGCTCAAGTGACACCCCCTTCTTCTTCCCTTCTTCCCCCCTCCTCCCCCCCCCCCCCCCCCGGCCCGTGCAGCGCAAACAGCAGCGCGCACGAGCCCATTGAAAGCGGAGCGAAGTTGCCTCCGAGCGGCTCAGCGTCGCTGCGATAGGAAGTTTGTTAAATATTAATAAGCTATTCGTTCAGGCTCGCTTCAAAGTAATAACTACAGTCACGGTGGAAACAATCGCCACGTTCACATACTTATTGATTACGTCGTTCTGTTAAACAGTGGACTGAAGCGATAAGCATTCCTTTAGATAATACGCGGTCACTGTGTAACAAACTGTATATAACGGTCCCTCTTATTTCACAACGGGGTTCTTTTGTCAGTGACTCACCAGGACATAACGTGCAGCATAACGGCAGGAACCATGGTGCCCGGGTGGGTTTTCCGCGCGGAGCGTCCCGCTGTTTGTGTGAAGCTCCGCTGGACTGCCAGTGCGCGCGAGAGCCACCAAAGAGTTGACGTTTGCCAACAAGATAGTACCGCCTCCAACGTGCCGCCATCGTATCTCCCCATAGCGCCTCTGGGTTTGAAAAGTCAGGCTAACATTTTGGGATACAGTTAAAACGAAAGTTCCAGCTCTTGAAACGTTAGCAACGCTTTTACTGATTCGCACCAAACACAAACCCTGAGCTGAAGACTCGTTACGGTCATAACGTCGTTCGGTCTCAAATCGGCCAAATCCTCTTCAGACCAAAACCAATATAATACACACGACCTTAAAACATAATTAACTTTCAATGTTATACCTTAATTTAAACAAACTAGGATTGTTTTACTTGTAAAATCCCAGAGTTAGCCGGGGGCACGAAGCAGGAAGTGTTTGGGAGCGGGAATCATCTCGCTCCACACAAACTCTCCGTGCGGCGCTCCGACGGTCCTGACGCGGACGATGACACGCTACTCACTGACCGCCTGTCTGCTCACCCGGGATCGTACGCCCCTGTCTGTATTTTATAGGGTTTGTGGCAGATACATCAGCTGTGTTGTTGCCTCAATAGATGTGTGTCTCTAATAACAATGCTGCATTGAAGGTGCTGCTCATATTCATCACATAACTGTGACATGACTCACTTGTTTGGTGATTCAAGTTAGAAGCTTAAATCCCATAAAACTCCCCGTAGCCTGGAGAAGCAGTGATTATAGATGTGAGTGTAAAATCCTCCATGTTTTCCTGTTATATTTTATTTCTTGAGGGTAGATAGACATTTGTCAGAAATTGACGCTTGCCTATATGTAAAGCAGCACATTCTCATTTTGAACTTTTACAACTTTTAAGTTCATGTTTTGGGGTGAGATTGATGAACATTCCTGTGTCTCGACTTTTTAGTTGATAATCCTACGATGTGTGGCCTGCGAGTAAATGGAAGCTGCAGTGCTCAGAGAGTGAGACAAACAGGTGGACAGACAGATGAACGGAAAGACAGACAACTCCAAAATACTCTTGAGCTTTGACCCTGACCTGACCTACCCATCAGGCTTTAGTTTGAAGGTCAATTTAAAAATACTGCTCTCAGTAAACCTGTTTGACCAAATATTCAGGCCAGAGGAAGGTGCTGCTTCGCCTTCCTGTCCTCGGCACTCAGTGGAGTGTGACCCGCTGTGGCTGGGGTCACATGGGTGCGTGTGCTGGGGTCACATGGGTGCGTGTGCTGGGGTCACATAGGTGCGTGTGCTGGGATCACGTGCGTGCGTGTGCTGGGATCACAGTGGGTGCGTGTGCTGGGATCACGTGCGTGCGTGTGCTGGGATCACAGTGGGTGCGTGTGCTGGGATCACAGTGGGTGCGTGTGCTGGGATCACGTGCGTGCGTGTGCTGGGATCACAGTGGGTGCGTGTGCTGGGATCACAGTGGGTGCGTGTGCTGGGATCACGTGCGTGCGTGTGCTGGGATCACAGTGGGTGCGTGTGCTGGGATCACGGTGGTGCGTGTGGGTGCGTGTGCTGGGATCACGGTGGTGCATGTGGGGAGTAAACGCACAGAGGAGGGGAGGGAATTACTGATAAAGTGTTTGTGAATTAGTGTGATTGTAAAGCACCTGATGATTGTGTAACCTGAAGGCCAGTGTGCACGTGACACATGATCGAAGTGCTTCGCCAGGCCATTTATAGCACAATCACGCTGCCCATCCAAAAATACATTTGTTCGAAACAGTTGGAGTTTCCTGTTCCTTTAATGACTTTGCCGCATGCTTCACTGTCCCCAGGACGGTGCATCACTGACGATGAGTCATGGAAGACAATGACTAGTTCACTCACTAGCAACGCTTATTTTAGCACAAATCCCTCACAGCTGACTGTGTATTCCCTTTATCATCTGCAGCAATCAAAGTCCAACCAACCCGGGGACCGATCCGGATTAACCGTTTCCCCCCCTGGTTGCATCTGCCCATCACGTCCACGGAGCCGTACAAGCACAACCGATTCCTCACAGCAGCGCCGCCCTCCTCAACATCGCCTCCCGTTCATGTTTCTGTGTCTGACAGACGATCAGATCTCCGCACGGAGGAGCGGCAGAAACCTCAGCGTGCTCTCTGTCCACGTTACGTAACTTATAGCTAACCCACATTCCGGGAGCCTCTCAGCTCGCTGCCACTGGCGCTTGTGGCCCCGTTTCCTCGGGCCAAGCTGTGCCAGCGATGGCCCACATACAGCCAAGCTTCATTCAGCCGGCTGCTCCGTCCGTCCTGTGGATTCTAACTCAGGGAGTTACTGCAAAGATCATGTCTTTGTTGTCCTGCACAGCAGGAAGTAGGCGGCGTTCGTACGTTCCAGTCGGGTAGTAAGGAAAGTAAGTAAAGGTGCCAAATGGGGCCTCAGGATATAAAATAAACTGAACATAATGAATTCACTCCCTCAGGACACGGAGAGACAGAGACGTGCTCCTACGTCGTCTCTCTAACGCTCTTATTCCCACTGTCCTCTCGTGGAAAAGTAAATGCACACACGAGTCGGCTCATTGATACACGGCCTCACATGTCGTGTTTTGCAGTCGTCATGGTTGCAAAGGCAAATACGTTCCAGCCTTTGCAACCATGAGAAGGCGGTAAAGCAGTGATTCATTTTTCTCGCCTTCCTCGTCAACAGATTGTCTGCAGTCTTTATTGTCATGTTGTTGTTTTTATTGTATCTTTAGGGAGTTTATCAGAGCAGCAGGAGAGTGTCAGGTTCAGGTCAGTCGCGGTTTAAATGCAGACTTTCAATGTGTGATCATAGTTTTACATTAAAACTATCTGGAAATCTAGTTTTAAATTTGAAGCTTTTCTCTGTACGATGAAGTACTATGAAGTACGATGAAGTACGATGAAGTACGATGAAGTACGATGAAGTACGATGAAGTACTATGAAGTACGATGAAGTACTATGAAGTAGCAGCAGGTTCCATCACTAATGTCATCACTGGCCTGGTGCAAACGTCACGTCTCACGTTAATAGAGGTTTGTGGCTCCATCGGCATATTTCATGACACAATGAGGCGATGGTTTGCAGCATGTTTGTCTTACTAATTTCGCCAAATCCTCTCCTCACTTTGTTTGGATTCATATCTACAACCCTTCTGTGCCCTTGGACCACTGTTGCTCTCAGCGAGAAGCTGATTGTGGAATTGTGTTATCTGAGCCCTTTAAACTCAACTGTGGGCCAAACTTCCCTCCAGCAGACCTCCACCTCGCTTTCTCCAAAGGCCATCAGATAAAGACTTTGGGTAAAATTGCACAACAGTGACACGCTAAGTGACGCCTCAACTGCCATCTTTTTGTTTGCGCTGCGGTATGAGTTTAGGGGGGCGGCGCCGGAGAGCTTCCTGTAACAGGCTGAAGGCAGGCGGGGGCTTGTGCTGCTCTCGTCCTGGGCTCGTGTCTCTGTAGCATCCTGGTGGGGATGAGATGTGTGCCAGTGGTGCAGCGAGCGGACTGAGATCAACTGCAATGTATAATTCAAATTCTACGCTTTAATATTTTACAGCAATGCAGATTAAGTCATATTATTAACCGATATGAACAGAATCATTTGTATTTGCAGTATAGAATTTGTAACCCAGACTGTGGAGCCTCATCTCGAGTGAAAGTAGGTTACACAACTACAACTTTTAGCAGCAGGGATCTTATCTTGCTGCATGTGAGCGGCACAAGCCGTCACAGCCGAGCAGCTGTGTGATTGGGTTCGCCCCCCCTTCCCCTCCCGACAATGAGCCTCTTGTCGACGTCACCACGGAGCTGTGGAGACCGTACAAACCGGCCCGTGTGCCGCAACGTGGACCCAGAGGCGTCTTCGCCCGAAGCAAAGTGATAGTATTTCTTCTCAGGTCTCCATTGTTTCATTATGACTCCATTAATCTCCATCCTGTCATCCAGTCACCTCCTGCGTCTGTGCGTCGGGCTGCAGTGGAGCTCCTGTACGCAGGGTGCAAAGGCCTCACATGTGGCTCCATGTGAGGCCTTTGCACGAGTACACAGCAGCTGGAGGAGGAGGAGGAAGGAGACCTGCTCAGCTGAGAGCTGCCAGTACTGAGCTGTTTGGATGACTGTCTGACTCCCCCCTCCCTCCCCCGACATGCTCAATCTCCCACTGATCGCCTCTCTCTCCTTCCATTGCAGCTGGCAAAACACAGGCTGACACCCAACCGTCAGACCCGGTGGGCTTCTTGTTGGTGATTCTATTAATTGACAAGTATTCTTTAAAAACATTTTTTGAAATGATATTTTCTCTGAGCTTTATACACTGTGAAACCAGACAACAACTCTATTATCCACATTCACTCCTTTTCACAATCACTTTATCTCTATTTGTAGAGGTTCTGTGAAGGTTAACTATGTTGTTAACAAGCGTTGTTGGTGGCCCGAGGTGTAATGTTGCATATGACAATAAGTAACGTAACTGCGTGTAAGAATCGCACGTAGCTGCCGTGTGGTCTCCCCTCGGTGTTTCACAGCAGCGTTCTGCCGCCATCTGCCGGCTCCTAAAGCCTTCTGACACGTGACGACGGTCACCGGTGGGATTCTAGTGAATGTTCTAACTGAAAGTCAACAATTGCATTGTGTGATTTGGCGGTTGGGAGACAATGGAACCGACCTTTGAGGTTGATATGCTGCTGATATTTACAATACAAAAATATAGATCATAGAAGCAGCGACGTAAACAGAGAATACACCATCGGTCAAGTAGTAACACAAGGGGGGTAAACTGGACCAAGAAAGTAGCAAGTTAGTTGGAAATATCTGTATATTTATCAGCATTTTAGGACAGCGTATGAAAAAACTCCAATGTTCCTTTTTATCAGTTGATGATTACCACGTGTAACCCTCATCAACAAAAAAAATCAAGCCTGTATATTGTGCTCTCTGATTTATTGGTGCATTAAATCCATGTGGCAACAGTAACGGATTGTAACTCTTCACGCTCAGCGGCTGGATCATTGTGCAGAGTCAGCTTTTCCTGTGCTTTGGCAGACTGGTAGAAGCCCTCATCTGCTCAGCGCGGCTAAGATCAGTCAGGAATCAGCGTGTGAGCGAAACATGCAGGTTAAAGCTTAAATGCCGCTTCTCTGAGTTTTTGGTACGAGGTGCAGCAGCAGCTACGTCATGGAGCAAACAGGCCGTCTCTCTGGCTTCTCAGTGAATTTCATGGATGAAAAAAGACAGAAGACGACTTTTATGATGGTATTTTTGCAGAGTGGTGTGTTTCTTCAGAGTGATGTGTGTCATGCGATGGCGTTTCCTGAATCACGAGGTGTTCAAGGACTTTGCCCACTATAACACACTGTGCAGTGTGAGAGGTGCCATTAAACCACAAGTGACAGAGATGCACAGATGACTGAAGCGTCTTCTCCTCAGGTAGGCTTGAATATTCTTGATACTTTGCAGACAGAACACTATTCGCAGTGGCAATATTGTAGCTTTATTCTGCTTTGTAGCCTTTTCTCACAATACATGAGATCATAAAGTATACATTTGCATACATAGATTTCTTTATGTAATTTTGATTGTGTTGCTTTTCCCTCCTGTTCTGAGAGAACAGAGCATTTCAGTTACGATATAATCCTGAAGATGGAACAATCAGACTCAGTCCTACAGAAGAGAGCATTTGGTTTTGCTTTCCGAGCGCAGGAGTTCATAAACATTAACAGAGTCACATGACTTTCAGTGTGTTAATGTGTTGCATAATAATAAACCTCAGCTGCACTAAATGAATGAAACAATACGCTCCTCTAGTCATGTGATCTTTCATCTAGAGGTACCAGAGTTTCTGCAAATTAACACACAACAATGAGGCCATTCAAGGTTTCTGCCACATTATGTTGTTGTCACATTTGCTTATTTTAGCTGCTGTGAGAGGGACAGCGATGGAGACATTCGGCATGCGCAGGAGCCAGTCCCTCAGGGGCCTGTCCGGGGTTCAGGAGAGGTCATGGGTCATGCCAGCTCCCACCCGCTGGGACAGGAAGTCTGTGCCTGAGCTGGTACAACAGTACGTTCTGACTATGTATATGTGCACGTATAGCATTAAATGACACACATTGGTAACTTCCACTGATTCGTATTCTGGTAGCCAGTAGGACTAATTGATAAAACACACATTTCTATTCTTGGATACAAATAAAATAGTTGATTATAAATGTGTCAATTCCTTTTTGCCAAACAGTTACCAAAGCTGTGCTGACCTGATGGGTTTGGATAAACAGGAGCACCAACTTCAGGTAAAAATTCTTATTTTTCTCTTGATTCATCTTGGGTAATAAAACGTGACAACAAAAACAACAACAACAACAACACGGGCTAAAATCACACATCCAATCCAACCGCTGCTTTCAGGGGTCAGACAGCAGGAGGCAGCAGCGGGACGGGGACAACGTGGCCCTCAGGGGATCTGGAAGAGGTTCTAATCTGTCCAGGTGTCGCTCCATGGACGTCCTCCCATCCGGGACCAAAGCTCTGTGTGCCTTGTTTGAGTCCAAGGCCTCCCTGCAGCGAGGCTTCAGCAGCAGCCCCCGGCTCAACCCGGCCTCGGCCCCCGCCAGGAGCACAGCGGGAGGCAGAGGTCACACGGAAACAACCATTCAGGTGAGACAGTTCAGAGCACATTTCACTACATTGACTGAACACACTGATGCCGTCGTGCCAAACCCCCCCTTCCAGCACAGATCTCATTTATTAGCATGTATAAACATGAAACATAATCCACTGTTTGTGTTTTTTTTTTAGAGTTGTGTGCTTTTGTTTGGTGGGTCCTGGCAGATGGATTTAGTCAAACGTGGCCATATTCAATGGACAGACATTGCTATGGTGTTGATGTTTTAATCCAAAACTGTTTCTTTAAGCTCCCATTGGTTAAAATCGCAGCGGGCTGCCAAACAGTGCCACGAAAACAAGACTCAATGTGAAAAAACAATTTATTTTGCTGATCCACAGAGAGCCGCCCAGGTGGAAGGCAGAAGGGCCATGAATGGACCCCCAGGGTCTTCAGCCAGAGCCCCCGGATACCCGCGAGGTGAGCAGCGAGGCTTGTCGTCACTGACATCGGATAGGGCCGATGGGGTTAGTGCCCCTCTGTGGTATCACAGTGTCCTGACAGGGTAACACTGACCTCTGTGTTCTTTGGCCTGTGAGTTTCAGAGAAACAGCTAAATAAAGACACAGGTCTTGTGGTAAATGCATAACTATGCATTTAGCGTTCATGCTTAAGATAGGAGTGAGGCTGCTGGGTGTGACCCTGACGCAGACCGAGGCCGCCTTGCCTCTCTGTGATCCCTCGCCGGTGCTTAACCCTTTGACCCTGAGATGAGTCCGGTGTGAATAAGACACAGAGAGAAATATGCAGAGAAAAAGAGCATAACTGACATTAATCATAATGTGTTTACAACAAAAAATCTGCTAATCTTGCTAATTTACTAGGAAAATCCTGCTATGGTCTGCTAGCACAATGCAGCTCACCATATCTGGCAATATTTACATGAAATAACCTTTACAGCATTTCCCTGGCTTTTATTTTTAAATGATGTTGC